TACTTAAGCATAAGGCAGGAAAAAGAAATCTACCGTGACGTTTTTTGTTTGTTTTTAAACAAATAAATCATGGAAAGCTCAAAAATACTGACGAGTTCCACCTACCCACCCACGCACCGCGCGCAGAAGAAACCCCTTCACATTCACGCCCCAATTTATTTCATTTTTCTACCCCGGCGAGGCACGTGGCAGGAAGTGCTACCCCCGCCCCGTCTCTGCAGGACACTGCGCTTTTTGGGTCCCTAATTCGTTTCTCCTCCAGTAGTCACGCGCCATCCTCTGTGCCCAGCCCCGCCTTTGATCTTTGCACATATATCTATGCAAAACAAACAGACATATCTTTTTCTTAAATATATATATATTGGCAGCGGACAAAAGGTAGCAGCTGCATTCGAGCAAGCGCATGATCCAAGACTTCGCCGATGCCGGGAGGGCTACAGCAGGCGGCGCTGCCTTCCCGAAAGCGGCGTCAGGGCGGGCTCCGTTGCGTCAGAGGGAAACCGGGCAGGGCTCCTCTGCTTTCTCCACCCCTTTAGGGCGAGGATTGGGCCCGGCGCGGCGGCAGCACCAGCAGCAGCGGCCTAGCAGCAGCGCCAGCGCCAGCTGAGCTCTTTCCTGCTCTCCTACGCGGCGTGGACACGTGTGTGTATGTGCGCGCACGCGGGTCCCCCGGATGGTGAGTGTGGAGCTGGGAAGGGGGATGGCGAGGGGGTCTTGGGGGCGGGGAGCGGAGACGAGCTTCCCTCCCCCCCTATTTAGTAAGAAGGTGAGCAGAAAAGCGCTTGGGTCGTGGTAGGGCGGCGGCGGTGGCGGCTAGGTGAATCCATGGGGTGGATCGGGGTTCTGAGTGGGTGTGGGCTGGGGCTTTGCCCACCCTCTTGCCCTCCTTGCCTTGCCTCCCCTACGCCCGGGCTGCGTTGCAGAAGCAAACCTGGTGCCTCCGTCTCCAGTGCATTAGCCCGCTGCTGCTGCCACTGCCGCTCGGTTTCTCTGGGCCGGGATGACCCGAACCTGCGCCCAAGCCCCGGGTTCTCATAAACAAGCCCCATATAGATCAGCCCCCCTGCCCCCCAGGTGCGGGCGGCGGGGCGCCGAGGAGGTTGCCATCTCTTCCACAAGGACTCCTCCGCTCTTGGCTGAGGGGCCCTGGGCACGATCTTCTTGGGCCCTTGAGAAAGCGCGAGGGTGTGGGTGCCCTTTGCACCAAGGCGGCGATTGCGTTCTGGGGCACCTTGGAAGCGGCGGCTGCTGCTCAGCTTGTGGGGCGCGGGGGGGGGTGTTGGGAGATGGAGACACAGCCTGTGTGGTGCTCGTGCTGCGTGCGCGGGCACCGCTTGCTGGGCGAAGGTGGCTGGGGCCTGTGCACGGTCTGGCGATGGAGAGCAAGGTGGGGTGGGCTCTCTTTCTCTCCTTGATAGACAAATCATGAGGGGGGGGGCGTTCTTCTAGATCTGGGCCATAAAGCAGCCTTTCCTTCTGCCTCCTGCTACATCCTGTTCTGCTGGCATTCTGACCCACTCAATGGGGCCTGTTAATTCACTCTGTTCCTTTGGGGATGTGGACTTGCTGAATCTCCACTCGGCTCCTCATCCCCATGCAAAGAACTGAGGGTTCCTTTCCCTGAGCATGTGTGCAACATAGCTAGTCTGAGCAAACCGTTACATCTCCTCAACGCACCAGCTTTGCCCGCTTGCTCTTCAATCCCAAGGGCACACACAGCAGCACCCTTCTCTCGCCTCTTTGCTGTTCCCTTACTATTTGTACCATATAGAAATGCCCTTGACTGCTGATTTAGATGCTGCTGCTTTGGCAAGAGTTAGCAGAGGCCTGCCATGAAAGGTGAGGGTTTATCCCACATACAAAGCAATTCTCTACCAGTCAGTTGCCGGCTATGACTTTCCCTATGTCCCCTTCCAAAGTAAGAGGTAGTCTTGGTCGTATAAGGTATTATTATTATTTATTATTAAATCTGCATACTATACCCGTAGATCTCAGGTCTGTTCACAACAAGGTGAGTTGATTAAGCTGATGTTCATCAAAAGCATGGAAAGGACTGGCCAGGTATGTCCATCCTGCTGGGCGCACAAAGGTGCTAGGAAGGAAGTATCCTTGTGTAGGACCCATTTCAGCTGCTCTGGGGGAGACAGACACCAAGTAGTGCCTCCAGTGGCTTCTTAGGCGATAACCAATAATGTAATAGTTGTTGTAGAAAGGTTTGATGTCATGGGAGCTTCAGATGAGCATCATAACATGTAGAAGATGCTCACTGGATGCCTTAGGAAACCACACTAGTAACTGAAGAAAGTGCACTCTCCCTACAATGAGCTACCTACTGCTCCCCCAGGCTGTAGTGCAGGTATTTTTTTATTTTTTTTGTGGGCTGGGCAGAATGGTTGCCGCCTTTTGCATGAAGAGCTGCTATATGTACTTTATAGGACGCATAGGAGGGTGTTTTAGTAGGACTTGTGTTGACGGAAGCCTCTCTCTCTTTTCGAAAAACCAAATATGGGCTTGTCTTTTTACAAAGGCACTTACAAGATGGGTAACAATGTTCTGAATTCTACTCTGTTAGGAGAGGCACCTGTGGTTTCTATCTGGGGTGTTCTGCTTCTTCTGTTTGCTAGTCAAACCTGAGTTCAGTCCAGGCATTCCTTAGGTGACAGAGTAATCCTTTTCCCCTTACATTGTAGTGCTGACTTCCCTATCGGAGGAAGTGGCAAATCTCAGGCCTTCCAATTATAGTTGTACCTTGGATCCCGAATGCCTTGCGAATCGAATGTTTTGGATCCCGAACGCCGCAAACCCAGAAGTGAATGTTCCGGTTTGCAAATGTTCTTTGGAACCCTAACATCTGACATGGCTTCCGCGGCTTCCGATTGGCTGCAGGAACTTCAAGCCATGCCTTGGTTTCTGAACGTTTTGGAAGTCAAACCATTCGACTTCCGAGGTACCACTGTATAGGTCTTCATGGTGATTGTTTGTTACAATGTGGCTAAAATTGTTCCAGCAGTTGGAGAAAAACTAAAATATGCCATCTTCTCTTTTGTAAACCAGTTCCCAATTTCACTGCAGGCTCTTTTGAGAGCTGAGCCATTTTTAAGGGTGTGGCCTATAGAATGCGGGGCACAAATATTTTCTTAGTGATTGATTCAGGGGAAATTAAATAGCAGGTGATCTGGGTTACTGGGTAGGATGTTTATGTGGGAGAAACAGCAGTGTAATCCTATAATCAGGTCTACTTGTAAGTAAACACTGTTTAGTTCAGGGGGGCTTACTTCCAGGTATGCGACTCTTGGATCATAGCCCAAAATAATTTGAAGCGACTATAGAGGTGATTTGAGAGATAATCAGTACAGGTAGCTGAAGGGCAAATTAATTGATTTGGAGCAGGATCTACTTTGGAGGTAATTGAATTGAAGAGGAACTGATTTGGGGTCATCTGGGGTAGAGAGAAAATGAATGGAAGAATTTTATCTGGGGTGATGTGCATGGGTTGATTCGTCTTCTGTGACCTTGCAAAGTTAAATTTGCATTGTATAGAAATAAAACCAGCATATGCCAACTTGTGTCTATGAACCTGGGCTGCAAATCCTTCAGCCTACCTAGCCATGATGCTACTGCTTGACACCTTGTTAGAATTTTAAGGGGCACCTTTCACAGTGAATGCTCTTAAGTCCTTGGTTTGTCTTCTGGGAGGCAGGTCTTCACTGTGTTGAGGAGTGAAGATTGTTGGGCCCAGCAAAAAAAGAGAGGTATGCTAATGGGGTGCATAATGGTACAGTGGTACCTCAGGTTACAGACGCTTCAGGTTACAGACTCCGCTAACCCAGAAATAGTACCTCGGGTTAAGAACTGAACTTCAGGATGAGAACAGAAATCGTGCTACGGTGGCTCGGCGGCCCCATTAGCTAAAGTGGTGCTTCAGGTTAAGAACGGACCTCCGGAACGAATTAAGTACTTAACCCGAGGTACCACTGTATTTAGAAACATGCGTTGACACTGATTGAATTGCAGAAAAACAGGCCTACTAGACTAGACTTGGGGTGTATTTATTTTGCAATTTTTAATCCATCAGACTTTCAAAGAAGTGAGTTTCTAGCTTGCATGAGGAGAAAAAAAAAATTGATGTATGTATGAGCTCTGTTTGTTAGCTGCTGCAAATATAATAGGGTGGGTGCGTGGGTGTGATTTCAGGCCCAGGGGTTCTCTTGCCTCCATTCAAGCTTCTCTAACTAGGCTTCAGGACTCCCATCCCCAGGCCATGTGACTCACCTGCCCTGCTTCACACCCTCTCCCCCCCCCCCTGCAATGTGTCCTTGATCTCTGATAATGATTCTTGTTTACCTGGGATAGAGAAGCCTGTATATTGAAACTAGCCTACTGTATGCAGGTAAAATGTATGTTTACTGTTCTGCCTGCTTTTGCCTCTGGTCCCGCCTACCACTGACATGTGACCCCCCTTCCATGCAGCTTTTAGGGTTTCCTGTGTTTCTCTTGTAGCAAGGAGACAGCATGGGTGTAGCTGCTCTCACAAATTTATGCTGCTTAATCCCACCTTTGGGAAAATGGAACTTGTGGACACACTCCCTGCTTGCCCAATACAGAATACAGTTTGGAACGGTGTTGCAGCATTCTGAGTTAAATGCAGTTTCCCTGGAAATGGTGTTTGAAATTGAATTTGTGGTGGCAGCGGCTTTATATAGTGCTCTCGGTGTTTCATGACCCTTTAGAAAATTAAAAAGAGGACAGGTTTATGCCCCCAAAAGTGCTTGCAGCCCCAAATGGGGAGACAGGAGTATTGTGAATAGAGATGGAGGCAGGAGGATAAACAAAGGAGAATATTTGTCATAGTCAGCCTTGTAGGCTGCAGAGGGAAGGGGCTTGTGTGAGAGGCTTCGTGGGGGAAAAATTGGGTTAAATGCTTTCTTTTCCAGCTCTGCCCCACCGAGCAAAGTCCCCTTGCTAGCAGTGTGGCCTCTGCCACCCACAAGTGATGCACCATGCCCATAGTGGACAAGCTGAAAGAAGCCCTCAAGCCTGGGCGGAAGGACTCTGCTGACGATGGCGAACTGGGCAAGCTGTTGGCTGCTTCCGCCAAGAAGGTTTTGCTGCAGAAGATCGAGTTTGAACCAGCCTCCAAAAGCTTCTCCTACCAGCTGGAGACGCTGAAGAGCAAATACGTCCTATTGAACCCCAAGACAGAAAACCCCAGCCGACACAGGGGCTCTGAAGAGGGACCCATCCGGAAGCAAGGTGCGCCCCTATTCTGGGGGGAATGGTTCTGTGGGAATGGGGGTGCATGTGTGCCCGGCCTCGCTGACTTCCCCTGTTCTTCTTCCTCTCTGGCAGGCAGTGAGCACACCTTGGGAGGAGATGGAGTTCCAGCCCCGCAGAAGGTCCTCTTCCCTGTGGAGCGCCTCTCTCTGAAATGGGAGCGGGTGTACCGTGTTGGAGCCGGTCTCCACAACCTGGGCAACACCTGCTTCCTCAACTCCACCTTGCAGTGTCTGACGTACACCCCACCTCTTGCTAATTACCTGCTTTCCAAGGAGCACAGCCGCAGTTGTGAGTGTGGGGTGTTTGGTTGCATGTGGAATGGCTGGTGCCCCTTGGCAAAGCTTGCATGTCGTCTGTCTCTTTTCACTTAAGAGTTGCAGGTAGCAAAGGCTTCAGCAGCCTCCTGCTTTTCATCTGAGTGCCACTCTGCTGAGGCTTTCATGAGAGATGGGCCAGGAACAGCAATGCATAATGCTCAGTCCTTAATGGTGGTAAAACAGGAGCACCACGGCTAAGAAACTGAACTGTGAATCGCAGTGTTTCTGGTTCAGATTTTGCTGTGCCATAAACTGACCTTTGGTCAAGCTGTTCCCTTTTAACCTCATCCTCCCCATCTCTTGTATGGCTTTTATAATGCCCCAAACTACCTTTCAGGGTTGGGATACACATTATAAAAAGACAGTGCAAGTGAAGTGCTTGTGACCACTTCAAGCTGCTGTGCAGAAGCTTAAGTGTTACTATAACCCTTTGAAGCCACTCCAAAATCCTGCACAAGAGAAATTGGACCCTCATCTTTCTGAGTCTTGGTTTTCTCACAGCCACAAAAAAATCATGTTCTGTTATGCTGCAAATCTGCATGTTTTTCATTGGAAAGAACATTTACTCCATGCAAGGGCTAAAAAATTTCTTATTCCGTCGTGTTCCCCTCTTTTCAGAAATTGTCTCAGGGTTTCAGCGAGGGGAGAAATTGAAACATTTTGGTTTGAAGCCTGCTTTTTGAATGGATTTCTTGTATGAGAAAATGCTTCCTGGGAATTATAGTATTAAAAAATATGCTTCCACTTGGCTGTGTTTGGAGAGAGGGGCTTGAACGATGGAGCATTATTTGGCCCTTGTTTCCCATGTTGTCAAAGTCTTGGGGCACCCCTTGTGACAAGAGGGGGCTGTATTGTGCCCAGCCACAAGAAAGGGGTTGCATTGTTATGTGAGCTTGAGGAGGGGGTTCTGCTTGAAACATGGTGCTGGTGGGATTGGGAAAAGATGGTGTGTGGATCCAAGGTCAAATAACAGGCAGTGCGCCTTGTCCCCTCCACAGTTCTGCAGCTGGCAGTTCCCTTGCAGCCCTGTGCACTCATCCTTGCAGTCAGGGCCTGGGAGGCTGTGCTAACAGCTGCAAAGGAGCAGAGCCAGCACTTGGTTGCACGAGAACTGCTGCTCTAAGCATCCGACTCATCCTTGTTAGAGGAGCGCTGACTCCTAGTTAGGGGAGTGGACCTGAATGGAGGGAGGCGGGTGGACAAAAGATGTCCCTCCCAAAAAAAGGGGAGGGATGAGGAGGAACTGTTTGGATTAGGGCAAATACTGCTTTGCACCTACTTGCCGGCTTGTTGTTCAGGCTTGAGAAATTTCACACATGGCTGTAGCGTTTTGGTTCCCTGAGCATCTCAGCCTAGTGGACTGCATTTCTGTGTACTTTATGATGTGCGTGCAATGGGGCTAGGAAACTATTCCCTGCATCTAAGTGGTCTGTTCATGTAAGCTATTCTAGCAAGGGGTTGTTGATGCTGTGACCATGGAGGAGATGCCTGCACAAGCGATGGGGATCCTGTGCCCCTCCAAATAATGTTGGGCTCCTAATCCCATCAGCCCCAGCTAGCATGGTCAGGGGTGGTGGGAGCCCAACAGCATCTGTGGCCCCACATGTTCCCCACCCCTAGCCTACAGGTAAGTGCAGGCTCTGCCCTCCACTTCAATTTGTGCATTGATTATATCAGTGAGTAGCTTTCCTTGTCACCTTAAATTGCCTCCAGCAGAGAAGAGGCAACTTTTTTCTTGATTGCGTATGCAGCTACTTCTGCAGATGGTTAATCATGAAGCAAGAGCGGTACATGGCCCTCAATGCCCGCTTTTCTCTTTCGTTTCCTTTGTCGCCATTGGCCAGCAGGTTATTTATTTAGTAATGGCTGCCAAAATGCCCTTCTCCTGGGCTGAGCTCTACTCATGGGTTTTCTGGCTCTGTGAGAGTTGCTCCGTCAGACCTTTGTCCGGTGCAGCCTTTGCATGAATTCATTCCTGATCTCTTCTCTTGCAGGCCACCAGGGAGGCTTCTGCATGATGTGCGTTATGCAGAATCACATGATACAGGCTTTCGCCAACAGTGGCAATGCCATCAAGCCGGTGTCCTTCATCCGAGATCTCAAAAGTAAGCAGCTGAGGGAGCTTTGTTTTGATGAGGTTGTACAGTGCCGTTGTGATGCATCTCACCAGTACATACAGGGAAAGGGGCCAAAGATCTCTTTGTTTGAAGTGTTGACTGTAGATCGTGTGTGTGTGTGTTTGTATACGCATGCCATACACTGCATTGAAAAAGCCAGGTGCGCAGATCTCCCCATTGTGGAGCTAAGTCTGAAGACGTGGCAGCTGGGCGTGCAGATAAATAAATACATAAATAGATTAGAGCTATTTCTGGCGCTTCTTTCGTTTCTTTTAACCATCCAACTGAGGTTGCCGGTATTTAAGAAACTACGAAAGGGAGATTGAAATGCGCTATATGCTGTCCCCATCAGCATTTTGCTTAGTTATGTTGAGTTCTGCAGAATCTAGAATAGTTTGAGGTTGTGTGCGCGCACGCGCTAATAAGCTTCATGTAATTCCTGTGCCCCGGTCAAGTGTCAGCGATGCCTGTTACCTTGGCATGAGCTTGACCTGTGCTGGGCGGGCATAGGAAGCCAAACTTCAGAGTCCTTTTCCTCCGTCTGGCAGAGATTGCTCGTCACTTCCGCTTTGGCAGCCAAGAGGATGCTCACGAGTTCCTGCGCTACACCATTGATGCCATGCAGAAGGCCTGCCTCAATGGTTACACCAAGTATGCACAGCTCCCTGTCTCTGGGGTTGGGAGGGTCAGGGCCGTACTTTTCACTTGGTCGCAAAGAGATGGGCAGGTGGAGATCTTGCCACCTTCCCCTGTTGTGTAAGCAGCATCTTGGAAGCATGAACCTTCACAGGTGGAATGTGGGTGGGGGAAGGGGGGGCATGCTGGGTAAGTCACCACTCAGCTAACGGTGGCTGCTTCTCCTTTGCCCAAGGAAGCAAAAGCTAGTAATCCTCCCTGGAGAGGAAAGCCCTAAGGGCTGCTTTTGTGTCCCTGCCACTGTTGAGGCCCCATATTGCTTCAGGAAGGTGTTCTCCACTCTCTCCTTAACCCTTGGCTGCTTTTCTTCCCAGGCTGGACCGCCAGACCCAGGCTACCACATTGGTGCACCAGATCTTTGGCGGCTACCTCCGATCTCGTGGTGAGCACAGCTTTAGCCCGGTACCTTTCACGCCCTTTAGGCTTGAAGCGTTGACCAAGTCCTAGTGATAACTCTACAACTCCAGCTTTTCCTTCATTGCCCAGCTGCGCTTCTGCAATGCCCACCTGACTTGTGGGCGCACACAGCTGCTGATGTCCCAATACCGGGAGAGTTTCCTGTGGGCTTCCTTTGGCCTCTGCCCAGGTTTTGAAGAGGATATTGGGAATCGGGGGATTTAGCTGCTTCCCGTGCTGGTTTTGCTAGCTGCCGAGGTGGAAGCGTTGATGTCTCGGAAGTCCCGTCGTGAAATATGACCTTGGCAGGCAGCTGAGGCCATGAAGAGTAGGCAAGCAACTGTTCTGCTTTCTTTGCAGTGAAATGCTCCGTGTGCAAGAGTGTTTCGGACACTTACGACCCCTTCCTGGATGTGGCTTTGGAGATCAGGGTATGCCAGTGTTAAATCAACGCTTTCCCATTTTATTTCTTTTCCATGGTAGGCCTAAAGAGGGACATAAGCCGGCAGGGGATTTGCAAATATGAGCAGATTCATGGTGCTTTCCTACTTATACATGAGCGCTGCGTGTAGGGAGGCATATAGCATGCCCTGAAGTGTAGCGAGCAAGTGGCATATAGGTACTCGGTTGCCTGTGCACGGCTGATGTATAGAAAATGATAATAATGATGGGGTGGGGTGGGGAACCTGTTGCCCTCCAGATGTTGCTGGACTTGCCACCCAACATGGCCAATAGTGAGGGATGATGGGAGTTGGAGTCCAACAATATCTGGAGGGACAGAGGTTCTCCATACACTGGGCAGGAAAAGAAAATGGCATCCCATCTAAGCTAAGCTAACAGTAGCCGGGGAGGTAATGGGTGAATAGAACCACTTCCTAAATAATAATAATAATAATAATAATGTATTATCTATTATTTATACCCCGCCCATCTGGCTGAGTTTCCCCAGCCACTCTGGGCGGCTTCCAATTGAGTGTTAAAAACAATACAGCATTAAATATTAAAAACTTCCCTAAACAGGGCTGCCTTCAGATGTCTTTTAAAGAGAAGATAGCTTCTTATTTCCTTCACATCTGGAGGGAGGGCATTCCACAGGGCGGGCGCCACTACCGAGAAGGCCCTCTGTCTGGTTCCCTGTAACCTCACTTCTTGCAATGAGGGAACCGCCAGAAGGCCCTCGGCGCTGGATCTCAGTGTCCGGACTGAACGATGGGGGTGGAGACGCTCCTTCGGGTATGCAGGACCAAGGCTAAAGAACTAAAGAGACATCATTAATAATAATAATAATAATAATAAATAATTAATAATTATTAATAATATAATGATGACAACAACAACAATTTTATTGTTTATATGCTGCCCATCTGTCTGGGTTTCCCCAGGTGCTCTTTTCAGAGCTTACCTGAGTGTAGGTATAACCTGAGCTTTGGTGTGATTTCTGTATGAATGTCCCTTTTCTGTTTCTGATTACAGCAGACTGCCAACATCGTGCGGGCATTAGAGTTGTTTGTAAAGGCTGACGTGCTAAGTGGAGAGAATGCCTACATGTGTGCCAAGTGAGTTGCCTTCCTCTTGACCTATCCATCCCTCCTGTTTGGCACCTTTTCTTTTGCATAATGACGCCTTTATTTATTTATTTATTTATTATTTAAAAAAAACAGAAGCGTATTTCTAGAATGGAAGTGCTAACTTATGAGGTCAGGCAAATATGTTCTGCTCCACAGCTTCAGTAACTGCTGACTCATGCTTTAAAAAAAAAAATCTGTGGGAAAAAGAAAAGGGAGGGGACTAGGCTCACCTCTTAGCTATTTCCAAAGTGATGAATTGGGTTGGTGGTGGGAATAACGAAGCAGAAGAGAAGTTTGGGTATGTATCTTCACAGTGTGTGGTGTGTTTTTTAAAAATTTGGTGCATCTGCCTTCTACAGTGGTACCTCAGGTTACAGACGCTTCAGGTTACAGACTCCGCTAACCCGGAAGTAGTACCTCGGGTTAAGAACTTTACCTCAGGACGAGAACAGAAATCGCATGGTGCCAGCGAGAGGCCCCGTTAGCTAAAGTGGTGCCTCAGGTTAAGAACAGTTTCAGGTTAAGAACGGACCTCCAGAACGAATTAAGTTCTTAACCCGAGGTTCCACTGTACTTGAAACCAAGCCATTTCCCTGATGGTTTCAAGGCAGCCTGCAGGGCAAAGGATGCTAGCTTCAAATGCAGGGAAAGACTTAATAGCCTTCCCCACCCCCTGGTCTCATGAGGCGGCAATTGTGCATCTGCATAGCAGGAGGGAAGTTCTCAGGGCATCCCCCATTTTCACTGAGCCTTGCAAGGAGGAGCCAGACTTTGTTGATCTTTCCTCTTCTCTGTGCCAGGTGCAAGAAGAAGGTGCCAGCCACCAAGCGCTTCACCATTCACCGGGCATCCAACGTCCTCACCATCTCGCTCAAGCGCTTCGCCAACTTCAGCGGGGGCAAGATCTCCAAGGTGCGTGGCGATCTGGAAAGCGGGGAGGGGGCACAAAGACATCCCTACTCCCCTGGAAGAGGGTTTGGAGGAGCGCTCGTGGCTGCTGTCTTTCTGACCTTTTAAGGGTCAGTATAAAAAAGAAAGTGACAGAACCGAGAAATTACACAAAACAAATGAAATACCGTGAAAATCCCTGAAACAAGAAGTAATCGACTAGAAATATTATCTTATAAAATTAAACTAAATAACGAAAATCAAGAAGTTTAAGAAAAAAAATAGAAAAACCTAGAATTGAACAAAGCCTTAATGGGATACCAGCTACAAACCTCATTTCACTGAACTATTCAGTTTCCTCAGCAGGAAATAGAGAAATCATAAACCTTAAATGACCAAATTCAAAGAAAGGGGGTAAATCTCCTAAAAATTCTGAAGTACTATAATCCTAGCTGGACCTAGGTGAAGCAAAGTGCAGTAATAAAGGATTGAGGACTCAGAGGTACAGTTTCTAAAACTGAGTTTACAAAAGAGGTTTGAAAACCTAAATGGCAAGTTTTAGACACAGCCCAACTTGAAGAAAGCCAAGCACAGTAATAAAGAATTGAGGACTGAGCTGTGAAAATTTTTGTATTGCCTTTACAAAAAGGTTTAAAAAACAAACAAAAACAACCTAAATGGACAAATTCGAAGAAAGGAATACAAGATAAGCGGTTTTAGATTTTAAACAAACTCAAGAACAGGGCTGAAAAGCTCCCATGGTCTAGATGTTACTGCTGATGTTGAAGACTGATTATAGTACTTTAGATTTTTTGGGAGATTTACCCCCTTTCTTTGAATTTGGTTATTTGAGGTTTATGATTTCTCTATTTCCTGCTGAGGAAACTGAATAGTTCAGTGAAACGAGGTTTGTAGCTGGCATCCCATTAAGGCTTGGTTGAATTCTAGGTTTTTCTAATTTTTTCCTTAAACTTTTTGATTTTTGTTATTTAGTTTAATTTTATAAGATAATATTTCTAATTGATTACTTCTCATTTCAGGGATTTTCATGGTATTTCATTTGTTTTGTGTAAGGTTTTTTAAGGCTGGCTTTCTTAAGAGCGTAGAAGTCTCCAAAAACTGTCAGCCTAGGGACCACTTGTGTTTCCTGGATCAGATGCTGCCTTTGTTTTCCTGTTTACGCACCAGCATTCTCCGCTAAGAGGCAGACTCCGAGCGGGTGGGACAAATCCCCATGGATGCCTTCCCTTTTCCCTTGCAGGATGTTGGCTACCCTGAGTTCCTGAATATCCGCCCCTACATGTCTCAGAGCAACGGTGATCCTGTCATGTATGGCCTCTATGCTGTGCTGGTACATTCAGGATACAGCTGCCATGCGGGGCATTACTACTGCTACGTCAAGGTGAGTCCTTTCGTCTGTTGTCAAAGGGCAGCCTTGGCAGCGGAGAGGGGTGCTTTGCACCCCAGGCTGTGGGGTGGTAATGTGAAGCATTGGCAAGCATCAGTGTGGAAGGCTGAACTGCGTGAATGCTCTAAGTGTGTCTAGCTATCTTGCTTGGAATTCCTGCTATCTCACTGCTGGCATTCGGAGTGGCCAGGCTTTTAATGCTGCTTTCTCCAGAGGTTCAACAGCAAAGAATCTTGGTGATTGCAGATGGTGCATCTCTGGAGCTCTGATGTTCATGTCCAAATGTTATAAGTTGGCTGGAAGTTGTAGGAGGCAGCCTGCTGGAAAAACATTCTCTCCAGCGGGTGCAGAATGCCACAGTGAGACTCCTTACAGGGTCCTCACTGCAGGATCACATTCACCTGGTGCTATACCACTGGCTCCCGGTGCAGTACAGGATCAGGTTTAAAGTGCTGGTTTTAACCTTTAAAGCCCTATACGGCCTAGGACTCTCGTACCTATGGGACCGCCTCTCCTGGTATGTCCCACAGAGAAACTTACGGTCTTCAAACAAAAACATCTTGGAGGTCCCGGGCCACAGGGAGGTTAGGCTGGCCTCAACCAGAGCCAGGGCTTTTTCGGCTGTGGCCCCGATCTGGTGGAACGTTCTGTCACAAGAGACTAGGGCCCTGTGGGACTTGACATCTTTCCGCAGGGCCTGCAAGACAGAGCTGTTCCACCAGGCCTTTGGTCTGACCCCCTCCTTTGGTAATCCTCACAGAACTCTAGCCCAATGGTTGCCATTAATTTGATTTTGAACTGATGTTAAAATGAATTGATTTTAGAATGCTGTGTTACTTTTATTGTTGTTAGCCTCTTTGAGCCCGGCTTTGACTGGGGAGGGTGGGATATAAATAAATTATTATTATTATTATTATTATTATTATTATTTTATTATCTCTAGCACAAGAATTATCCAACCGTTTATTGACCTAGTTGGCATTATTCCTACCCATAGTAGCCAGCTAGATGGCAAAGGGGAAGTTTAGAAGTGGGGTAACTAACCTCCCTAGGGTTATTCTCCAGCTCTTGGTATTGTTATCAGTGCATGTGGATGTTGGATTCCTGGCTATCATGACTTGCAGCCACTGGTACATCTGTTCATGAATTTTGTTTGTTTCCCAAATTTGGGTGCCCAGCTGTTTTTGGACTGCAGTTCCCATCATCCCTGACTTCTGGACTTGCTAGCTAGGGATGATGGGAGTTGTAGTCCCAAAACAGCTGGGGACCCAAGTTTGTGAAACATTGACCTAGTCCCTTTTTCCGATGGAGCTTATGCCTACCTTTGATGGTGTGGAGTGCTTCTTCCCCTCCTGCCTAACGCTACCCTTCTGTGCTGTGTTGTAGCTACAAATCCTCCTTCCTATCCCATTTTCAGGCTAGTAATGGGCAGTGGTACCAGATGAACGACTCAATGGTGCATTCGAGCAACATCAAAGTTGTCCTCAATCAACAGGCATATGTGCTTTTCTATCTTCGGTAAGTGGGACATGATATGGGACCTGCCGTTGGCCACCTCTCTTCATGCCTGTTTCTTGGGGTGCCCTTCAATCCACCCGTCACCTTTCTGCTAATCAAGTGGAGTGGAGAGGAGCAGAAGTCCATTTTTTTTTAATGGAGGGAGAAGCAGGCTGGGGTGAACTGGGGGCGATGATAATAACACGGTTGTTGCTAATGCTGGGAAGCACCCTTGCCATTCTTAACCTGTCACTGTTTTAGCAGGGTCCCCACTACTTCTGCTGATGTCGTTTCCTTTTCATGTTGCTGTGCTGTAATCGCTAAATATCATCTCATGTAAATGATCAAAATATGCAGAGGGAAGCAGAGTCCCTGGCAGTGGTGCACAAATAGTAAATAGCAGTGAAAAGCCCAATAATATGTACCTTTTATAAAAGAAACTCTAAAAACCAAGTGTGTTTAGACCAGAGGTCGGCAACCTAAGGCCCATGGGGAGGTCTGCCGGGGAGTAGACTAGCCCGGTCTCAAAAAACGTTGCCAACCCCTGGTTTAGACCCTCTTTCAATAAAGTCTTTCTCTGTGATAAAATGTACATCAATGCTAATTTGTAGCCGCTCTGCCAAACTGTTCAAAGGCCAATATATACTAGAATACAATTAAAAAATAATAATCTTGCTATTCAGTTTTTGCACTGCCCTTTTTTGTTGAAGTCTTCAGTTTATGAATGATCTCACACCAACATCTGTAGAGGTGCGGTGTTTTTCCGTTGATAATTTGTAATCAATAATAAACCCTGGTGTTACATTTTCATGCAGTACTTCAAATGCTGCAACAGTTTGTATTGTACTCTTGCATGCTGTCCATTGAATGATTTGAGGGCCCTATGCATTAGCAATGTACAATCTATAGCTGGCAAAGGGTTACATAAGTCGAGATGTTTTTGCGTTTTAGATATTCCTTTGTGTGCATATTGTTTTCTGTTGGGCTTTTTGGGTTGTTTACTGTTTTATGGTTTAAAGTTGTTTCCTTAACTTCTCTATTTGCTTTCCTTTTTTAAATCTAAGACCAAACAAATACTTCTGTATTCTTTTGTATTTGTAAACTGTAGCGCAGTGGTAGGGAACCTCAGACCTGTGTCCCAAATTAGGTGCTCCAGGACCTTCCCATTTGGCCTGCAATGTGGCTTTTTTGGGAGGGGAGGGGGGAGGAAGCCCTTCTCATCACTTCATGCCAGCGCATAAATGGTGTCGCTCTGGTGTCAAATTCCAAAGAAATGCTTTATAGAGCACACTATAAATGTGTGTTATAGTTGTTAGGGTACCTGATGTCATTGTGGTGTCTCTGGTGACTGATAAATGGGCAGCCCTGCCTACCCGTCGGAATGGATTGCAGAGGGTGCCCCAATTCTTGGCCCGGATGATTTGCCAGATCCAAAATAGGCTCACCTTGGCTCATCAGCCACACCCAGTTCCCCACCTTGGCTGTAATGTAATCCTTCATACTGAAGAAGGTTCACAGCACCTGCATTCTCTTGCCAAAGATCATGGCTTTAATCCCTGCCCTATTAAACCTTGCTGCCTTGGTTGCATGATCCTGCTCTGTGCTGGGAACCGGATTGTGCAGCCAATGCAGGATTGAAAGCTGTCCTATCATCCATCAGCTGACAACACCGGTGACATCAGCTGATGGGCAGGTGGGTGTGGTTTGGAGGAAATGGCCTCCCTGAGCTAAATTAGTCCTGGTGCGCCAAGATTGGCCTAAGAGCTAGAGGTTCCCCACCCCCCTGGTCTGAAGAGTAGGGTGACCTCTAAAAATAGTGATAGCGATAAAGTACAAGTTCCTCCTTCTTCTTCCCCCTTTTCAAGGATCCCAAGTACCAGGAAGAATTCTGAGGGGACCATCTCCAAAAGCACATGCCCTGCATCCAACCGGGCAAGCATAGTCTCCGACCACATGAAGAAAAGCATGACCAATGGTGCCCTTGCGTCACCGCTGATGAGCAAGGTGAATATCTGCATAGTCCGCCTGCCATCCAGAATTTCCCACCGTCGGAACTGTGTGTACTTTGAACTTCAAAAGGAAAGGGAAAAGTCTTAAGCTGAGCAGTGCAGATTCTGGGCTGAGGAGAAACAAAACCCAGTGATCTGAAAAAACAACCCCAAAGTAAATTGAGAGCGAGTACCCTGAAGCTCTCTTCAGCTACTGAAAAATATTACGCAGTCTCCTCTTTGGCTTGGTGACGCGGTTTCAGGTTAAGAATAGAACTCTGGAATGAATTAAGTTCGTAACCGGAGGTACCACTGTACTGGGGGTGGGTGGCGCTGTGGGTAAAACCTCAGTGCCTAGGACTTGCCGGGTGGCGCTGTGGGTAAAACCTCAGTGCCTAGGACTTGCCGATCGTATGGTCGGCGGTTCAAATCCCCGCGGCGGAGTGAGCTCCCGTCTTTCAGTCCCAGCTCCTGCCCACCTAGCAGTTCGAAAGCACCCCTAAGTGCAAGTAGATAAATAGGTACCGCTTTGTAGCGGGAAGGTAAACGGCGTTTCCGTGTGCTGTGCTGGTGCTGGCTCGCCAGAGCAGCTTCATCACGCTGGCCACGTGACCCGGAAGTGTCTCTGGACAGCGCTGGCCCCCGGCCTCTTAAGTGAGATGGGCGCACAACCCTAGAGTCGGACACGACTGGCCCGTACGGGCAGGGGTACCTTTACCTTTTTACCCTGAAGCTCTCTTCAGCTACTGAAAAATATTACGCAGTCTCCTTTTTGGCTTGGTATGTTATCCGCACACTTTTCATCAGCAGCCATAAGTGCAAGTTTTTTTGGTTTTTTTGGGGGGGGGGAATTGAACTTGAAAGCATACAAATGCACTGCAGCAGGCAGGCAGACAGCCCAAGACACTTATGAATAGTGGGGAGTGTACTACAAAAGATTGATGAAATTGTTGGGTTGATGCTTCTGATGCAGTCACAAAACTGGCATTTTGAGTGTTAATTTGTGGAGGAACTAAAGCCTTGTTCTGCCCCTGCAGCCTGAAGTGGTACAATCCACTCACAGGTTTACCACTTCTGTGGATTGTACCACTTCAGGCTGCAGGGGGGAAGGCTCACATGCCTGAATGTTTCTTTGCCTAGAAAACAAGATGGCAGCGAGAGGTTTGAGCCTAGCCGTTTCCCTAGCATTCCAACTTCCTATGTGAAGTACATCAAAATAACGCAAAAATGGGGGTGCGTTCCCTCACACGAGCCCTCTCCTGTGGTGTCAGTTGGTAAGGTCAAGGAAGTTATTCGTTTTACCCCCAGTACAGTGGTACCTCCGGTTACGAACTTAATTCGTTCCAGAGTTCCATTCTTAACCTGAAACCGTTCTTAACCTGAAGTACCACTTTAGCTAATGGGGTCTCCCGCTGCCGCTGCACCACCAGCACACGATTTCTGTTCTCATCCTGAGGTAAAGTTCTTAACCCGAGGTACTACTTCCAGGTTAGCGGAGTCTGTAACCCGAAGTGTTTGTAACCTGAGGTACCACTGTCCTCTTAGTAGCAGCTGAGTATTTAACTATTCCAGGCATTTGTTTAAACCAGTGGGACTTGGCATCTGTGAACCTGCTGTGTTCATACAGTATATGAAATAAAATCAAACCAGGCATTTTGGTCTCTGGGTAGTTTTAATGTAACATAAATTTTTTTAAAGGAGAGGGAATTTTACCAAGTCTTGGTATAGCAGTAATCCAAATCACCAAGATCAAAAATCTTCCAGAACCTGGCAATTGTAGCAATCAAGACAGTTCTCTCCTGTTTTGAGAATAAGGTCAGAGCCCACCGACTTGAATGGTAATAAATGCATCAGTTGCTTCCCAGCGGATCAGATGGGGGAAATCTTAACCCTGAGTAACGTGTAAGTGAACTGCATGACTTTCATGCAGCTAGATAACCTTATATGCTGTCTGCTTATACATCTGGCAGTTTGCGGGTATTGTGTTTGGATTGGTCTGAACAGTTTATTGAGCAGGGGGAGCGGTTCCCATTTTGTGGTGTTGGCTCTCCACCTGTCTTCGTTCAACACCTATTATCTTCTGTCACTACAGAGGCAAGATGTGACGCAGGCCAGGAAGACGTTGGACCCTGAGGAACCTGGCGTCCCTGTTCCTCGCAGCACCTTTGCTTCCAACTCCAAACCCCAGAACGGGACGCTTCCTCCTTCTCCTCATCCGAAGCTCATCCCTGCTGTTGGGTTCTCCTCACCTAAGCTCCCTGCCAAGCTGTCTTTCCTAGACGACTTCAGCAAGAGGTCCAAGAAGCAGCCTCTCCTGCCACTCAAAACATCTCAGGACTTCAGTGAGGTCACCAGTGTCAGGGTGGAGATGGGCAAGCAGAGCTCCTGGGGGGACAAGGGCTTGGCATTGTCTTCACAGCCGCCAGAGGCTCCCAGAGGAGACCCCGAGGCCAAAGTTCGTGAGGAAGGCCCAGAGGTGCCGAGCAAGGCCTCCTCGCCTTTGACTTCTTCCTCCTCATCTTCTTCCTCCTCGTCCTCTTCAAGCAGCTCCTTTTCCTCCAGTCCAGCACATCGCCCAGCCAAAGGACTCCCGCAGGCCACGATGGGTGTCAACGGCTACTGCTCCTCTCAGGAATCGGACTGTGCCTCTGGGAAACCTGTTTCCGAGGACTCCAAGTTTGCCAAGCTGAAGTCGCCTTTGCTGGCTAATGTGACCAATCTGGAGCTGGGAAATACCATGTCCCCCCCACCTGCAAAAAAACTGGCCCTCTCTGCCAGGAAGGTGCGTTTTAGGGGTACTTTACCTCACCTACCTCCAAAATGGTGGCAAAAGGAGTGGTGATTTGGGGGGTGGGGTGGGGTAGATTCAGGCAGGGGGCATTTCAGGCTGCAGACTCAATCGCGTATCATGCAATCGTAGAGTTGGAAGGGATCATCTAGTCCAGGGTTTCCCAAACATGGGTCTCCAGCTGTTTCTGGACTACAACTTCCATCATCCCTAGCTAGCAGGACCAGTGGTCAGGGATGATGGGAACTGTAGTCCAGAAGCAGCTGGAAACCCAAGTTTGGGAAACTGATCTAGTCCAACCCCCTGCAAGGCAGGAATATTTTGCCCAAAGTGGGGCTCGAACCCACAACCATGAGATTCAAGAGTCTCATTCTTTACCAGCTGAGCTGTTTTGTAGGTAGGAGCCCAGGGAGATTCATCACCTGGCCAGCTTGTAAGCCCCAAGTACTTTCTGACTACCCTCCATTGTTGCATACTTGGGGGCAGTACTACGGCCCACACATAATGCTAAGTCAAATCATGGCTTAGTGTGAAAAAGCAAATGTGCAGGTTCCCTGATTCAAGGATTGCAGCCACAGCACTCCTCTTGTGCTGCCCAGGGCAGAGCAGTGGCTTGGCCCAGGTTCAGATGCCGTTCTAAGCCAAACCATGGCTTGGTCCTGGGTAGCATGGCAGCAAGCAGAACCCGGGGAGGAGCAAAGCGGCTGAGATGTCCACTCCCGGAACCGGCGTGCGCCCTATTCGTGCTCAGCCATGGTTTGGCTTGATTCTACCTGCGAACAAGCTCAGTATTCTTTTAAGCAGGTGTCTTGCCTTGCGAATGCATTCTGTGCAGGGGGACCCTGTTTCCCCAGACTCTAGGGGAGAAACTTGTGTTCTGTAGAGCTGGTCTCCCCTCATTCTTGCCCCTTCAAATCCTCTTGCTTGGTGAGGCCCATATTAAAGGAGGCATTTCGCTGCTCACAGGGCCAGAGCAGAGAGACCCTGGCTGGTTCTTTTCGTTCCTCTCTTTGGAAACAAGGAAGATGGGAAGGTGCCTGTTGCCCATTGTTTTATTCTAACACTGTTCTGTCTTTATACATGTCCTTCCTTCTTTTCCCTTTGTTTCTAACAGCAAACACTTTTCTGATTCTTTTTCCCTGTCCCACCCCCACCTGTTCTTTTGTTTTCCCCCTCCCCTCTCTTCTTGCTCTGCCCCCTGGGGTTACGGAAACCTCTTTTTAGACCACCAAGTTTTTATTTATGTCAATAACTACAGGGCAGCAACACACTGCAGAAACTGAGCAGCAGTGAGCGCCTGGCGCCGCCCCACCCTCCACCAGCTGCTACAAAAACCACCCACCCCGTCTGTGCCGCTGCGCTCGACTATCCCAGGTGAGCTCCCAGGGCCCTTGCGGGGGTGGGGGGCGGTCATAACCCTGGCCTGGCTTTCTGAACCCTGTCCTTGCTATGTGGCTCTTTGGCTTGTCATAATAAGTCACTGTAGCGTTTGGTACTTTTCTGAAGCAAAGCCTTTCTGGATTTGAGGGTGTTGCTGCAATTGCTAACATGTGCCTTGAAGCCCACCTGTTACTGGGTGTTGTGTCTGGTTTGGGTGCTTTGGGCAAATGGACAGGGAATGAGAAACATCACCCCGCTTGGACATTATGTGTGAGAGCAGCCTCTGTGTTTTTTTAATTTGTGTTTTACACACACACACACACTGGTACCTCTGGTTGCGAACGGGATCTGTTCCGGAGGCCCTTTTGTGACATGAAAAGAGCGCAACCCGCAGTGGTGTGTCTGTGCGCACACGGGTTGTGATTCCCCGCTTCTGTGCATGCGCACGGCGTCATTTGGCACGTCTGCGTATGCGTGAGCCTGACATGTGGTCATACAGGCTGCTATTGCTATAAGGCGGACTGTCATTTTGAGATCTTCTTGGGGGTCCCACAATTCCTTTAAAATAGCCAGATAATACTACCGCTAAAACAGGTGCATGCAGGGCTGCCTTCTATTCTGGGCACCTTTCTGTGGCAAAAGTGGGGCGAGCTAGGAATGTAAATTTTGTCCTTGCACAGTAGGCAAGTTTCTAAATACACTCATGCACCCCTCTAGAATCCTACATCCAGGCAACCGGAGTTCGATGGCACATACCAACCAGATAAAAACCCTTGAGAGGGTATGAAGTAGGACTGGCAAGGGCTGTGGCTCGGGGAGAGGGATCGTGGCCCACGGATGCTCGTGAGGGCCATATCAAGGCCTAGAGTGGCCGCATCTAGCCCCTGTGCCTGAGGTTCTGCATCCATCTAGTAAGGGCTTTCTTGGTAATTCATAATCCAATACTTTATTTCTCTTAATACATGATTCCAGGCCACCATCTCTTGCCGTATAACCTCGCATCAGTGCAGTCTTCCTTCCCCACCCTTTTACTAGCGCTCAGTTGAGAGTCTTGTTGGCTCACGTTGTTCATCTGAGTTCTCCAGGGACAACTGTACTTCTGGGTGCAAGTCTGCCAACCGTCCAGCCTCTGCAGAGGTGCACAACTGCATTGCTCTGTACTGCAAGCTTTTTATGCTACAGCGAGACACTCTGTTCTTTGAGACTAAACTCTTAAAAGCAATACAAATTAGCTTATACTTAGGTAGCGAAGCATCTGCATGCTTTGAATACAGATGGAACTTAAGGGGTTGTTTATCCTGCAAGAAGCAGTGCAGAACAGAGCAATAGAAGGAGGTGATCTCTAGGGAAATGCCCATGCAAGGCAGGGTGGGCAGGTTCTCACTGTTCCAGAAAACCCCAAGAATTATTGTGAACGGCCTTAAAATATTCAAATATAGCTCCACAATCTGGTGAATATAAAAACTCAAGCACCAAAGTGCCTTGGCGGGAGAGCTTTGAATTTGGCCCTGAAATAACTCCTCAATTAGGGCATAGAAATCATCCAGCCCAGAAGAACTCCACGCCTGTGTTGTGGAAATGTGCTAGCTGACTGTCCTATGAATATCTTTAGGTGAATAAATCTCTATAGATTGAGCTAGAAGTGGCATGGAGCTTAGGACCCTCGTACCTATGGGACTGCCTCTCCTGGTATGCCCCGCAGAGGACCTTAAGATCCATAAATAGCAACACCCTAGAGGTCCCGGGCCCTAAGGAAGTCAGGTTAGCCTCAACCAGAGCCAGGGCCTTTTCAACACTGGCTCTGGCCTGGTGGAATGCTCTGTCTCATGAGACCAGGGCCCTGCAGGATCTGATTTCTTTCTGCAGGGCCTGTAAGACAGAGTTGTTCCACCTGGCCTTTGGCTTGGAATCAACTTGATCCCCTCCCCCTCTTTCCTTTTTCCTTTCTCCTTCTGTGATGGAACTCCCATTTGGGGACTTCCCTGGCTTTTTTCTGGACCAGTCTGGATAGTTGGCCTTGGTGAAGATTTGACGTTTTCATCCCCCAAAAGTTTTTGATTTGAGTTTCTACTGAAATGAGGCTGCATTTTAATGTTGTATTTTAATCTTGTTTTTAAGTTGTATTTTAATCAATTGTTTTTATACCTGGTGTTAGCCGCCCTGAGCCCGGTCTTGGCTGGCTGGGGAGAGCAGAGTATAAATAAATAAATAAATTATTATTATTATTATTATTATTATTATTATTATTATTAGTGAGGAAACATTGCAGGGTCAGTGAAGTGGGGTTGGGCCTTTGGGATAGGGGCAGAAACAGTTCCAAAGCCTGACGCCATACCAGTCTTAAGCCTGGAAGGAGCTGAATGTTTATTAATGCCTAGGGCATGTGGGGTGGTCTGCCTCTGTATCCCAGTTGCTGCAGATCACAAGTAGGGAAAGGGCTGTTGTGCCCAAGTCCTGGGCACCTGGTTGACCACTCTGAGAACAGAATGTAGAATTAGATGCATGAATCCAACAGGGCTTTCCTTTGCTTCGGTTGACAATGCTTTGTCCTTCTGGGTGATGTAAGGGACCATTTATGTTGTGAAAGAGGCCGGCACTGGCTCTCTTTTAGAACAGAAACGGGTGTGGTCTTCTGCAGAGACTTCTGCCGCTTTGGTGTCGGTTGGCTCTTAGCTTTGTCTGTGTGTGATTCTCTAGGACGCCCTCATCTGCTTCCAAATCTTCAGCGCCTCCACCGCCGGCCAGCAGCGCCTTTGTCAAACCCTTGCCCAGCTTCAAATCATGCTGCCTCTCTGCCGCCCCTCTGCCGCCACCTGCGGTGCCCAAAGAGGCACTGAGCCACTCTTGCCCAGACCGGGACAAGAGGCCTTTCCTTGCCAGCTCCAAGAAGAGGAAAAGGAAGCGTAGCCTCTCGGAGGACGAACAAGGCACCCATTGCATCCCAAGCACACGAACCATTGGTGCAGGGGGAACCTGCCTCTCCAACCCACCCAGGAAGAAGAGGCAACTCGAGGAAAACGGCAGGCCTGGAGACTCCTCTCCTGAACCGGAATCTGACTTGGTGGCAGCCAGGAAGGGAGAGGAAGAGGGAATAGCTGGAGGCTGCAAGGTAGCAGATCCTAGTCTAGCTAATTCCACCCAAAAGAGGAAAAAGAAGAAAAAGAAAAGGAAGCTGCAGCAAACAGAGGAAGACTGTAAGCCTTTGCTGTCCCCTGTGAACAGGTGAGTGTTTGCTTGGTTGTCTTTTCTAGGGGAAGGGCTTTGCTTGGAGAGAGAAACATGAGCACTTGACATCTCCACCATCTGGAGGTGCATGCCTGGGGATCCTTGGATCTTGACTGTTTTCACACACTAATGCCTCATCCTGTAGAATTCTATCGGTTATATTTTATCTGTGCAATCGGAATGAATTTCAGGAACCAACATGTCTTTTCTGTGCAGCCAGAACAGGAGCAGTGAACAGCGTTATAGGCTTGTCTTCACTTAACCCACCCCACTGCCTGCTCAGTTATGAAGCATATTCTTATGTTATGAATGGTCTGTTGTCACCATTAGGGAAAAAGAGGTCAGAAATAGGCCACTGTATATGTGGACTGTCCCTGGATCAAGTAACTTTCCTTAAGTTCTCAAAACTCTTAACCTAGCTCAAGGTTGTCATCTGAACTAGCCAGATGTTTAACTGCGAATCACTCAAGTCAATCCATCATTTGAAAAATAAGGCTTGCCATCTTGCCCAAAAATGGCAACTGGACATTCCATTTTGGCGACTTTAACCTTGGTCTGAGGAGCCATTTGGCGCCTAGGCTTATATATCTGGCTTTCTAACACTGTTGGGATGGCAAGCCATGAAGACTTAGACTAAGCTCTCAGACCCCTCTGTGAATTGCTAGGTTGCTTACATTGCTAGGTAGGAGTGTGTTTCCTTGTTACCTGTGTCTCAAGGGTCTTTGGGCCTCTCCCCTGCCCCCCCATCACCTTCAATAATAATAATAATAAAAATAAATAATAAAACAAGTGGAGCCTTTGAGCCTAGTGGAACCAAGCGTTGCCCTGTGTTTACACAAGTCCTTCCTGCTGCCTTTTGGACCAATGTTTTGCATAATCCTGGCCCTTCCTGTCTGGTTGACCATCTTCTTTCCTCCCCTTTAAAGGACTGTGCCTACAAACCTGAGGCACTTATTTTTGAGGCTTCAATCCTGTGCAAGCTCAATTGGGAGTAAACTCTGCTAAGCAGAGTGGGCGGTCTCCTGAGTAGAGATGTAGATGTATTAAACAGGCCAAAAGGTACAGCTCAATAATTTTGATAAGAAGAAAGCAAGCACAGCATATAGTTCAGTTCCCCCAAAAGTTCCTCTTCCTTGCCCCTCTAAAATGAAAACTCTGAGGAAGGGGGAAGTTTGCCTCCCAGATTTCCAGAAGCCTGGTGCTTCTTATCTGTGTATAACTAAAAATAGGTTTTGGGATTCTGCCGCTGCTACTGGTACAGACTGCGGGGCGTTTTGCTCAAATGCATTTTGCAGAATATACATCTGCCTAGAGATGAAACTGACGCTTTCTGACTGGCATCTCTCTGTACGCCTGATCCTTTTAAGCAAGATCATGTAGCTGAAGGCTAGGCTTGCCATACAGCAGGAAAATTCCTGATATGTCCTCGCTTTCAGGTGTAAAAATGGTGTCAGGGGAATTTTGCCGAATTGCCAAAATGTCTGGGAAAACCCGGGTGTCAGGCAACACGATGGAAAAAGCAGCAGAAACAGCTCCAAAAGCTGAGAATCACTATTTTGGGGGGCAGTTTCCCCCCAAAAGCTCAACTTTTTGAAATAATGCAACCCTACTGAAGGCTAAATCTGGACCCTCTCAGAAACATGGGCTGCTGGTTGCTGGATAAGACATGGAAAATTGGAAAGGAAAGGAAATCATATAAATATGCTTAATTTTTCTGAGTGCTAGTCCTTATGTGGCCCCAAACAGCACCATATTGGCACAGATATATTAGGCGTGGGGTGACCTCAAGGTTTACAGAAGGAAAAACAGTAGGGGGGAGAGCCCCGGAATAGCCCAGTAAGGACTGAGCATGCTCAGTACCAAATAATGCTGACTGGTTCTTTGCGGGGAGGGGGATGGACTAAATATCTGGGAAGAGGGGCATGTTTAGCTGGCTGGAATCCTGAACTGGAACACCCACCCACCCCAGTTCAGCATTTTGTTGTGAGACTTCGCTCGCATGTATAGCAGTCTTCATCTTTAGAACCTGCATATAAATACATGATGAGCCCTTTTGTGCCCTATTTCATTCTTTTATGCAGAAAGTTCAGTTTTGATGGAGGCCGTTTTAAGAGACTGGTTTTTATTTTTACCTATTTATTAGATTCATATACCGCCCTTCATCATAAGATCTCCGGGTGACTCACAGAATAAAAAACAGGATAAAAACAAGTAAATAAGTAAAACGAAACATCAAAACAATACCCCACCCTTTCCCACAGACACATTTAAAAGGCGGTAGAGTATTAATCAGCCAAAGGCCTGGTTGAAGAGGAATGTTTTCACCAGGTGCCTAAATATATATATATTGAAGGCACCAGGCGAACCTCCCTAGGGTGACTATTCAACAAACAGGGAGCCACCACAGAGATATTGCCACCCTCTGTACCCCAAATGGAGGGGGCACACAAAGAAGGGCCTCAGATGATGATCTCAGAGTCCATTTGGGTTCATATGGGGAAAGGGTCCTTGGGGTGGTATTCTTTGTACTTTCTCATTGCATTCAGATACAGTTTTAAAGCAGGTTATTTTAAAGCAATGGCTGCTGATTGTACTTTTTTCTGGGTGGGTGGGAGGAACAGTTCTAACTTTAAAAAAATAAATGAATAAAACCAAAGGGGTTGGCTGATGTTTTTTAATCCATTTTGCAGCTGCCCTCCACAGCGCGAGGCAGAAGCCTGCCTAATAGCCCATGAGCCGGTGGAGGAGTCCTGTAGCCTGAAGAAGAAGAAAAAAAAGCAGCAGCAGCAGCAGCTTCCTTGCCCAGCTTCGGACAGCGGCAGCCCTGCTGGAGAGAGCGAGCACCGAAAGCACAAGAGGAGGGAGAAGCAGGGGGGCTCTGTGCCAGAGGCCAGCAGCCCCCAAGAAGAACAGAGAGAAAATGGTCTTTCCTCTGCTAGAATCAGCCCCCCAGGTTTGAGACATATCTATATCTTAGCTGGGTGTGTGTGCGGAGAAAGGAGATTTAGAGTGGGGGACGATGTACCCCCCAGTTCAGATCAGCTCCTAGAATGGGCATAGGGGAGCTTGGACTTGCTGCAGTTCTAAACTAGGCTGAGCTGCCATCAGCTCCACTGTATCTGTGAAGAGCAGTAGTGACACTTGCTCCGAACCCAGAGCTCTTTTTGGGACGCGGAAGAACTGTTACCTATTTATATATTTATATTTACACACACACACACACACACGGTTTCCTTATGTCCAAACAAAAGCAATATAGGTGCCTAACTGTCAGGACTGGTCATTGTCCTCTTCAGATCACCACACAAACACTTCTTGTTCTTTTATAACCTTTTATTGTGTATTAACAAACAATCTTATAAACTGTTCTTATCTTTAGCTATTATTCCTCAGAGTCACTTATTTCAGATACCTTCTGAGCTCTGCTTCTCCATGACCAGCAACTCTCAAAATGGCGAACGCGTCGTTCCTTTCGCTTTCCCGCTCTTTTTTCTAACCTCCTCGCTATAGCTGGCTTGTATCTCCTCTCCTCCAAATCTGAGCTATATTAGATTCACTGCTCTCCTCCCTCCCTCAGGGAAAACTTTCTCCCTCTGGGAAACTGGAAACTTCTAACTCTTAACTCTTCCCTGACACTAACTACCCAGCAACTATGTAGAATGTGGTTGTGGGTTTTCTCCCAAGGTTCCCTCTGCTTTTGTCCCAAGGCTTCATAGCCTCTGCCTGTTTAGTTTGTGCACACCGGGCGTCTCTTCCTAGGCATGCAGATGAGCTCAGATGTAACCCCCACAGCTCTGACATGTTGGCGCCTAACAGCCTAAGCTCAGTTAAACAAGCCATTGTGATTAATTCTGGGTGCAAACCCTAGGAACTTGTGCAGTATTGTGGTTGGTGGGAATGTTCCAATAGTCTGTTGGTGTCTTGCAGGTGTTTTCCCCCTGCAGGTGTAAGTGAGCATTTTTACCTTGGCCTGTGGACCACTGGGAATGCAAATCATACACCTGTTCCTGGGGTTGTGTTTCTTTTCAGTTCTGTTCCCTTGGTTTCCCTGGCACTGCTGCAGAGTGGCAGGTCAGATTTGCTGCACGACATGATTGTGCCAATACTTCTTACCACGCACCCTTCCTTCTTTCCACAGTGGCCTTGACCTGGACTGGCAGCCAGCTTAGACATGGGGACAAGTGCTCCTGGAACATCCCAAGTCCAAAGAAGGAAGTGATACATCAGAAGCATGAACAGTTTGATGTGGTCCAGGAGCTGCTGAAGGATTCTTCAGATAAAGCTTATGGAAAGCAAGGTATAGTACTGCTTTAAGGAAAGGGGTCTTCCCGTAAACAGATGAGGCCCTCCTGCTCCTGTGTTTTGGAAGGGGTTTTCTCCTCTTAAGCCACAGTAGGAAAACAAATAATGGAGATCTTTGGCATTCTCAAAAGGCACCCCGTGTTTTATGATAGAAGTGCATGTAGATAAGACAGTGTCCCTGTTTCTCTATACGCTTCTGGTGATAGCACCTTGCTGGCTTCTTCAATGGAGAAATGAGGAAAGGGCAGAGGGCTGGGATAGTGAGGAAGGATTGCCACCAGGGCCGGCCCACCTGTGAGGCAAGCTGAGGCAACTGCCTTGGACGGCAGGACCCACAGAGGCAGCAGATAAATGTGTTTTTGGTATTTGGATTGTTCTTACTATAAAATGAAAATGAAAAACCACAGGGGCAGCAGATCCTGATGTAGATTTTTATTCCCCTCCCTGTTCCTGATGTAGATCTTCACTCATCCATTCTTCCCTGGTGGGGAGGGCGGCACCATTTTGTGGTTTGCCTCAGGTGCTGAAATGTCTTGGGCCGACCATGTGTGCCACGACCCCCAGCTCTTCTTTGACAATGTGTTTCCTCCACAGTGTTGACATGGGATGGCGAGGTGTCGGCCGTCAGCCAAGCTGCCATGCAGGATGCTGTATGGTCTCAGAGCCAGACAGTCATTGACGATTGGGATGAAGAGTTTGACAGTGGAAAGGTAAGAAGCCTAGCCTGTTGCAAGCCTAGCCTAGTGTGTTCAGTTGCTAGTTTGGATTGCTTTTAAAACAGGCTTCCCATCTTGAAAAGCATATATTTCTTCAGCATGCCTGCCCACTCACTTGTTGCTAGATCAAAATATATCTGCTTGCATTTATAATAGAGCTGTTATATGACCTATGAGCATGAGCCAAATTTTAGGCTGAGTGGGTGATCCTAGTGATAGTCAGGAAGACATCTTTTGGATCTCAGTCCCATTGATCACTTTCTGATTGCCTCTGGGTTGTTATTATTTAATTAGCTTTTGTCCATCCCAGCAGCTGCTTTCTGGTGAGTAGAGTAGGGAGGGAATGTCCTTTCTACGCTTCACTTGATGTGGATGGCAGCTTGGATGCTAGAAGCTGGAACAACCACGCGTTCTTTCTTCTTGCCGTAGGTGAAGAAAATCAAGAAACTCAAGCGTGAGCGGAGAAGAAATGGCAACGCGTTCCAGAAACTGCAAAGCCGACGTAATTTCTGGGCCGTGACACATCCCGCTAAAGTTGCTAGCCTGAGCTATTGGCTTTGAGATGGTGAGGAACTTGAGTGCAGCCTACCAGAGGGATTTGGGGAATTGCAGTTTATGGAGTGGGCAAATGGAAAATTATTCGGCGGTGGAAATGGCTCGTAATTAGGACTGTGGTGCCTGTGTGCGAGGGGTGGGAAGGCGTATTTGATTTTGCAAAAGCAACTGTTAAACAATGCACTGATTTTGTTTGTGCCATAAAGGGTCCTTCATCAGCTGCAGACCCCAGGTTCTGTTTGCTTTTAAAATGTGACCGTTTGATTACCTACAGCAAATATTAAGCTCATGTAGTCCTTGTTTAGACTGATTACATTATTCTAAATATGGAAGTTGGATTCTTGTCTTTTACAACTCCCAACTTCTGCCGAGGGATTTAAGCGATGACGAGCGAAGTCTTGTAGGACCTTCTACAATATGCAGGTGTAGGAGTTCTACAAAGCAGTGTTGCCATTCTTTTTCCTTTCCCTCATTTAAACCTGTGGTTGCAGAATCTCTGTTGCCCCCTTATTATTTTTTTAGCTTCCTTTTTTCAACTTCGTTCTCTTCCTTCTGCTCCTCACACCCCCCAGTGGTCAAGAGGGTGCAATCCCGTAACACTTTTCCTATGGCACTAATTCGTTCTCCATCTCGACCCCGCAGATGAGTTCTTGGCTGCAGCAATGCTATGGCGAACTCCGGTTCTTTGGAGCGCCCGGTGACCAACACAATACTGTCAACAGTCGCAAGTTGCCAACTCAACGGGACTCACGGGGAATGGCCTCCTCTTGCCTTGAAGGCTCTGATGGATCTTCTGTGCAGTGCCTGGGGAAATGCAGGCACCCATCGCCGCTTACTTGCAAGAGTATCACGAGGAGCCTTTGCCCGGGGAAGGTCCTGTCCCTGGGTACCCGTGGGCATCAGGCATGGCTCAGCAGTGGAGCTAGGAGCAACTAGCCCTTTGGAAATGAAATCCCTCTGTTGCCTCCGCCCGCCACCATGTGTCAGCATGATGAGCTGTGATGCCCTCTGTTCCCTTTCCTGCCAAGAGAAGATTGAGAAAGCCGAGAGCTGTGATGTTGTTGTGGTACATTTGCCCCTTTCCCCACTCCCTGGCTGAGTCATTAGGACAGGATGCAACTGACGTGGCATTTCTCCACCCATCTGCAGCCCCTTCTCTGGTTTATCCCATTTCAGAGAAGTATGAAATGCTCCACTCTGGAAATATTTTTCAAGACCATTTCCCACATGCCGTTCCTGCTGTACAAAACACTTGGGACTTGAGTTTTGTGCAGCCAGGAAAGCGGGTGGTCAGGTCGTCCTGCCCTGTACAGTTGTGTTCAAATGCATTCACTGCCAGGGCCCTCAAAAGGTGGTGCTTTGCAGTGACAACTTCTGGGTAGCATTCTCCAGCCATAGTTAAGTCACGGTTCATTTGAGATTTGCCTGTTGCTGGAGTGTGTTGCTTCAAGCTGCAGGCAGGGGAAGAAATGTTTGAATGCTCCACACAACAAAAATAATTAAAAAATTCCATGCACACATCAACTAGGAGTTCTTTTCCACAAAGGAGTGTTCAGACATTCACATCCCCACTTGCAGTCTTGAAGCTTCCTTGCTTTGGGTCTTTTCTCCATGCCTCCTCTTAAGCGTTGTCCTAATTAACTTCCGGCAGGCATCGTTGCACAGCTTGTGTGGCAGAAGTTAATGGCTCCAAGAGGACCTGATTCTCTCACAGCATATTTCCAACTTGGGAGTTTGTACTGGAGAGAGGTTGCCCAAAACATCACTTGCTTTGGCACCAAGGCAGAGCGGGGCTGCTGCCTGCCAAAATGAGAGAGACCCAAGTGCCCCTGTGCCAAACCTTTTTCAGTGGGTAGTTGTCAAGCCAAGTGGTGCAAGGGCTCCTGTTCCTGCAGGGCTGGCCTAGGGTTTCCTTTATTCCCTTGCATCTGCTGCTGTCTAGCTGTTAACCTTGGTGGCTTACTCCCAGGTAGGCAGCCTTTACCTGTAACTTCCCCACAAATGCATGATTGGTTGGAGGGGCAATCCATGTGCATCCCACCCATTCCTGGCATTCCCAGCATTGCTCATTCAACTTTGGCACCCATTCCCTCTCTTCATAGATTGGGTGCAAAGGTTGAAAACTAGCTTTATTTTCTCCACCGTATCAAAGCAGTTACCAAAACGGTTTTGGCCATTGCATTTAATTTGAGCTGATGATTTATTATGATTATTACGATTCTTTTTTTCTTTATCTTGGGGAGGGGGGGGCACTGACCCTGTTCACTCTCTCAGCGGGGAGCAGTCTCTTCCCCTCTGGCAGTGCCCGTTTAACAATCTCCTGCCAACATGTAGATACCCCAAGCGGGTATTATGCACCTCATGCTGGGGCTTGCTGCAGTAGCCCTAGTTGTAGCAATGGTTCATGGTGCAATAAAGGAATGTTTTATGTATGTGTGTGTGTGTTCAGTCTTGTCGATCGGTTTCTCTTGTGATTGATTGCAACAGTAATTCTTCCATGACCGCTCACCTCTTAAGCTTGCCATTAGTCTGAAGCCCTAGCTGAGAACTCCTTTGTTCCACTTGGTTTATCCCCCTTGTCTCAGGCCTTCCTACTCTCTCACTTTCTGTGTAGTTGCAGTACCGGGGTGGTTATGTTGGGTACTTTTCAAGACATCCTAACATCGTAACACCCTTATGTGCATGCCTTTGCTTTGGCCTATTGCAGAACTGAAGGCAAAAGCTAGGGGGAAGACGTGAGCCCAGCCTCTGAAATAAGGGCATTTGACCTAACCAATAGAAACAAGTGGATTTTTTTTTGGGGGGGGGGAAATCTCGTGCCCCTTAGAGACTGATCCCCACTACCCACCTGAACAGCCTCCGCATTATAGAATCATAGAATTGTAGAGTCTGAAGATACCCCGAGGGTCAGAAACCTCCAGCAATGCAAGAATCTCAACACGCCCCCCATCCAGTTTGAAGCCATACTGGATCCTGCTTAGCTTTGCAACATGCATGGGGTCAATGCATATTGCAAAGATTCTCAAACCCTTGAGGAGAGGTTTGCTGCAATGGTTGAAAGGCCATGTAACTTCCAGGTTAACCCCAATTCCACCTGAACAGCTTTACAGCTGTAGATTTTATATATGCCACATTCAGTGGAGCGAATATTCTTCCTGTGGTTTGCCATTAAGCACACACATCATGCTGAGAAGTTGTAGCGTTGCCATGATCCCTTATAGGGAGCGAGTGTAGGAAGCTGCTATTCTATTCGTATCAGGCTAATGGTCCATCTTGCCTCGTATTGTTTACACTGACTGGCAGTGACTCTCTGGGGTTTTTGACCCTACCTAGAGATGCTGGGGATTGAACTTGAGTTCTTCTGCATGCAAAGGTAGTGCTCCACCACTCAGCTACAGCCATTCTCCAAAGATGATAGATACTGTGGCTAGTCAATGCTTTTTTCTTTATTTCTAGTTTTATTAAATTATTATTTTTAAGTGAGATTTAGAAGGGTTTGGAGGCAGGCAAAGGGGGCCACTAACTGATAGGGGAAGGGGAAATCGCAGGGACCCCTACAGGTTTGTCTGTGGCTATTGATGGTGCAGTAAAGATGGCCTTCAGTAGAGCAGAACTATATGCTCTGATGTTCTTGGCCAATGTTGCTGAACCTGCCAAGAGTGCCTAAATGCAATTTATTGTTGAATCACTCTTAAAGAAGGGCCAGTTCCTACTTTGGTAATGGGGGCACTTCTCTTGTAGTCCTAGTAGTAGACCAGTACAGTAGAACCTGTAGTACCACCGCCCCTACTTGCAAACAGTTTGATTTGTGACCATGGCAAACTCGGAAGTAAATACCAGGTTTGCCACGATTCGCGCACGCACAGAACTGCTCTTCTACCAGCGACCCGGATCGACTCACAAGCAGACCTCCAGAACGGATTCAGTACGTGAGTAGAGGTTCCACTGTAGTGCAAACTCAAAACATGCCAAATCAATTAAAACGCTGTTCAGAGCAGAGCACCAGAAATGCATTATTGGCTTGAGCAGTAAGCCTAGGCTAGGCATGTCCAAAGTCCGTTTCGGGGGCTTAATCCAGCCCACTGGTTGATTTAATCCAGCCCCTGTGGCAGTATATGTCGTGGAGTAAAATCCTAAATAAAGCTCAACAACTTCAATCCTAAAAGCTCAACAACTTTGGTCTGTCTTTAAAAGCTTGCATTTTACAAGAGGGTTGCATTAATCAATTCTGTCATAAACCCTCAATGTTTCTATGATGGTGTATCTAGAGGTTTCCGTGCTATACTGATTTAGAATGTTATTTTGCTTGCTGATCTAGGAAAGGGTTAGGAAAGAGCCTGTTTGACTGGTCCTGGCAACAACTTGTACATCGCCTGCAGGAGCTTTCTCACACTTTTGAGAAATCATTGTAAATATTACCCACAAGGAGTCTTCTTGCATTATAAGCACTGAACTATCCAGCCTGTCACACTGATTAAATGGTAGGTGCTAAAGCAGAAGCTGCTGCTCAAGAAACCACTCATACAGTGCTATTCCTGTTTCCAGGCAGACACGCCTAATATGTATGGAAATGCATATATGGCTTTTTACCCAGTATCCAAGTTTTTTTGTTTTTGTTTTAATCCAGAATAACTAGCCACAATACTGTACTGTACAGTTAAGCAGCTCTGAGAGAGTTCTAAATCTACTATAGGACTCTGTAGGTGGCACAGTGAAAATAGGAGTATGTTAAAATGATTGCTGCTTCTTGCTTATATAATAATAATTATAGTTAATTGCTGGAGCTAGTTCCTTTTTTAGTTGCTTCCCTAAGGAGACACCTGTTCATACCCCAGGAATTCTCAAACACACCTGAAGAGGGGTTGGGTTGATCACAGTATCTGATGCACATGGAGTCCTGACTTTGACCTCCTTCATTGGTAACAGCCTTTCTCACTTTATTAAACAACAAAAATGCTATTCCTAAGCACCCTTAATTCCCCTCTTTAACCTCTCCTGTGAGTAGCCCGGCAGATTGGGGGCGGATGCGTGTTGGGGGTGCAAAATCAAGTTGCAGTTGGGCCAGTGTGATCCCAACTCCTCTCCCCACCCTGATCTTGTATGGCCTACTAACATCTCTTCCTCTATAAAAAAATGTGCAGTGCTTAAAGAGAATCCAAGGTAGGTCAATCCTGCCCAGGGCAGACCCACCCACAGGGCAAGGTGAGGCAACCCAGGTGGCAGGATCCGATCTTTATCCTCACTCCTTGTTCCTGATGTAGATCTTCATTCCTTCCCTGGTGGGAAAAGGGGAGCCATGTTGTGGTTCACTTCAGGTGCCAAAATGACCTTGGCTGGCCCTGATCCTGCCTGTTGGGCCGCAGCACCCTAGAGTGGAATTCCCACTTATCACAGACGGGTGGGACGCTTTTATTTTTATAAGAAATATAATACTCTTCTGCTGTTAAATTATATCCCGTCCTCTTGTCAACTGCAAACCCCCTAGTGACACCCGCCTCGTCGACTCTTCCCTCTGGGCAAGACAAGGAACGCAAGGGATCATTTTGCTTCACAGGAGACCCCACGGCGCCCAGGCACATCCCGCTCTCTGACTCCTGAGAAAACCGGCTCTATTTAAATTTAAATTAATTAATAACCCGCCCTTCCTCCCAAAGCAGCCCAGGGAGGCAGCTTGCTATCTCTCCAGCCTTTATCAGCCACGCTGTGTGGGCACCGCGTGGCGCGGGCAGCAAAAGGCGCTCCTCCTCCCCGGTTGCAATTAATGTAGGTGTTCATGAGTAGAACACAGTTTGCTATGCGTGCGTGGGCGCGTGCAGGTGTGCAGTTGCAGCGAAGCGACAGGTTTGCAAGCCGCAGAAGCAGCGTGCTCCGGATCCGACGGTACAGCACGAGCAGCCAACCCAGGCCCTTGCTTAAGCTCCGGACCGCGTTGCCCGTCACGTGGGACGCGAAGCCTCGCCTCTTTCGCGTCGGGTTTCAGGGGGAGGTGCCGCCGCCGCCCTCCTCCTCCTCCTCCTCCTCTTCGTCGTCCTCCCCCCTCCCTCCCCTGTTCCCATCACGTGTGCTCGGCGGTGGGAAGGAACTTGCTGAGTAGCGGCGGCAGCAGCAGCGTAGCTTTAGCAGCCGGGCAAAGCAGCCGTTCAAGAGTCTGGCTGGTAACATGGAGGAGGACGAGGAGAGCGGATACGGTGAGCTGGCGAATGAATTAGATGCATCCAAGGAGACGGGAAGGAACATCTTTGGCTGGGCCAAGGTGGGGGGGCGGGTCTTAATGGTGGGGGGCGCTCAGGGAAGGAGCCTTAATCTTGCGACTAGTTAGCAGGGGGGAGTGGCCCTTGCATGTTCAGCGAACTGTCCTTGGCTTAAAGCGGGGAGTGTGCAATTGCTGCCCCCCCACCACCATCCCGACACAAACACATTCGGATTTGGGAAGGAGTCTCTCTTTGCATCCTTCCTCGTCTTAGCAAGAGAGGATGAACGGGATTTGGGAGCTGTGTGGCCGGTTGTCCTGAGGGGGGTCCTGCCTGAGTGGATTCTGAGGGTCCGCTAGTAAATCCCGAGGAGAGATCGGCTCCTGAGCATAGGAAGTAGAGATTGTGCAGTGCCGTGGTGCGGTGCGGGGTGAGGTGCCATTGGTTCAGGGTGGGGTCACACAGGGTGCTCTCTTGGGTATCTCGGTGGGTGGGTAGGGCTACCTTTTTCCTTAATCACCCCCCATGGAGGACGGCAGCTGCCCTTCCCGTGGGGGAGAAGAAGAGAAGGTTCTGGGCAGCTGTTCCAGCCCGTGGTCGCAGGGCGAGGACAGCTGTTCATTACAATGGGGTGCGCGGAGAAATGAGCTTGGAGTCGGTGGCGGGGGGTTTGGGGGGAACAGGCGTGCGGCCGCCTTTTGGGGGGGGGGAGTGAGGTAAATGTGGCCGGACTCCAAAAAGAAGTATTTACAGGGAAGGGTCAGCGGTGGCTCCCCTTGCGCTGAGCACTGCGGTGAGGGTTAACGAGAGACAGCTGGGCCGTGTGTGTTGGTCGGCTTGCGCGCCTTTGGTGGGGGGAACTTCGTGCCGGCATTTATCCTCTAGGCTGGGCAGGGAAGCGTAAACTGCCTCTCGGAGAAGGGAAGGAGGGTTGTGGGGGTGACTTCAGGGTAGCAACAGCTGCATGAGCAGCAGATGCTTTCCCTTTCTGCCTGGCTCCTTCACTCTCCTTCTCAGGGAAGGAGAACGTGGCTCTTTCTGAGGCAGAGTTCAGCTGTCACATTTGTGCCTCTTCTCTCAGTTGCACACACACACACACACACACACACGGGGTGGGGTTGCTTTTTTGGGCCTGGACTGATGTCTCTGATCTGTGTGTCCAACTGTCATTTCCAAGTGTCATTTCCTGCCAGTGCAGATCACCTTCTAAAAAGGTGGCAGGAGCCCTGGAGATGGCCTAGTGGCGAAGGACTGGATGACTGGCCCTGCCAGGCATGTCGCCTCATGTGACTTGTGGGAGGCCCTCGGACAGGCCCTGATCTTACCCAAACCTTAAATTACAGTGCTAGGTATAAGTATTCTGCAGAAGTGGTGGGAGTGAGTGCACTGCTCGCAAAATGTCATTGTTCCGGGGGGGGGGGGGGGTGAGCGATGGTGGTGCCCTTCATAACCCCAGTGGCCACTGACTAGAATTGATATATCCCGAACTGGGGACAGCAGACTTGGGCTTGGAGGATTTGAGGTTCACACACAGGCCTGTCTTGCGTAAGAGGTGGGGCAGGCCGGTTTCCTGAAAGAACCCACATTTAGAAGGAACTGGAACAAATTTAGAAATGTTGCAACAAGCCAGGCAATAACACAGCTAAAACTTCCTAAGCACCTGTCTTCAGAGAAGCTGCCCTCAAAATAAGCAGACAAGATTTGCTGTCATTTGTAGCCCAAATCACTTCGTCTGGTGCGCAGGCTGCCAAGGTGCTAGCCTTTCTTGTTCCAAATTGAGGTGATGTTTCTGCCCTTGGAAAAAGGAAAGAAATGTACATTCAATATACTGATGTAGGATATGTGTTGTCAAAATTGTTTGACTGATTGAGCAGGGTTGTCCCATGTCGTTATGCTTCATGAGGTAAGAACGACAAAGTTGTGGCTCCCTCATTCCACACAGAAGGGCCAACAGGATCGGAAGCTGAATATTACTTCAACAGTGACAATGGGGCAGTGTCCTCCACCTCACCTGAAGGTGGCAGGGTCACTTAGGCGGCACGAGGTCCTTTTTGCTGCTTTCTGCCCCTAGCATTTGCCACTTAAGGCAGCCACCTCACTCTGCCTAATGGTAGGGCCGGTCCTGTGTTTACATGTAAAACTGAACTTTGGAGGTCACTCCTTGTGCTGGAAATGCCACTTTGGCTCACAAGTAAGCTATGAGACACTCCACTTCAAAGAGTCTTTGGTCCTTTGCTTATTCAGCTTTCTGTGTATGACACTGCAATGGAGGGAGTCTCCCAGTGCGATCTCCCCCGAATCCACTCCAATTCCTTTAACACTGGGAACTTCTCTGCAGTGTCGTTGCACCAGGAGAACAAATTAATATGTATGACCCAGTTATGGGTGACTGGCTGACTTAGAGGCTTCCCCAGCAGAGCTGTGAGCTCAAATCTGTGTCTTAGCAGCTGTGGCACGCTGGGGCAGTAGAGGCTTGCTTGATTTATTCCTCCTTTTGCGTGGCATACCCTGTCATGCAAATGGCACCCTAGGCTTCCTTTATCCAGTGTGCTGACGCTGGGACCTCTGGGGCCAGATGCCCTTTGATGTGCCTGTGCTGCTGAGTCCTGTATGTGGATTTGGCAAACAAATTAGCTTTGAACCTCGGGTGGCTTTTGAGCAGGGCGGCATGGATGCAGCATCTCCATTAATCACAGAGACCCAGGCTGAAGCTGTAGGTGATGCCCGGGAGGCAGGCGGTTCTCTCAAGCAGCAGGCACACATGTCCCTGCCACCAGCGGGCTTGTCCCTGATTTGCCTAGTACATGAATATTCCAGCTGTGTTGCTCACTTCTTGCTATGATCCCAAAGACGGTGTCTGGGGAAAGTGGAGCGGTGCTTAAACGATGTATGCATGCAGCTGCTTTCTCATCTAGCCTGTACTGTGAGCGATGGATTAGATTTACAGGGGTAATCTCCCTTTCAGGCAAGTGGCAGCCTGCCCAGTTCTGCTCACCATGGTTCTCAGCCCTGTGCGTCTCCAACCTGGGTAGCACTGCCCAGTCACATGGAGGGGTCCTGCTGCCTGTTCATCAGCAGAGGTGACTTAGGGACAGCAGCAGTTCCAGGGGCTGATGCTTTCTCCTTCCTCCCCTCAACCCCCAGGCTGAGCTGAAGGGTGGAGGCTCTGAGGCTGAGCTCTGCTGTGGTTGCCACTGACAGCTGGGTATATTTGAGCTCCTTGTTTTCACAGGTTATCATGCGTTTGCTGTAAAAATGGGATTATGGCTCAGGTTGTGATTATGGCTTCTCTACAATAATGTTAACAAGGGCTGTTGAATACTTATTGTATGCACGCATCATTTTTTAATTTTTTGCTGCCATGTGCCGGCGAGGGGCTGCTTCTAGCCAGACTGCGATTTGATTCAATCCTAATGTATTTTCCTTTACAGTGTGGAGGGAAATGTGTTCATGGGCATGGGGGGCTAGTTTGTAACCTGGTGCAGGTCAGAACATTCGTTCTCTGAGACCTGAGTATATTGCATCACTCACACCTAGAGGACAGTTGGTGAGCAGTGGAGAGGAGTTGGTCTTGGTACTCTTTCTAGGTTTGTGGAGGAGAAATGTCTTTCTTCCCTGTTCACTTTGGCGATTGCTTACATCTGAGAAAATGTAGATTTGTGTGTAGCCCTGGTGGAGAGAAGGGGGTTCCGTGCAGAGCATGCTGCCGTTTTGGAAACTCAAAACAAGCCTGCTGTGTCTCATCTTAGTGCACTTGTAGGACAGTCGCTTCTGAAATCAGCAGCTGGCTCTCCTCTGCTGGCCCGCTTGTTTACAGGGCAGCTAAATTTATCCATATTTGCATGGGAGTTGCCAGGTTGCTCCAGCCAAAAAGGAAGCGAGGCTACCCTTGCAAATGTATGCAACTCGCGTAATGACAAGAATTTCCCCCCAGAAAGCTTTCGTGGGACATCTCTGAATCTACAGGGCTCTCACTGAACATTCTCATTGATCCTATCCATGAGCTTTCAGGACACGCTGAATGGAAAATAGCTTGGCTGTGCTGGGAGCTGGGGCACACGAGGCCACTCTGATGGGCCCAATGCAGACAGCAGGCTCTGAAACAGTTAACAAATTCCTCTGCCCTCTCCTAACTTATGTCAACTTGACAACACAGAGAAGGAAAGAGGCAGCTGTGTGTGTACTCATGCAGTGAACACCACATCCTCTGTCGCACATCTTTCCTCCTAGTTGGGTGGTTGCTCCACTTCTTTGTTCCTCTTCTTGGGTGTCACGCAAGCTCAACTCATCCCTCCCTCCCAGTTTGCCCTTCCTTCAGTGTGGCTTGCCCACGACTCACCTTATTTTGCCCTTGCTGTCCTTCTCTCCCCTGTCCATGGAGGTTTTTCATAACCCAGGGAAGGGCTAGGCAGCTGCAGGGTTCATCCAGCTGTGCACAGCACGCACACACACACACACACACACACACACGAAACCTTTAAAGCTCCACCTCATTGTCGTCTTTTATCACCTGGTTTCCTGCGCTTGGCCGTTTTGCTCCATCGGTGCAGACTTTTGCCCTCTAGGCTTTGCCAGAATGTAAGCATGCAAGCCTTTTGCACCCTGCTTTTTGTGGTTTGCATTCAGTGGGCATTTCCTTGCCTGCTGGCTTGGTAATAAAATCTCCAGGCCTTAGACACACAAACAGGGCAGGAGATGGTATCGTGTTTCATCCATTTGCTGCAGGACCCTATATCCTTTTGGGGCAGCTGTCCCCTGACACATAGCAGCTGCCCACCAAAAATGCAGGTTCAGGGATGCAAGTGTCCCATTCAGTGTGTGCTAGTAGTTTAATGTCGAAGTACCTCTGTAGGGCAATAAGACTGCAATGGGGGGTGGCTGTGCAGCCTTTACAAATGGCTCAGGGCTCCATCAGTAGTTTCTCAAATTCTCAGACTGTCGCTACGGATTTCCCTTGGAGCTGCGTAGGAAGACAGGCAGCTTGCAGTTGCCCAGTGCTTATAACCTTGTTGCCATAGGTATGTTGCCCTTGCCAACAAGGAAATAACAACTGCACACTTCCCTTTGCATTCTGGAGCCCGGTTTCCTTTGAAAGAGCCTACTTTTTAAAGGCTCATTAATATCGAGGGAGCTTGAAATGTTGCTTTAGAGCCAGCAGGTGGTGCTCAAGTCTCCCGACTGGACACTGCTATCCCACTGAATCCCAACACTGAGCACTTCCAGTAATCCCCTGTGGTTTTAACCTGTGGGGGGCAGGGGCGGTATTGTTTTCATGATGCCCTATGATTAATCGGAAGCAGCTCTGAAGATCAGCGTGTTTATTCTCTGGCTTTTATTAAGCAAAATGCTTTGAGAATGCATCTGCTCTGAGAACAGAGAGGTGAATTGGTCCTCTTGTGAGAGAGATGCCCAGCACACACCGTGGGATTTTGGGGAGGAGGCGCTCGCTTGTGATATGGCAGCTGGCGATCCTTGAATTCTGCTTGGCCCAAACAAGGATGGTATAAGTAGAACCAGGAGCACCAAACAAGGTGGCATGGGTACTTGGGCCTCAGGAACCCCACTGCTGTGTGCTGTCTGCGGTGTACAGGTAAAAAGTTATCACATGGTTTGACTGCCTCTTGCATCTAGTTCACTTGCATTCTTGTATTCTGATTGGCTGTGTGAGGGGGACAGGTGGCTGTTGCAGAATTTAAATGCTTTTGGCTGGCAGGAGGGGCATGCATCCTGTTAACAGGGAAACAGGTTTCTTAGAGTGGATAGGGAGCTGGGTTAAGTACCCACAGATCTTTTGGTCACATGACTGGAGGCATCTTTCCATTCACCTCTTGTCTTTAAGTTCTTGCTGGAGCTACCAGCACGCTTCCCAAAGGCGTTTGATGCTCAGAAAGGATAGGAACTTGATTTTTTGCTTTTAAATGAATAAATACAAAACTTGCAGTTGCCAGTGATTTGTGTTAAGATAATAATTAAAAACAACAACACCCAGGCTGATCATGTGGTGCATTTGCACTCTCTGTCTGTGCAAGAGGCCTGCTGTGGTGGAGCAATCGTTTCTCTCTCTTTAGCAACGTTGTGGATACCCAGATCTGTATGAAAAGTGATTGCTCAGTGAAGTGATGGTGTTGTGGATACAAGCTGCTGTGGAACAAAGTTAGTTTGCTTGGTCAGCGCATTCACTGCGGAACTTGCTCTAGAAGTGAAACAGATGTGTCTGTCCTTTGCTCTCATGCTGTGGGGGGGGGGCAGGGGTGCTGGTGGAATGTTGCTGAGGGTGCAGCTTCTCTCTTGGTTCTCATCACGGCAGAGGCCCTGAATGATCGAAACGGCATTGTGCTGCGTTCGACAAGCAGATGCTTGGCCAGACATAGACAAAGGGAAATACGCAGGTTCCAAATAACGGGCTCGTTTGGGGTGGCTTCAGGCTTCCCATCCCTTCCCAGGAGTCTCCTATTTCCTCCCATGTTTTGGCTTATTTCTGTGATTTCAGGACAGTGTTGCTAGCCTTGCGTATTCCTCACTCTTTTCGGAAGCTCCTGTTCTTCCTATCCACCCACTGAGTTGTACTGCTGAGGTCTTGGGAAAGATGCAAACGTTTACGCAAGGCTAGGAAGCTTCTTCACTAAAACAACATCAAAACAAAAGGACGGGAATCTGTCTTCATTGTTTTAAAGAACTTGTTTCCAGTTCTCGTTTTTGTGGAGAAAAAGTGAATTCCAAAGGCTGAATACCCACAATGTTCATTGGGTGGGGAGGCTGAGAGGAGAGTCTTCCTAGAGATATGGATTTTTACAGTTCTGCCTTTTCCTTCTTCAGGGGTCCTAGACTGTCCCTGCCCCTGCTCTCCCCTTCTCCCCACCACACACATTGAACTGTACCCCAGAAACCTTTCCTTTCTCCCTTCTTCCATCACCCCAGCCTGCCAATGATGTTTTCCTCCAGGAATCCAGATTTTAGTAAATGAAGCAAATTGGAAAATAAAATGGAAGTTGATGTGAAATGCATTCTCATTGCAAAACATGACTTCTGCATTTGCTAAAATCTCTGCTGTTATGTGTGATCAGGGCACATTTGCCTCTATTCCCCCCCCCGTCTTCCCCCTAGCTTTGAGACCTGGGTAGACTTGACTTGTGCAAATAATAATAATAATAATAATAAATTTTATTTATATCCCGCCCTCCCCAGCCGAAGCCGGGCTCAGGGCGGCTAACAACAATAAAACAGTATAAAAGTACAGCATAAACAACACTCTAAAATCATTCATTATAAAATTAATTAAGGTCCAGACAGGTCAGAAAAAAGAAATCCCACATTTGCAATGTCTATGCTTTCTAGATTTTCACTGCCTAGCTTCTCTGTGTGTGTATATTTCCCCCAGGCAGGTGGGTCTGGGTGCCTGAGCTTCCTGTCCCAGCCTGGAGCAGATTGGCTGTGGCACTAATCGTACTGCATGAAGGATTACCGGCCACCAGGATTAAAGGATTTCTGTAAAAAGAGCTGAGGAGGAATGGGGGATGGGCTGCTGCAAGAGCTGGGAGGGCATACATGACTGGCTGATGGGGAAAGGAGTGAGGTTGGAAGGTCTTTGGCTGAGGAACCAAGGTACCGTATTTTTTGCTCTATAAGACTCACTTTTTCCCTCCTAAAAAGTAAGGGGAAATGTGTGTGCATCTTATGGAGCAAATGCAGGCTGCGCAGCTATCACAGAAGCCAGAACAGCAATAGGGATTGCTGTTTTCACTGTGCAGCGATCCCTCTTGCTGTTCTGGCTTCTGAGATTCAAATTTTTTCCCCCCCCTTGTTTTGCTCCTCCAAAAACTAGGTGCGTCTTGTGGTCTGGTGCGTCTTATAGAGCAAAAAATACGGTACTTGTAGGCCACAGGGGAAATGCATGGCTGCTGCTCTCTAGAGATGGAGAAGTCCACTAGTGACCTAACCCAGGGCAGTCCAACCTCTTAGACCAAGTGGAACGCAGGAGTACTTCAACACAGAACCTGGGGGCCGCACACTGAATTAAATTTCCATATTGTTAATTAAAGCATTTGTAATATGGCCAATGCGATTTAATATACACAATTAATTTATTTTAAGGGTGAGCACTCCTAAACATAATGAGACCAGCTCCCAAGTAAGTATGCATTGAATCAGGGCAGGTTGCTAGGCTGTGATCAGTAGGACAGGGTTTTGACTCCATGCAACCTGACCTGGGATAAAGCCCCGCTCAGGTCAAAATGCAGTGCAAGCCTAATGCGTGCCTATTCACAAGTAAATGCTGTTAATTTCATTGAGACATACTCCCAGGTAAATGCAGACTGCACAGGGCTGCCGCCTTAAAAAATATACATGGAGGTATTCAGCTGTCTTAATACCACTGCAGGGGAAATAACCTCTCTCACATTAATGCGTTGTTATTGCTATAATTTTTTTGTTGTTGCTTATATCCTGGGCAAAGTTAGAGGGGAGGAGGGGGGTGGCTGGCCTGTATGGCCTTGCAGAGGCTGAGGGAGACACAAGAAGTGGCTTTGCTGTTTCTGCGTGCCCCTCACAGCAGCAATGACAAAGCCGGCTACTCAAGCCACACTAAGAAGCACTGAATGTTTTCAAGGGCTGCATGTTGGACCACCTTGATCTACCCCTTGCATGAACTAAGGACAGCTTTTACGCTCCAAGCAGCAGGCGTTGAGCTTCCCAATGGGTGCTTCTCCCGTTTTTAATTATGCCCCCACCCCACCTCTGAAACTGGAACTGAGCTTAGGGAGCGGAGTGTGCATGCACAAGGTGGAAAAAGAGCGTTTGCAGTATCAGCAGGCCTGGGAGGGGTTGCACACCCGTCCCTCCCACCGCCTTTTTTCTCTCTTGCAAGCCCCTTATCCCCACCTCCACATTCAGGTTATCTCTCCGAAAGTGGCTTTGGGAATGTGTGTTTGCTGAGATTAACCCCAGTGTAGTTTTCTCATTTTAAATGTCGAGAATGATGCCCCACAAGCCTCCCAGTGGGCCTTTGTACTATACAGTTTAGGCATGCTGTTGAGGGTTGTAGAATTATTGGGTTGTTCTTGTTTTTAGTTTTTATTATGTATTTCATGTTTTTATATTGTGATTCTATGTTGTGAAGCCCTGAGACCTGTGGGTATAGAACTGTATACAAATAAAATAATAGGTGGGTATGCGGACCTTTTCTGGCACTTCCTAAAAAAGCACATTCCTAGCAATCCTTTGGCTTTTCAGCTGGTCTCAAACCAGTCTATGCTGTGTATCTGTCACCTTTTGGAAGCCTGTGTCCAGGACACAGGGAGTGGGTCACTTCACCTGTGGGACTCTCTTGGAGCAAATGCCTGGGCCTCGGTTCTCAAGCTGTAAAATGACAGGGACGAGGGTTGTAGGTTTGCTGGGAGGGGGACTGATGTGCACACACAAAAATATGGAACAGGTTTCAAATGCGAATTCTAGTTCTTGAGATGTGCTCTCATTTCCTCAAATGTCTCCTGTTGCCTTGGGAGGAGTGCTTGTGCAGAGTCCTGCTTGTTGAATGGGGTACCTTCTACAACACCTGGGAGTAGTGAGGTCCAGCATCTTATCAAATGTACTGGTCACTGAGGGAGTGCTTTATGGGCTGGATGCCTAACTGAATGACAACATGGTTCCTATATCCTTGTAGGCAGCGGTCAAATCTCTGTTAAATGAATGAATGTCAGATCTACAAATCTTGAACTAACCTCCAATCCCTGATAGTTCATTTCATTTCATTTTTTAAACTTTATTTATCATGTTTATATTCCCCCCTTTCCTCCAAGGAGCCCAAGGTGGCATACGTAGTTCTACTCTCTGTTTTATCTTCTCAACAATCACGTGAGGTTAAGACAAACTGCCCCAAGATCACCCAGTGAGCGTCATGGTTGAATGGGGATTTGAACCCTAGTCTTCCATATCCTAGTCCAACACACCACTACATCACATGGTCTCATTGATTTTTTTAGTCAAGCTATTAAAACATGGGATGGCTTCCCAACTCAGCATGGCCTTGGGCAATGCTGATTATTTGGATCCATTTCAATTTGTCTTCAGACCTGGGTTTGGGACAGAACAGCCTCTGTTTCACCAGTGGATGGCTTCCATTAGGAAATGGCTTGTGATTGTGTCCCTGTTGGTTCTTTTACAGCTCTTAGTGGCTTTCAACATCGATGACCATGGCATTCTTCTGCGCCATCTTGCTAAGTTGGGTCTGAGGAGGGGAGAGTATATGTTAGCACTGGTCCTTTCTGGAAGCTTTCCCACCTAGTTTACCCATTGTATGGCATAGGATGCTAAAAGTTCATATCCCCCAATGCGTCCTGACCCAAATAAGGCTGCTGTCCCGATTCTTTAATCAGCTGCATATCGAGGAGAAGCTCAGCATACGGAGCTGCTTCTTTCACTGCCAGGGGCATCGCTTGGTACTTAAAGAACCTGGGAAACAGATCATGGTGCAGATTTGCATAAATGTACAGTGTGCCTCTGGGTAAATTAAGATGGCAAGGCTGTTGCTAGCACTGCACTTAGCTGCACAGTAAGCAAAGTTTGCTTTTTTTAATTTAAAAAGGAGGCGGAGGAAAGGGGATCTGGGGCACAGCACAAAATTCAGTTCCCCAAGCGGTGCCCCTGGTCTCTGCTACCCTATAATGGACTTTACGGACCTTGGCATGCAGCTGTTCAAGGAACAGGAGCCTTATTTGGGGCAGAGAGGGCTCTTTTCCTGGAGGCATCGCTCTACTCATTTGGCTGGCTTGCAGTAAATGCTCCAGCGTAACAGCTTTGCTTGCTAGCTTCATTCTGCCGAAACCAGAAACATTAACTGTTTGCCGTCCCCACGCTTCTCTTTTCACTTACCAGGACCATACAGTAACAGGGTGGCTTTTCTGTCCTTCTGTTGGATAATAATTCCCATTGTCTTTCCACCTTACTTTGGATTCAGTTCTGGGGGCACAGCGCTTGCCCCAAAGTCTTGTCATTGCCTAGTTGTGCGCCAGTTCAGAGACTGAAGCAGCAATGGATCAATATCTGATGTATGAGGGTTTCATTAACTAGAGTGGCCTGCTCTTCTTTTTGTATGTAGAGCTTGTCTGAAAAGAGTTCTTCTTCTCTCTGCCTACTCATTTGGGGCAGAAGTCATTATGGGGCTCCTTTAGTTCCCCTTCTGAGTCTCAGGCACCGAATACAGTGTGAGAACTGGTAGCTCAGCCTTGTTAAAGAGCCTTTTGCAACGTTGATACAGCCACCTTTCTTTGAAGTGTCATCTACTGGGCATTTACCCCTTGGCAAATCTCAGCAGCAGATACCACCCTGCAGTGTTCATTCATTTTAATAGGTTTGTATCCTGATTCTTCCTCCCCAAGGGCCTTAGTTTGCCTACCCATGGTTTAAAGCATACAACATTTTGTAAACTATTGGATGAGGGATGGGCTTTTCTGGAGTCGCTTATGCCAAGGGAAGTGCCAACCTTTCATGGGTATTCTCTTCTCTGATTCTGCCTCTTCTGTTGATTGATCTGGCTTATACCTCTCCTGAGCACCTCCCTCTTCTCTCTCTGCTGCTTGCTATCATGGAGAGATTTTTTTTCTCAGAAAGGATGGCTCATTTTTTCACAAACGGGGAGTTGCCTCTGTGTGTGTAAAAAAATAAAAATCACACATATTTTACTTTGGGTGCTGGTTGTCAGGGTCCTGAACCCTATTAGTTTGTGGGCCAATTATTTTGCTTTGCTCTACTGTGGGTAAGAAGCAATAGAACTGGAGCCACATGCTAAGGGAATTACTTGGTTTGTTTTGTTCCTGTGCTAATAGATCCTAAAGCTTATCAAACTATTATGAAATGGGATTTCTGTAAACTTTCACTTTCCAGCAGTCTAGCATTTAGCTGCCAGAAGGAACATTATGTTGAACTTTCGATAGATGAGAAAGCTAGAGTCGTGTGTTTCCAGAAGTACTGGGGAGAACTTCCAGAGGGATAGATGTAATACATAAAAAACCCAAGAGTCTTCTGGCACCTTAAAGACTAATTGGAGGAGGGCATTCTCCCCCTTTTTGATGCACCTTACAGGCAAACAAACTTTGTTAAGATATGTTTTTATGGGCTTCATCAGATGCTTGGAGTGCGATCCTTGGTTGTTGAGTATATTCACTTATGAGTTTAAAGACAGGAAACGTAAATTTGAAATTAAATGGTAATATAATGCAGTCTGTGATAATTCAGTTAGATATTAAATTTGCAGCAGCCGTAATTGATAATCTTAGTGTTGTTGATTAAATTAACACCTGTGGAGGGAGAGGAAATCATTGTTTCCATTTGTTGCCCCCCTCCCGGAAACCCATGTCCTCACTGTGGAAAGATGTGTGGATCCAGAATTGGCCTCCACAGTCACTTATGGACTCATTGTTAAGACTGTGTTCATGGAAGACCATCTTACTCAGCTACGAGTGATCGCCGAAGAAGAAGATTTTTATATGAGCAATTCCAGGTGATTAGGAGATCCAGAAAAAGAATAGTGAGGTTGAGTTTTAGTGGAAACGTATCAGATGAGTATGGAAGCTTTTCTGTGTTCTCCTTTTTAAGACAGGGGACCCATGCTGTTAGCTGTCTAATGTAAGCTTGTTCTTGAAGCGTTTGGCAGACAGTGCTAGCACCTGTGCACTTTCTTGCTGCCACGTCCTCCGCAGCTGGGATGTGCACCTGTGCTTGTGGAGATAAGCTTGCCAGTTCCCGTTGTGCCTTGTTTCAGCTGCTGTTCAGCTTGGTGCTGCAGGGATTCTGGCCCCATTGAAGAAGCTCTTTACGAGCCTCTTGAGACATAAGGGAGCCAGTTGTGGAATCAGAAGAAAAAACACGAGGATGTAATGAATCCTGTTTGCTGGACTGTCTGTTTCATTCTCCATGAGTTCTCACAGAAGAAATTGCACACTTATCACCTAACTGGCCTTTTATGGATTCCCCATTAGTCAGGTTCGCCACACTCCTGCCAATCTTTCCTCTTAAACTCTGGCCATCTCAGGTTTCCCTGTGTCTTCCAGAAACAGAGTCATGTCTCTTGCCTGCTCCGCAGGTTCCAAGTAGGGCTCCCAGTTCTCGACAAGAGTGCTAATCTGATATTGCTTTGCACATCCTGGGAGGAGCAGCAATAGCACCACCTTTGCCAGTGAGACTTCTCTTGCCCTGTGCAGCTGATTAGATTGGATTAGAAGTTCAAGGTGGACTGGAATGTGTTTGAACTTGAGGCTTGCGCCAGGCAAGTTTTCTCTGAGACTGTGTAATAAGAGATGCAAGGAAGAAGAGTTCAAACTGAGTTTATTTGCAGAAGCACAAAAAGGATGGACCTCTCTGCAGCTTTTTGTGTCTCACCATAACCACCAACGCAGGATAAAACACGATCTATTTTAAGACAAAAATAGTTTTGTGGAAAGCATAATGCTGTGTCAATTCTGTGACACATCAAACATTGTTTGTACTCCCTTGTGCAGACAGCAGACATGGTTTGGATTTTATGCATTACTTTTAATACATCGCCATAACTTGTTCTGTAAACTTTTGGCTTCATACTGTGTTAAAGAAACTGACTTTTAAAAAGCATGTAGAAGGGGCTGATGTGCTGCTTCGGGGACAGGTGTGTAAACCAGGCTTGTCATGATCCCCAGCAAATTAAAAGACAGCCAGTAGCCCTGTCGAAGGGAAATAGCCAGTCACTGTCTGTCTTGTCCAGGTTTGTGAGGCTGACCTTTCTGTTCTCATGGGGGCTAAAAACCTTTTAAGAGAACAGCTGAGAATTCACCAGCAGTTGCCAGGGCCTCACAGCAGCAACCAGTCTCAGCCTTTTTTGCTTTTGAAACCTTTGTAATTGGGATCCAACTGGCCAGTGCCTTCCTGCTCAGGTGGAACCAGCTTCGGAGAAAAGGGTCTTACACCTAGAGAAGTGGTCTTGAACTGCACCTACCAGCAAGATCCACATGGTGCTGCTCCCGATCCTCCTTTTTCTAGCGGGCCGGGAATCGCGCCGACTCCTTACTCTGCAACTCTTACCCTGCTGCTTCCTTGCACTTTCCATGCACATCTATGCACACATGCGTCTTTGGCACCTGCATGCGTTACATTTTCGTGCACCTTCCTTTTATGTGCTGGCCGTTGCATAGCAACCACTGGCTCACAAGATGCTTAGAGCTGTAATAATGCAGCCGGATAAAACCGACCTAAAAATACCCCTTGCCCAAACCTCTCCTGGGCAGCTGGGAGGAGTGGCTGGGGAGGAGCCAGGGGGGGCACCTTGGAAAAAGTTCCCAAACTGAATTGCCCTCTAAGTGGCTTTGTGCGTCTCTCGTCAGCTGTCCAGCGCAGCGGGAACAGTAACAGTTTCCTGGCAGGGAGCTGGGATTGGCTGGGCTCGGTGCGTGGGAGTCTCTGCTGCTCCTTCTGCTCCAGCCGGACTGGGGATCCCTCTCCTGCTGTGTCTCTTCCCTCCCCGCCCCCTTGCACTGTCTGGAAGAGAGGGAAGTGGAGGCTGCTGCTTGGGAAGCCATTTGGTGCTGAGAAAGTGGGCACCCTGATGTTCCGGCCTCTGCACCCCACCTTGCGCCTGGCTCTGACCTGCTAGGCCTTTCTCAGCTGCCCAAGGGCAGCACCCCCTGCCCAGTCTTGAGAGGGCATTGCCTCAAGGGCATCATCATGGGCACTGTCAGTGAGCTCTGTGCCTCCAGTTTCCAAGCCTTCCTCTTCCCCTCCACCTTGGTAGCCACCAAGCCAGGTAGGTGCTTTATATTTTGCCTCTCCTCTCTATGTCCAGGAGTGTCTTGTGCTGATGCTGGGAGAAATGAGGTGCCGGAAGTTGGGGTGTGTGCAGTATGTATATTGTCTGTGGTGGGGCCAGGATTAGTCATCCTCTCCTATGCCCTGTCCCTTGCAAGCGAAGCCACAACAGGCATATTGCACTGGTGTCCCTCTAAGTGAAGGCTGCTGGTGAAAGGGGCAGGGGCCACAGCTTCAGTGCCTTTAGCTATGATGTTGCTTTCCTCTTGCTGAGATTTGGTGCACCGTCGTTCAGCCAAAGTGTAACCTTATCCGCTGGAGCTCAAAAAAACACACAGCTGACTGAATTGCTTTGGAATGAGGAGCTTGGAAGAATCCATCCTGCTGATTCCTTAGCTCAGGAACCAGTCTAACCTCTGTTGTACGGGTGGAAGGAAGAGGTGGCAATTGGTTCACAGCCTTATGTTTGGTTACAATAAGGCTGAACCCAGTTCTGTGTTTTGATCCCCTTGGCAATCTGTTTCCTCACATGCTCAGATTCAAATACAAACTCCAGTCCATTTCACAGGCAACCTGCTCTGCTAGTTGTAGAATCATAGGATTGTAGAGTTGGAAGGTACAACGAGGACCATCTAGTCCAGCCCCCTGAAATGCAATACCTCAAGGACTAGCTCTCTCCATGTGAACCTACCTGGACCCTGAGATCATCCTCTGAGGCCCTACAAGTGGTCCAGGGGGTCGCAACATGAGAACGGGCCTTTTCTGTAGTGGCTCCCCATTTGTGGAATGCTCTCCCTAGGGAGGTTTGCCTGGTGCCTTCATTATGCACCTGTAGACGCCAGGCAAAAACATTCTTCTTCAACCAGACCTTTGGCTGATTATACCCTTTTAAATGTGTTTGTGGGAAGAGGTGAAGGGAGGAGGGTTTTAGTCGTTTTCTTCTTCTGTTTATTATGTATTTTGTGTTTTTATCTTGTATTTTTATGTTGTAAACCATCCTGAGATCTACGGATGAAGGGTGATATACAGATTTAATAAATAAGTAAAATAAAATAAACATTTTGCCCAACATGGGCCACAACCCTGAATTTAAGAGTCCCATGCTCTACTCATGGAGATGTTGTTGTGGTGTCTGCACATTTTCTGAAAGAGTCACTTGTGCTAACTTTATACATGTTGAGGTGTGTGTGTTTTCCACATATTCTTGTGAAGATTTCTTTTTTATTATCTGAAGTAAGTTTTCTAAAGTGCGTGAGAGCAGATCATTATTTTGCTGATGCCTAGCAATGGGGTTGTGGCTGTGACCTCTTTTTGACCTCCCTAGAGGAAGAGCATATGCTATAGTTGTCGTAGTTGTTGAAGTTGCATTTATATCCCGCCCTTCCTCAAGGTGGTTTACGTGGTTCATTTTCCCCTCTCTATTTTATCCTTACAATAACCCTGTGAGGTAGGACAGACTGTAACTGACCCAAGGTCATCCAGCAAACTTCATAGCTGAGTTTGGATTTGAACCCTGGTCCCCCAGCTCTAACCACTGCATCACCTGTAATGGGTCACAAACTCTGGACAGCCAGTTTGGTGTCTGCATTGTGGAGTATGATGAATGGAAAGGACTGTGTTACACAAAGGCGGCTGCTGAGGCCTTAGGCCAATTCCATTCTCAACCCCATTTTCACATTAAAAAACACACACCCTATGAGCTGCCTTACTGGAGGAAGAACCTGACTAAGGCAGCTTACAGTAAAATCTATTCCGTACAGTAAAATAGCAAAACAAACTGAACAGAGCCAGCAGCAAAATCGGGTAACCCTGGGAGGGGGTTTGAGGGATGGGTGTGTTTCTAGACCTACATACTGAATGCAACAGTCATGCAACTGTTAAACCAACTACAGTTTTCACCAGTATGGAAAACTGACAATGGGCAAAATTTCACCTGTGGAATGAATGTCTGCCTGTTGCACAGAGCCTCTACTAAAGAAAGATTAGCAGGCTTACTATGTATGGGCACTTGATGAGACGGGCTTGTTTTCTGTCTCTTCTTCCTTGCTGTGTGACAACAGGATGGGTGGAGGGTACTGATTTGTCTGATGAGGGTTTGTGGTTTTAGGTTGGCGGGGAGGCTGGCAGGCCAGATAGAATGATCCAGGATTAAAGCCACTTCACAGTATGAGACTGTTGGTTCAGGTACAGAGAGAATATAGCAGCCTTAGCACTGAAGCCTGTAACATTGAGTTCTCCGGTTCATTGGCTCAGCCCCAGGTTCTGTTATTCCTTGCATTCTGGTATTGAAAGTTTTGCTGTAGAGTACTTGGATCCGGGGAGTAGTTCTTGTGAGTTCAGTCTAGGGATCTGCAGCTGTAAAGGACAACTAATAGAGTACATTGGTACCTCGGGTTAAGTACTTAATTTGTTCCGAAGGTCTGTTCTTAACCTGAAACTGTTCTTAACCTGAAGCACCACTTTAGCTAATGGGGCCTCCCACTGCTTCTGCGCCGCCGGAGCACAATTTCTGTTCTCATCCTGAAGCAAAGTTCTTAACCCGAGGTACAATATCTGGGTTAGCAGAGTCTGTAACCTGAAGCGTATGTACCCGAGGTACCACTGTATCTGGTATCTTTCCAACAATTTTCAGAACCTGATTTTCCCTTTTTAAAAAGAGAACAAGTTTCTGCCCCCTAGTATTTATGAAAGGCAGTGTGAATATATGGATGGATTCTTTATAAAACCTAGCCAGGGAATATTGCTGTTTCAGACCCTTCCCATCACCCCAGTCCTTGTTATTTCTTGGGTCAACAAATCTAGTTTCGCTGTTTCCCTTGCTCAGTCTGACATAGGGTTGGTACACTGGTGGGTTGATTGCCTATTTATTTGACCATTGTCATATATGTTTGAATATTCCATGAAGGCAAGAATACCACTGCTTAGGTGGCAGATTTGCATTTTATTTCATTATGGGTTTCACTTCTTGATGAGGACTGCTTGCCTCTGTAGTGGTCAAAGGCAAGCCTAGCAACATAGAAAACCTTTTCCTACCAACCCCCTGCTACAATTGCAGCTATCTCCAAACAGGAATGCAAGTTGTTTTCATTGGCAAAGGTTGTTATTTTAATTGCATTTTAAAACAGAACAAATAGCAATTGTAAGCTGACCCTGGAGTTTTAGGATAAAAAATGAAGGATAATCTTTCATTGACTTGTTCACATGTATAGAAACCATACTTTGCATTAATTCATTAGCAGCCTAACTTTTTGGGGATGGGAAGTTCAAAAACACAGAGTCAAAAATCCTTGGTAGTCTGCTGCATGTCACTTAGACCTACCAGTAGATCCCAGTTTAGCTTCTGTCTAGTACTGCTCCAGATGTTGTCCACCTGCACCTTCCACAAGACTCAGGCAACATGGCAGTGGTCAGGAATGATGGGAGTTGCAGTCCAGCATTGTCTGGGTGGGCATCATGTTTATTCTGCCTCAGAACTTGGGGTTTTGGTTAAAGATTTTGAGGCTTATTTTTAGCAAAACAAACCAAGGTGAAATTGCCTGGTCTAGAAGATACCATATGTGGTTGTGCAGAACAGGGTATTGATTCCTGTTGCTTCACAGTGAATTTCCTGAAATACAAAATGTGGAAAGTGAAATCTCATACTAGATTAGTGACTAAAGCATGGTGGGTGAGCTTGTAAAGCCATGCAGAACTCTACAGGTGAGGAAGACAGCTAAATTGTGGAGGGCAGAAAGTTTGGGGTCTAGTTGCCTTTTTCTTCTTCTGCCTTATGAAGTATCCTGTGCAAAAAGGCATACACCTCTACTCCCACAAAAAGATAGATTCTTAGGCATTCGTTTGTAGGACCAAAGTATCAACAGCTGCGTGAATTTCTACCATGCAGCCTGGCAGTAGGATAGATACTGCAGAGTAATGGCTGGCAGCCTGCAAGCTCTCGCCAAACTGGGAGAGGAATTCTGCCATCGCCCAGTGGCTTACAAACAGGGCACAGCTGCAGTTTGTCATGAAGTATGTGAGGGGGAACCCAAGGGGCTGGTTGTGTTGTTCTCTCCACCTCTTCAGACGTTGGGGAGAGCCGTTTCCCATATGGCTGCTAGCTCCATCCCCAACAGTCAAACAGAAGGGGATTCTGCCTTGGCAGGAGCTGGGAGGGGGAAACGGAAGCCAGATGGTGTCCATGGAAACGAGGCCTGTACTCTGCACAGCCAGGTGGCTCCAGGCAAAGCATGGCTGGGGCTGTTGTTATGCCTCAGCTGTGAGTGAAGAGGAGTGGGGTGATGGGCCCTGTGTGTGTCTGCCTCTTAAAAGTGAGGAATTGGTTGCACTTCTGCAAAAGTAATGGGCCTGGCAGACTTAGAAATGGAGTCCCTTTCCTGGCAGCACTGAAGTCTTACTGTATCTGATGCAGCAATGAGAGGCAACTGTCATTAGGAAAACAGGATGTGGTCGCAGTAGCAGCTGAGAGCAGGAACTTCTTGTGGTGCCTTGAACCCGTTTGTGCCTGGCAACTTGGAGGAGACGGGCAAAAGTTTGTTGACAGCCAGATCTTGTCAGACCCTATTTAAACTAGAGGAGCACTCCAAAGTTTCTTAAGCTAGGAACAACTTTACAAAAACCATTGTACCCTCTCTCCCTAGCTAGACCAGGTCTTTCAGCTCAAATGCCACATTCTCTCAGGGGCAGGCTTCATGGATGTGGATGTGAATTTTCCCTTTGTATGGGAATCCGCGCTAAAGCCAGAGATTTTTATGCACAGGTATCTCTGGCCATGCTAATATTACCACAGTGGAGGACAGCTTCCAGTCAGGCAAAATCACTCCAGGCTGATTTAGAGCACGGGTCTCAAACTGTGACCTTTGAATCACTGGTGGTCTGTGAGCTTCATCCAAGTGGTCTGCAGCATTTCTGTGGATTTGCTGTTGAAGATGGCAATTGGCAAGTCCATCGCGTTAAATACTCCTATTGATTTTTAATAGCTTTTTTATTGCTCCTTTTATTATAATATTGTATTTTATTGCATTGCAATTTGAATTCTATGAAATGCAGTAAAATACAGTGTGTAAGAAATAAAAGAAGCAATAGAAATACAGTTGCTGCAGCAGACAGGAAAGTCAGTAAGTGGGCCACCAAGACCCCCATATCCTGTGTGGGATATAAATAGGGAACCACTGCTGCAGAGTGTGGCCAGTGACATGTGTGGTCTGGGGAGAAACTTGAGGGATGGGTAAAGAAGCCCAGAAAGCCGCATTTGTCCCCCTCCACCGTGGACTGAAATACCCCCACACCTCCTCTAGGCATACAGATGAGGTCCCCAACTGCACCATACATTTAAAGCAGAATCATACCACTTTATACAGCTGTGGCTTCCCCCAAGAATCCTGGGAACTGTAGTTAGTTGAGGGTGCTAAGAGTTGTTAAGAGAGCCCTATTCCCCTTACAGAGCTACAGTCCTCAGAGTAGTGGTTTAACAGTCAGTCCCTCTTCCCAGGGAACCAAAAGGTTTATTCATTAACTTCTGATTAGATTCTTGAACTGCCTGGGAGCAACTTTTTGAATGGCTCTGCACCTGTGTATGATTTCCTCAGCCACAGTTTGACCACTTCTGGTTTGCAACTGAGTTTGGGGAGGTGTGTGTCTTACAAAGCTTCGTTCTAGCCAGCCCTATCGTGTGGAGTGAACTGGATGAAGTTTTGGGGCAGATTGGGAATGTGAAGATGTGTGAATAAATCAGCAATGATGGAGAAGACTTGGAGCATCACCATGTCCCTCCTTTCTAAGGTCCTCAGGGAGAAAATGTGTTATTGTGTCTTGGGAATCTATGCATTTGCTTGACTTCCTAATTGGCACTCTATTGAGCCAGGGCTTTCCCACCTATTCTCTTAGTCTAGGTGCCCTCCTGTCTGCCTTTGGGCAGCTGTCTGGGTATGATGCTTTCTTTTAAAATGTAAAATCTGGGACTTGCCCAGCAAAAATTGCAGGGTGATTTTACAGTGATTCACATATGTGCTCAGACACAGCTTGCAGAAGCCCTAGAGTGTAAGGAGTAAGCTGCAGTCATATAGTTACTGGACCATAAATGTGTGTAATTGCTTTTTGCAGTCTGGGGTAGAGGTGGTAGCAGAGAGATTATTTGTAATGGTTCATGAGTTTGTTTTCAGGAAGGAGTTCTCTCTGCAGTCCTCTTGATGGGTTGATGGGTTAAAAGACAAATGTGACCCCCGCTTGGGCCAATGCCTTTTTATTATCAGCAGAGGGCAGCACATGGCCAGCTATTATCTGTGCTGTTCTGTTACACACTTCCCCACATCTTACAGTGCATTTTCGGGGCTGAAAAAGTTTGCATGCAAATACATGCTTCATGGGGGGCGGGGCGGTGAGTGAACTGAAAAGCGTTGAAAAAGTGTGTATTTTACACAACAGTGTGAATTTGACACATAAAGTGCTCACAAAAATGTGTGCAAATGTGTCCAACAGACCTATGAATGCCAGTGAGGCCTAAACTGGATGGAATTAGCTGCCTTTTACTTTAACTTGACTTTGAATAGCAAGTTATTAGCCATTCTGCAAGGCAGTGGTTCCTGATTTCCATGGACCACTTGAAATTGGTTGAGGGTCTTGGGTGGACCACTTCAAGATTTTTCTATCTGTTGTAGCAATTGTAACGTGCTGTGCTAGATTCTGTCATGTCACGTGTTCATTCCCAATAATATTCTTACCCTTGCAATCATCTGTACTGTAATGCTTTTGTGCTTTTGTTTGAAAAGAACAAATATATATATATATATATAATGTGCTGTCCTGGATGCTGCATGGTTTATAATTATATTTTTATTGCTCCTTTCATTTCTTATGTATTGTATTTTACAGCATTTTGAAGAATTCAAATTGTAATACAATAGAACGCAACGTAAAAATAAAAGAAGCAGTAAAAATACAATTTAAAATCTGTCGGAATATTTTATGTGATGGATTTGCTGCCTCCCATCCTCAGCCACAAATCCAGACACAGTGCAGACTACCTGAACGAAGCTCATGGACTTCAGTTTGGGAGCCCCTGTTTTGAATAAATGTCATTCAAAACAAAACACCACATGCCACAAATGAAGAATAGTTACCATGCTGGGGCATGTTGAATTTTTAAAGTTTCAAATTCCAAAAGTGAGGGGTGCTAAAAAATGGTAACATGACCTGAGGATTCAAAAGCTGTTTTCAGGAACGACTGGGCCTGTGGATGGTCTCATAACAGTTCTCCTGGTAGACTAAAAGCATTTATAACATGCTTTTCTTCACTGCATTAATAACCCACTTTTTCAAGGTGGCACACTTTGTGGTTCTTCTCTCCTCTGCCAGCAAGCTTCAAGGGGGGCTGCACAGAAATTTCAGCCAGTCTTTTCTCACCCCTAATATTGACACAGTGGACCACACTGGCTCTGCACTCAAATGTGCGTAATAGTTTGTGATTCCCCACCCTTTGCTGCAGGCTTGGGAGGGGTTCTTTCTGCTATCCCACCCCACACAGATCTTGCCAGCTAGTGTTTACATCCGTCAAGCTGTAGTTTCCTCCTTGCCTCCAGAGCATGAGGGGGTTAACGGCCCTCCGGAGGCTGTGGGATCAGCACAGGAACAGGGCGTTGCTGGTTATCTCAGCCACCGCCAGGCCAGGACTGTGATGACGCCTATCCTCCAAGGCAAGGGCCGCCCATTGGCTGGGACAAGACTTGACTCATTCCAGGAAGCCACAGCCAGACAGCAAGTCAGACTCAGGTGTCTACACAGCCGAACAGCACGTAACTGTGGAACGGACAGAGACAGTGGTCTGCAACATCTCTCTGCTGCTGGCAGCATGGTGCTCAGGATGGAGAACGGTGAGAGTGGCGCAGGGTGGGGAACCCCCGGGCCCCCTCTTTGGGTGGTTGGGTGAGTTGTGTTTAGTGGTGGCGACCACTAAAGGCTTCATTTGTGGGGAGCCATGGTCAAGTTGGATGTTTTACAGAAGTACGCACCTTCCTCTTTCATTAAACCTTTTAAATTTGAGATCTTTTCCAACCTGCGTTTGTATTGGAATTGTTTTTAAATAAGTTTTCGTTGTTTTATCTCTCACCGTGTGCTGCTCTGGAAGTGAGTCTGGAATATAAATTTAATAAATACATAAACATGGGGTGAGTTCTTCAGAACATGGCCTTCCATGTTGCAGTGATAACTGAGTAGTGTTCTGATCAGTGCTGTTTTTCTAGAAAAAGGGGTGCCGGAACTCACCAGGAACACCTCCCTCCTTCTCTTGGAATGGCAATGGCCCCCACCTGAGAGGTGCTGGAACTGAGTTCTGGCGAGTTCAGCTGAAAAAAAGCCCTGGTTATGATAATACTAGTGAGAGTTGAAGAGTTCTTTGAGCTCCTGGCTCACTAGGAGCACATCCCATGAAGATATGCTGCCCTGGGGGGCGGCGGGGGGGGGGAATTGCACTGGAATATGGGACAAGCAGTTACAGTAAGCAATGCCAGGTAGGCTTACTTCTGTAGGGCCACTGCTGTGGCCTAGATATTTGAGGGGTTTTTTTTGGTGAAGTGTCCTATTCCTGCTTTCAGCCGGGAGAGGCCCAGTCTCGCTGTACTTGAAAAGCAGGAGTTTCTGTTGGCAGCGCCCTGAGTGGCATGCTCCGGCATGCGTCTCTCCCAAAATACCTCTCCTGTCCTTTTCAGTTCCGCTTCAGCCCTTGGGCACCAGGGAGGGTGCTGGGAGAAAAGCACGTGGATTTAATGAGGCAACAGGCTGCTTCCTACACGCTTAGGGCAGGGCTTCTCTACTTTCTCTGGGCACCACCTTGAGAGCAAGAGTGTTTAACATGGCTGTCCCTGAGCCACATGTGGATCTAGATGAGTGGGAGACGTGTTTGGAGAGAGGGTTGAACATGTTGCCCAGTCATATTCTCTCTCTCTCTCTCTCTCTCTCTCTCTCACACACACACACACACACACACACACACACACTAGACCAATCAGATACAGGTGGCCACCATTTTGTGTGTATCTGATTGATGCACAACAGCTGACACGTGCGCTGCTTTTGGCCCCAGAAGGGGGCGGAATGAGTTTACGCACAACTGCTGATGCGCACAATGACCTGGAACACAACCCTCGCACAAATGGGGAGTTCCCTGTATTGTCAAATAATTGTCAAGTGTGTTTTTAAAAGACCTTTAACTTTGAGAATGAAATCCACCAAAGCTTTAAAAATAAACAAGTACAACCAGGGAATCTCCAGGTGAGACCTGGAGAGACTCATGTTTGAAACCCTGGAGAAACCCAGTCACTGTAAATACTTCTAAGCTAGGTAGACCAATGGTCCAGCTTGATAGAAGGCATCTTCCTATGTCCTAATGAAGTGGTCAATTGACCAGTCAGTTATAATGTTTTCCTGGTCAACTGATGAACCCTTAGAGCAGGCATGGTCAAACTTGGCCCTCCAGCTGTTTTGGGACTACAATTCCCATTATCTCTGACCACTGGTCCTGTATGCTAGGGATGATGGGAGTTGTAGTCCCAAAATAGCTGGAGGGCCAAGTTTGGCCATGCCTGCCTTAGAGTGACCATGAGCCCTGGGAAATAGTTTCCTTCTAGGCTTGGAGCTCAACATACCTCTGAGCCCATGCAAGTCCAAAGAAGAAATCCTTTCCTAGCGTGGGACTGAGTTTGCTCACTTGTTTTTATTGCAACGCTATCAGTGTTCTTCCAACTTAGTCTTGTGGCTTCTCTCTTATCCCAAACTTTCTCCCTTGAGTAATTCAGTCTGGATTTTTGACATCATCAGATAAGGGCTCTTCCAGCAGAGCATGGATTTTTTTAATGAAATAGAGCTTTTTTGGTTTACCAAAGGTGTGGGTGTGGGGGTCTAGAAGTGCAATTTAGAGCTAAATCAATCAATCTTGGAACAGCAACTTGCATTCCCCCCTTTGTTGGCCAGCTTGCTTATGGCAAGGGGTCTCTGCCTGTGTTCTGTGCAATGTGGAGCCTCCCTCACTTCTGGCTTAGTCTTTACCTTGACAGCTGCTCTCCATATAGCATGGGGCTTTAGGACTCCGGTTTCCTCTTGGGGTGCATTTCCTGAAACTGACGCGACCAAGAGACCGGTGTGCACTCAACAATGGGTGAAAGGCAGCGGTCCCAAACATTGCGGCAGTGTCTCTTGCATTAACATCAGCAGTGCTTTTGTCTTCTCTGCAGTGAAGAGTGAGCATTGAGGATTTGCCCAATAGCCATTGGGATTTGTGGTTCTACTGAATCAAGGCACTTAGGAATGACTAGTTTTCTACATTTCATTCACCCTTAAAACAACAACCACAATGCAAATTATAGTCCAGTAAGCAAAGGCCTTTCTTATAATCGGTCTTTTACTGGTCACAGAGTCTGTTTCACAATCTGCAGCAAAGATCCTAACTTGCACTTTCTAAGCCCCTAGCCCTTATTAAATGCTGACTTTTTGCTTTCAAGACGCATGTGCATTGGTTTCAAGACCCTTGGGCATTGGTTTAAAGAACTCTTTGCATCTGATGGCCTTTATAAGTACCTTTTTTTGGTGATTATGAATCCCATCAGTTCTCTTTGTTGGAGCTTTTACAGTGATGCCGCCAGCAGTGTTTAGTCCTTGATGTTGCAGAAGTTCACCTGAAGCCTACAGATCTGGCACATTTGTTGAGCTGCAAGGTTACTTGTCCATGTGTGATTTGTGGGGATGTTTAGTGCCACCCACAATGTGAAACATCTGATAACTTTATATGCTGCTACTGCTTTAGACTTCCCACAGAGGATGTACTCTTCTTACCTGAGAATATGGTGTTACTTGCTTGTGGAGCCTTTGAGTGGGATTCATTTAATGAGCCCCATCAGCAGAAGCCCTGCACAATAACTTCTGCTTGAGCAATGGGGCTTTGCTTCTTTTCCTCCCCCCCTGCTCCCTCCCCTGAAATTGGCTCAGGGGAGCAAGAAAACCCCTGAAACAGCACACAGGGGGAGGAGAAGGGGGAATCATTCCACCTGGCAAGCTAAAATGCTTGCCCAGATGTTGCATGAGTGGTATTCAATGCTAGCCCTACTCAGAGTAGACCCATTACAGTTAATGGGCATGACTAACATAGGTTTGTTAATTTTAAAGGTTTTACTCTGAGTAGTGGACTTAGTTGAACATAATCCTTTATCTTTGTTAGCAAGGAGCCCAAGTGTAATGTTGGGCAAGTGTGGGCATCATGTCATGAAGCTGGTGCTGAGTAGCATCTGTGATTACAGGGAGAAGGATATAAATCCCTCTCTGCCATGATAGGATTTCTGTGGGTGGAATCTCACAGTTGCTTACCATGAACCAGTTGCCAAAACCCTTGAAGCCAGGAGGCAAATGTGGCACATGGATTCCCTGTGGTGCCTACTATGGGGTTTTTTGTGTGCATAAGGGTGTGTGTGCAACACCCTGTTTCGGTTTTGGAACAAGTTATCCCTCCTCCTCAGAACATGCTGTGTTGCTTTTTGGTGCCAAGCCCATCATCCGCAAGGAGCCACGCAGGAATTGTTAGTAAAACACCCTTGCCTTCTGTAGTCAGGGTTGCTGCTTCCTTGCGAGCAAATTTACTGTGCAACTTAAAATGGCAGGCTGCAGAACATCCCACTGCATGGATCTGTTCCCACAAGATGTGTGTCATTTGCAGCCTTCATCTTAATGTCTGCTTAAGCCTTGCTAGAAAGTGAACCTCTCTTCAGCTTCCCAGTAACGGTACCCAGAAATGGAGCTCTCATTGAAGGAACCTGCCTTGAGGAGAACATCTGGAGCAAACATACCTGTTGGGTGGTGCACTATAGAAAGGGCTCATCTCCATGCCTTGTCAGGTGCAGTTCTCCCACCCACACAAGCGTTGCTGTTGTAAGGGATAGATACTGAGTTTGGAGGAAAGGCCTTAATGGACTGCCTTGCCTTGCTTCTTGTGGTGAATGCCAGAGGATAACTGGCTCTTGTGGCCTTAAATTAGCTTTCCCAACCTGGTGCCATCCAGATCATTTGGACTAGAACTCCCATCAGCCCCAGCCAACATCTGAGTGGGGGAAGCTCCTGGAAATTTACAGGATAACTTGTGGGGTGCCATCTTATCCTTGCTCCCAGTCTGTAATACGAGTTTAACTGCCTTGGCTCCACTGGGTCTTATGGTGTCAAGGCAATAATTTCTTATGAGGGACCAGAGTAAGAGCAGGGAGAGAGACTTAGGGTGTCAAGTCAAGCTTCCATTACCCTGCAGGCACCTGATGATGTAACAGGGAGAGTAATCCTAAGGGTTAAATTTATTTCGCACACATGCAGGAAACTGATGGTATCTGGAATTTCTTGTAACCTCAGCCACTGCCTTTAGTACACATGAGGTCGCCTGGGATTGGACACTTGGCATTCATGAGTCCTGTTCTATAGTTTCACTGCCTTAGGGCAGGAGAGTTCCCTACCCTCACTTGACGTTGTGTGGATGAGGGGAGAGCATGGAATTTCTGTTGCATGTTTGTTTGCCTTATAATCCCATCAGTGTGTGTGGTGGTTAACAGAGTACAAGAAGACAAGTCCTTTGTCTCAAGGATCCTACAATAAAGAGAGAGAGAGAGAGCGAGGATACAAGAGAAGGGGAGGCAAGGGGTAAACAGGGGAAATAATGTAGAGTTGTACATTTCACTTGCTACAGGTTTAACTGCGGCACGCCCACATTAAATATGTTGATTATGACATTCAAGTTGTGATACAATAAAATGCAATATAAGAAATAAAATAAGCAATAGAAACAGAGTTAAAACCATACAGCATCTAGCACAGTGCATCGCAATTGTTACAACAGGCAGAAAAATCATTGTGGTTCACTGAGACCCATGGCAATTTCCATTTGGTTGTTGAGGGTGGAGAGTAGTGCCAGATTACCAAATAGGCAGAGTAAGCCCCAGCCTATGGGCCCTGCAACAACAGATCAAAATAATACTGATTTGAGCTTGAAAGATGATTACAAAAACATCTCGGGAGATAATTTGAGAGGGAGCCCCCAATATTTCGACTTCCTAGGGGCCTCCACAGGGTTTAATCTGGCACTGATAGAGAGAAGTTTGGGAACCACGGGACTGCATCACACTGACTGGTGGTGGCTCTCCAGGATTTCAGATAGGAGTCTTTTCCCAGCCTGCCAGAAGATGCCAAGCTTTGAACCTGGGTCCTTTTATATGCAATGCAGTTGTTCTACCACTGAGCCTTGTCTTTTCCTTTGGTGTGCTGGTAAAAATACTGTGTTTTCTGTGATGAGCTGCAGGATACAAATGGCTTGCCATGTGCTGAGTTTAAAGAGGCAGCCGCAACACTGCTCTGTGGAATTGGCCACATGTTCCTCTTGCTTGCTCTCCATTGTTGCCTGCTGTTGTGGGCTGCCTTGTGGATCTTGCCATGCATCAGTGGAATGACAAAGTGTCACTGACAAGGACACTGGTTCTTGAAGACGCTGTCATATCTTGTTAGCTAAGTTGTATTTATGTAGCCGTGATTTGGGGAGTGGGATGAATCAAACCTTGTTTTCAAGGTTTGTGGGGAGGGATGCCCTTGTGTATGCAAGGGGGCAGTGGGGAGAGAAGTGCTTGTTATGAAGATGCGGCACCAGGAGGGTCTGTGGTTTTTAAACTTCCCGGATTACGTTGAAGAGATTTCAGATTCCAGTCCAGGGCTTCATGGGAGAAATCAAAGGAACAAAAAAAACCCCCACCTTTTAGGGTTCAGAACCTGAATCTGCAACTAGGATTAGGAAAGAGGTTCAAGCAATGCCAGAAGCAGAAGACACAGATACTTGTATGTACCGTAGGTCTGGTGTCACAACAGGGTGGAACCGATCTTGGGAACATAATCTGAATGCATTGCATCTTGGGACAGTTTGCTCTTAGGGCATTTAGGAGGAGGAGAGGCCTTTTGAGAAATTGCTCCACTGAGGTACTCCATACCCATTTGCTGGGGAGTAAGACTTACTGAACTTTGCAGTACTTAACTTCTGAACACACTTGCATAAGTCTGTGCTGTTGCTGTGAGCTTAGGATAATGGAGATTTCGCATCTGCTAGGGAAGCTTGTGCTGGGAGAGCCTGAAGGAAGTGCTACCTTAGATGCACCAAACCAGGCCTTAGAAGAGGTGGCATAAAAGTGAGGGATGTGTCAGAAGGACTTTGCTTGAAGAAGCTCCTCTAGAGGAAGGATGGGGAAATGGTGACTCTCCAGATGTTGCTGGACTGCAACTCCCTTTGGACCCAGCCAGTCACACATCATTGCTTCTCCACTGCTGCTCCAGAGAGTTTGGTCTGAAATGGAGGAGAAAATGGAAAAATGGAACAAATCTAACGGGACTGCCAGTGCTGAATTCTAATGGGGCTTTCTCAAAGTGGAACTCTGTAGGGTTGGCTTTCTAGCTCACTAAGCTGCAGGAAAGTACTGAATTTGAAAACACGTCGGCAAGTATCAAAGTGTATGGAAGTTATTTTCTTGCAATTAGAATCTGAAGAGTTTAGCACAGCATTCTAAATCTTTTGGGGGCATAAACACCAACCCTGAATGCTCCGCCCCAAAATCAGTTTTCCAGATGCAGTGCTGTCGTTCTCTATTTTGAAAAATGTGACTTTCAACCTTACTTTGGTGCTGTGTTTCCTAGAATGAACAGAATAGGAATTAATATTTGGCAACTTTTCAAACACAGCAACTCCAGGTCAACATGTTGTTGTTGTTTTTCTATCACTAAATATAATGCTATATTCCGCCTGATTTTCTGAATGAATGAGTACATCAGTCAAAGGTATGGAACTACATATCACATTCACAAGAGGCTTCTGAAAAGATTAGCAGAAGCTATGCAAAATCACAAGAAAATAAGCATGTGACTATAGCTAAATATAATGAAGTGGCCATGAATGTGAAATTAAAAAAAATAACCACTAAAATGCCACACAGCTGAACCCACATTTAGCTGGGATGAAGGGTCTTTCCCCTTAGTTCTCAACCTCCTCTAAAAAGTCAATGCCCCCTCTGAAAATTCACCCCCCATTTCAATCCATATGCTTGTAGACTCTCATAAGCAACATTAGGGTGCGTGATTTTAGGGGGTTAAACTTAATTTCTGCAAATTTCGGGGGGGGGGGTCCTTAAAAATATGGTTTTGTGTATGAGGAATTCAAATCTACTATTTTTGTGATCGGGCAACATTTAGCTTGTTAAGTCTACATTTGATGAAGAAGCACATAAACTGCTTTTGGAAAACCAAATAATTTTAATTTTACCTTATACAAATATTAGGTAATGCTTAATAATAATAAATATTGTATAATAGTATTGATATTAATATTACTACTTGGCAATCATTTTAATGATTTTTACGCAATTTTACATGCATTTACTTACCAAGCAGAACTAAATTATATTAATTTAACCAAAATATGTTTTGAATTCCCAAGTCATGTTACAACTTTTTAGCATCTCCACCTGAAACTTGAAAAATTCAACATGCCCTGCTAAGACATGGGGGATTGTGAGGATTAAGAAGAAAGGGATGTTGTTGTGGAGGAGCATCTTTTCCTTCAAACAGGCAGTGAATGATGATGGTACACTGGTCCCCTTCTGGCATGGAGAAGAGCAGTTGTGCTGCTGGGCAGTCAGGGCTTTGAAAGAGAACACCTATAAAGTGTTAACGAATTACAAAGATTTTCACAAGTACTAAGGAAACCACCTGGTATAATTAAGAATGGGAATGATAAAATGCCTGGCTATGTAGCACATTTAACAAGTCGCTACCACAAAAGCAGATTGGATGTCTGATCAGCAGAAAACTTGCCCAAAACTTCAGAGAAGGCATCTGTCATTAAGGCAGAATGCAAGGTGAGGAAATAATGTTGTCTTGGTATAAAAACACATACTATGAAGGATGAATCTGGAACAAGTAATGCAGGGGCATCCTTTAAATAGAATGAAAATTAAAGCAGATGAAGTTGACGCAACCTTAAATTTACAAAACTTAACAAGAAATAAGTTTAGCTTAAAAAACCTTAGTTTATAGGAAATTAAGATCAAATTTCACCATGCCATGGGTAAAAGCTGAATTCTCCAATATTTAAGTTTGTGGTATCAGAAGCCCCCCCCCTCTGTGTGTGTGTGTGTGTGTGTGTGTGTGTGTGTACGCCTAAGATTAAACACCTATTCAGCTGCATTAAACTATGAGAGTGTGCATGTTGTGATGCAGGAGGTGCTGCCTTTGTTTCTGGCATGCTTGACAATGAGAGAAACAATGAATTGCTTCTGAGTGAGGTGCTAAGAATAACACCTGTGTGGCTGCAACTTTAGCATATGGTTTAGGGTCCTGAGAAGAGGAGAAAGGCAGTAAGGGAAAAAGACTGTGTCTTCCTTAGAGGCTGAACAGCATTTCCTCCTTGAGCATGTAATTCAGCTAGAAACTCGTAATATCACACCCAAATATGTGTGTGTAACTGCTTCTGAAAGAACCGGCGTGTCTGATACTCGTATTTCCATGTATTTGCTGCTTCCTCCCACTTTGTGTGCAAATGTCCTGCACACATGCCCTCCCTGTGCTGCAGCCTGGACAGGCAGGGGTTAATCCCCAGGCCTCGGCAGGTGGGCGGGGTTCCAAAGCTGTCATCCTCCATGGAAGGCAGCACGAGCAGAGGAGCTCAGCTGAGCAGAATGAGAGGAGGCCGAGACACAGCCCCTTCTCCTTGACAGGGCTGGGCTCCCCAGCACATGGGCTACTAGCGCACTGATGGTGTGTCACAGGGCTTACTTTGACAGTGGGCAGAAAGAGCTGGGCGGCAGCCTGGGGTAAGTCTCTCCCCCTCCTCTCCCTCTCTCACCCTGTGTATTATGTTTGCAAAGGGGAATTCTCTGCTCCTGTTTGGCTCCCTGTCTTGTGTGCTGCTTGGTCCCTCATGGCTGCATTTGGTGCCATGTGCCACTGCCTTTTCCATGGTGAACACCATGTGCCTGGCCTTTCTGTCATAGCCATGCCTGGTGCTGCACTCCTTTCTGCCCCGTCCACTAGCATGCTGTGCTTCCCCTGCCTGCCCGTTTTCTGGCTCCCCAGCAGATTATTCCAGGCATGGAGGGGAGGGGGAAGGCACTGTGTGTTGCTGCTCCTGCCTTCCTTTGGGCCCATGTTTATGCGCGGACTGGATTTTCCCAAAGTGTCTGCAGGAGAGGAGGGAAGAGAGAGCTTTCACCAGGGTGGGAATGTCATATTTCTGCTCCAGGGCTGTTTAAGTCAAGGGCCCCTAACTGAAAGGTGTACAGAAGTGGCTGATATTGGGTGGGGGTAGATGCCACCACCATCATCCTCATCATGGGCTGCCGTTGCCCTGCTCAGAGAGTAGATAAGCACTAAGAAAGGGGAAAGGCTGCTTAGAGTGGTGGCTGTCAATGTTGGCAGCCAGCCAAATGTGTGAATTGGTGGGTGGGCATTAAGAGCCCAAGGGGCAAAGAGCTTGTGGGTCAAGCAGCTGTTGGGCCTGGAAAAATGAAGAAATTAGAAGCTCAAGCTAGGGTGAGGAGGGGAGGAAGAGGGGGAGTTGGCCCTGAAAGAGCACACAAATGAGAAGGATAGAAGTAACCCACTAACATCCTTACCTTAGAATAATGTTAGTGTGATTCTCCTTTCTGTTTCGACACATCCACCTGTATATGCTTTGGTAGGGGGTGTAGAGGACAGCACTGTCTCTGGGAGTTGAGTAGGACTCCCATTGGGGCTGACATATAGGGCAGGGGGTTCCTTCAAGCTAGGGTTTCCCGTTCTTGCAGACCAAAGCTCTCTTCAGACTGAGCTCAGATGCATTTGACCCACAGGTGGGGTAGAACTGCACTCTTACTTGCAACCCAGACAAGAGCATTGGATGAAAGCAAAGCAGGCCATTTCATAAAATATATAAAATAAACACAATTCACACTAAAAGCATGTTTTGAGAATTTTGCACCAGTCTTTGCTTGTTTTCCTCTTCTCCATCCCGCTCCCCCTTCTCTTCTTTCCTTTTGCACCATGCCTTTTTAGACTGTAAGCCGGATGGCAGGCAGGGACTGTGTTGCTTTTATTGATTTGTAAGTCACTCTGGGAACATTTCCAGCCAAAGAATGGGTTACAAATGCTTTGAATGAATTGTTAAAAAATGTTTTTCTTTTTGATAGCTTCAGGTGTTGGAGCTCCTATTGCTTGGTCTTCTGGGAAGAGAGTAAGTGGTAGGGGTTAGAGCAGTCAGGGATTGTGCTGATGGGTGATTCTCTGGATAAATTGTTGCTCATTGGGGAGTTCTGCCTTCCTACCTGCAAGACCCATCCAGCTGATTGGAAGTCATTTACTCAGGTATTTTGCTTGGACTAAGCCCAGAGTGCCTTTGCTTATTAGTGTTTCTCTGTACTTATGGAGGCACATAAATAGACACACACCCCAGCCCCTCCTTCAGAACATATTCTCCTAATTACCAGCCCCACTGTTTATCTGTAGCACTGACATAGCTGGAGTTGGGACTCAGGTCAATTGACCAGTCAGATACCAGTCAATTGACTGCCTATTATTTGACTGTGGTCAAATGATCTATGAAATAAAGAAGGCCCATGTGAATGTGGCAGTCAGCTGCTTTATTGCATCTTGATAGCAATAGCAGGAACAAGGGTCGCTTACACACTTCCCCTTCCCCATTAATCCAAAAGGCTTAGCCTTTTCCATTGACAAAACCAACTGCTGGCATCTTTGAACAGGGACATACAGAGTTCAGGAGGAAACGTGAAGCCAATAATGCAGAAAGGAGGCATGGGCCAGTGGAGGGTGTGTGTGGAGAACACATTGGTATTTGTAGTATATCACCTCTGTGAGTTTTTGCCTGTTTACAAGACCACAACGATGCCTCTTCTTGCCATCCATCTTGCTAATGCAACCTTTTATGAGAAACCTGTTTCTGTAACCAAAGAGCCAGGGTTTGGATGGCTCCGCTGGAGTCATTGCAGGGGCAGGGGCCTAGAATTGCCAACTCAACAGGATATGACATAGGAGAGCCAGCTGCACTTGTGGCAGACTACATGCGCTGTGATTCAGAATGCCTGCGCACCAAAGAGGACCATGGAGATGCTGGATATCGTTCAGCGGGGTGCACTCAGCTTGTTTACTCCTTGGTCTCTTGGATTTCATGCAGACCAGTTGTCCTCCCTAGAATGTCGCCTGCACTTCCCCCTCTCATGTAGTTATTCAACGATCAGCCTTATCATCTAGTCTGGTGGGGGAGGAGCAAGGTGAAGCCACTGGTTTCAGTCAGTAAAGCATGAAACTCGTAATCTCAGGGTTGTGGGTTTGAGCCCCATATTGGGCAAAAGAGATTCCTTCAATGCAGGGGGTTAGACTAGATAACCCTCATGGTCCTTTCCAACTCCACAATTCTATGAAAACATTGTGTGGGACGCTACATTTCAGTCTCCAGGCAAAGAGGCATTTCTTCCCCAAAGGATAGGTGCTTGGGGGGGGGTGTGCACTTTTCCATTCACAAAATGAAGAGCAGACCTCTGGGAGTGAATTCAGCACATATTTAGGGGCTCCCAGCCTTAGGTGCTGGGTTCTTTTGGAAACAAGATTATGACGAGTACCCAGGAGTAAGGTCCACCGGCACACCGACTGTACTTGCTATTGGAAAGAGGGGCCCTCTGTGAGATCTTCTGCTTTGTTTTTGTTAAGCTTCTGAGGAGAGCACAGTAGTTTTGGAAATTGGTATATTTCTTTCCACCCCAGTTAGTGCCATTCTATTAATGCATTACGTAATTACTTAGTTGAATGCTGAATTTCAGCTTTAAGCCTCCCAGAGCTCCTGCTCTGGGCCCACCTGCCCTGCCTGCTGGAAGGGGGGAGGCACTGCCTCTTTAAGAGCTGCCTCCTTTGTATGCTGCGGCTGCAGTATCTTGGCTTTGGGCTCCTGCCCTCGTGTCCAACTGCAAAGCAATGAAAAGGCACTTCCCTTGTTCTGGCTTCTCTGTTCCAGCAGCCACACAATGGAGCCTTGTTGTGTCAGGAACTCTGATCTCTTTGAAATAGCCCTCAAAGCTAGAGCCTGGCTCCCCACCCCGGCTACAGGTCTGTGCTCCCTGTTGAGGACAGGGACCCTGCTGCTCTCCACACACCCTCCATAAGGCAAGGGAGCACCACCACGTTCTGCCCCTGACTGTCTGGGTACACGTTCCCCACTGGGCAACTGCAGTGGTATGGCCAGGATGGTAGAACCTGCCTTCTGTTCCTCTGTTGACCTCTGGGCTTGGTCCTGCCTCTCCCCATCTCAAAGCAGCTGAATCAGCAATGCTTCCAGCAGGGTCAAACTGAGACACTCCCCCTGCCTGCAGAGACTAGAATGTGATGCCTGGAGCATTGCTTGAATTCCTCCAGCGGTATTTGGGAAATGTCTGTCTCATGCTGCGAGCTGCAGATGTGAGAATCCACTGTATGTTATACCGCACAGATGCAGGACAGAGTTCTGGGGTGCATCATTACCTTCATGTGCTGTGTCCTGCCTCTCTTTCTGGGGTTCTCAACAGGAGTCGTGCCTTTTTGCTAGGAAGCCACAGCCAACGTGGCCGCCTTAAGTGCTTCTGTTTTTGTTTGGGCTCACACATGAGAAAGGAGGAGCTGGCCTGTGGTCTGAGGCCTGCAGCTTCAAGTCACCTTTGTGCAGTGCTCTGCATGTATCCTAGCACTGTTTCGGAGGGGTTGTTTGGACAGTGGCAAAAACAGATGTAGCCTTGAATGACTGCAGTGGGTTTCTCTTGGAAGTATGACATTGCTGTGTATGTATGACGGCAAATTTCCCCCCTGTTGCCTGATGCTTGTGGCAGCACACCTGCATCCTTAATTCACTCTGGAGGATCAAGATTGCCTTAGATCCTTCCTTGTGGTGGTGATTGTGGTGCTTAATAGGAGAAGCCTTGGGAAGAATTTAACATAGCATTCAGTGATGTATGCGTAAGTGGAACAAGGTCCATTGCTGCAATGGGACTTTTCCACCCATTCCTCCCCAAACCTGTTCATGTGTTGCAGGCAGAGGAGAGGGGAGGAAGTCCTATAGGAGAAGATCTTGCCTTTCATGTCATTGGCAATAAACAGCCCGGTTTGGGTAGCTTAGCTTTCCAAAAAAGTTTGCTTAAGCATCGATTCCGGAATCTTGAGACTGGGTTGTAGGTTGGCAAAATTCAGTGTGTGAGAGACATCTGTGCCTTTTTTTTAATGGCTACCTAGAAGGAAGAGTTTCTGGTTTGCACATAATGCTAAGCTATGGTTTGCTTAACAAACCACATGTTAACCAGAGGTTGCCCCACAGAGAATCAAACTAACCATGGCTTGTTACTCTATGGTCAGTTTTGTTTTCCAGCTGTTCTTGCCTCCTTTCTTTGTAGCTTCATCAGTGTCTAGGGTGGGCTGGCCAAGCAAACCGCAGTTAAGGAAGGGTGCTGGGTTCACATGTAACACCAAGCCATATTTAAAATAAACCAGACTTCATAAGCCAATGACAAACCATGGCTTTCCATGTTTCAGAATGTTGCTTCTATCTTGTGAGTCCTGCAGTTGCCTTGACCTTCACGGTGACCTTTCTTTTTGTATGTTTCTGTGGCTTTCCCTTCCCAGAAATAATGTCTTCCTCTCTGTTGTTCAAAGGAGAATCTAATTGCGTTCAATGGAGCTTTGACAGCTAGTGATCGAACACAGGTCTCTCTAACCTAATATGCAGAAGTCAGTGCAGCAATTCTGTGCTTGGTGATTTTGGAGTGGAGTGGGAAAGAAATGATTTGTGGGAAGTTGATGCTACTCACTATTGAAGCAAAGTAGTTTCTGGCTTGTCTGACTGCTATGCCTGTTACCAAAAGGATCCATCTCGATCTAGCATTCTGTGTCTAACACTATCCAGTCAGAAGCTTCTGGGAAATGCACAAGCAAGGCCTCATGTAATACGCATAGCTTGTTTGCTCCCAGAAACCAACAGATACACACTGTCTCTAACAATGGTGGCCCCATTGGCTTGTCATAGCAAATATTGGTTTGCTGTTCCAGTCTCATATATTGGACTATTTCTCCCCTCCAAAAAACCAGCACCACCATCAACCCATATCGGCAAGTGGTCATCACACATAATGTGCTGATGAATGCCATATAGTGGAATCAACAGTGGAATGAAAAAAATGTGTACGCTGGGTCATATGTTGCGTACCCCAAGGGTTTATTGCATATTCTGGTTACAGCAAGCAGTTCTGGGTGAAGTTGTGACTGCTGCATCAGTCTCCCTGGCCTGCCAGGAGCACATCATATCCTTGTTGAGATCCACCCATTGTAAGCAACTCTCTCTTTGTTTCTTTACCCTGGCAGTGCCCAGCGACCTGACCCCTGAGGAGCGTCAAGAACTCGAGAACATCCGCCGACGCAAGCAGGAGCTGCTGGCAGATATACAGGTATGTGGGGGATAGGGGTGTGGGGTGCAGGAGGGCATGCTGAAGGTCCCAGGTTCAGTCTCTGGCATCTGCAGGCAGGGCTGCAAAATTCCCTGCCGGTCAGTATAGACAGTATTGGAATTTGATGGACCAGTGGTTTTGACTGGGTCTAACGCGGCTTCTTAAGATGTGATCAAGTAATTGCTGGATTAATGGGGTTTGTTTGTATGGCACAAGACTGACACAATACTTCCCACCAGGTCCCATTCCAAGGAAGGGTTGGTGGCTGTTTTGTAGCTTCCAGACTTGGTGCCTCTGTGTGTCCTGGCTTTCCCTCCTTCACCTCCTCTCTTTTGGGGCTTAACTGTTTTCAGTGCCGTGACTTTGCCCTGGAAATGTGACACACACACAAAAATAGAATGCCTTTGAGCACATGTAGACTTGCTTTACCTTGATCCTGAGTAGCCACAGTGGAAACTCCCCCCCCCCTCCCCAACACACACACCTTGGGTTAGCAGCAAGTGGTTCTTTGTGGACACGAAACCTTTGGCATTTCTTTCTTTGGATATTAAGTGCATGGCTATTCCTGCTCCTGTTTCCCCAGAGGATTCTGTGCACAGCAGCCCTGAGGCTCTGCACAGCAGGTGTCTTGGGCAAACGTCACTGCAGATCAGCAGCCAGGCACAGTTCTGGCCACCCCAGCAGGGGTTGGGGGGGTGAGAAATGGCTGGGGCTGGGGTCTGATTACCCAGTGCAGCTTCCATGTCGAAGGATCAAGTTGGTGGGGAGGGGCATCTCCACCCGCCTTTAGCCTTGACCTGTCAGGTTGATGTACCTTATGGACATGACAAGCTAGAAGGTGGGTTACGGATATAGGATTCTCTGTCGACCAGCCCCACCTCCCAGTCAAACCTGTTCCATCTTTCCCATATAAGGAAAGATGCTGTAACTAGCCAATATTGGTGCAGACCTTTAAGAAGATGGGGGTACGCCTTCCAAAGTGATGCCGGGAGAACTTCCCCTTCCCTGCGTCCCACTCCTTCCGTGCCCTCAGAGGCAGTAAGTCTCACCCTCCCCTTGGCTCTGACATGGGCTGCCTGTTCCTGTGGCAACTTGCTCACGGGTGCTGGGCTTGGCAGGGCTGCTCATCAGTCCTATCAGCAATAAATAAGGCAGTAGGAGAGGCTAATCACTGCCATATGCTGGACACTTCCTAATGAGATTAGCCCAGTAATTGTGTTAGCCCCAGGGGCTTGCTCTTCTTCCTTCCTTCCTAGAGCTCAGCATGCTGATGCCTCCCACAGATTGGCATCCATAGCCCAGCCTGCCTCTGAGCCAAGACAGGCAGACAGGCAGGCTTCTCTCTGGTCTTCATTTCCCAGGGCAGTGGGTGCCTGCAGCTGGCTTCAGCTATATCTGATGAGTCTCTGAAGAAGGGAACAGGGTTTCCCCTTACGCAGGAAGGGAGAGGTTCTGTTGTTGAACCCTGCTTCCTGAGTCTCCTTAAGCCTCTACCTTGCAGGCTCCTGGATTTTTGCGGAGAAGTCAACTTGGCAAGTCTTTCCTCTGCTCTCTATGCATTACTTCTCCCTCTGCCCAACCCAACTGATCCTCAAACCTAGATTAATGAGCATGGGGAAAGGCATAAGAGGACAGAAAAAGCTGGAGTAATAATTCCAAGGTGTTCTTTTTTTAAAAAAAGTTCCCCCCAAGAGCCCCACTTGATGGTGTGCTCATTCCCCTGCCTTTCTTCTCCTCTGCAGCGTCTGAAAGATGAGATAGCAGAGGTCACTAATGAAATCGAGAACCTGGGCTCTACAGAAGAGAGGTGAGTGGTGCTTCTGCTGGAGGAATGGGGAAGGTGATATTTTGGGGGGCTTTCTCAGAATAGAAATAGGGAGAAATAAAGTAAGCAGAAACCTGCACAGCAGAGCTGGCATGAATTCTAACATTAATGGATATTCAGGGTCAAATCGGCCCACTGAAAACAGAAGACAACCCCTTCTACCAGGAGCAATACTTGAACGTCAGTCCAGATAACGTTGCACATTTCATGCTGTGGATGAAACAATATCTAAAGGCAAACAAGAGTTTAAACTTGAAGAATAACCCCAAAGACTTATCGGAGACCCATTCATATGCCCAGTAAAAATAGATTTCCCTATTTTGCTGACTTCAGTTGTCTGAGGAATGGGATTCCCTTGGTCTGGATTCCATCACACTTGTGTTGAGAATTGACATTTTAATCCTATTTACATTTGAGGCCTATATGCTGAGCCTCTAGCCTGTCAAAAAAAAAGATCATACTAATCTATTGAGAAGAATGGGGTGACAGTGGTGTGTGTGTGTGTGTGTGTGTGTGTGTGTGTGTGTGTATGTGTTCTGGCTGGCTGGCTGTAATGTTCAGTCTCTTTAAGTAACCATGTGGAACGAAAAGCTCCCAGGCTGTTTTGTCATCAGGGATCTCTGGCCTGGTCTGTTCCGCTAAAGGCTCTAGGTTTTGTCTTGGCCAGAGTCGTCCCTCCCACCCCCCAAAAAACCCCTTTTCTAGGACTGGTCTTGCTTCCCCATCTGGCAGCAGGTTCCCTGTCTCAGGCAGTTAACTCTGAACTGAGGCAGATGGAGTCACCAACAGATTAGGCGGCCCAAATTGTCAATGGAAACTGACATGTGACGTCTCTTTCAATCACTCAGTGTGGCTTCCTTTGCCCATCCCTGGGGACGCCAGGCCCTTGTCATGTAGGGCATCCCAGGAGGCTTCCTCCTCCTCTTTCATAGTATATGGTCTCGAGATCAGTCTGCTGGTATGCCAGTTCCCTGCTGTAGTCTCCATTTTAGTGCTGGGAAGACATCCAAGTTCCACCAAAACTTAGCTGGAGTGGTGAGAGGTCTTCATTATTTCGTGGGGTAGAGAATGTATTTCCTTGTGTTTAGAAACTTAGGCTTGCCGCTAGTAGGGGAGGGGTTTGTGCATGTGCGATGCACCCTGTCCGATAGGGGAATGGAAAGTGCCTCATTGCCTAGCCTGCCTATGACTAAGATGTAGGGAGGTGGAGCACTGATGAAGTGGCACAGCCCCATGCTGCTCCTTGGTGGGGGTGTCTCTAACCCAAATCTTTTGTGCCTTCTAGGAAAACCATGCAGAGGAACAAGCAGGTGGCGATGGGCAGGAAGAAGTTCAACATGGACCCTAAGAAGGTAATCAACACTTCCTTACTATGGAGCTGGCAACGGTGTTGTCCAGGGACCACCACAAGGTCCCTCATTGCAGGCAAACTGGCTACTGACTTGTGGACTTGGCATGGTGTTGGGATACTCAGGTCTCAGGGTGACTGATCCTGGCTAATGGTTAGAAATGCCCAAACAGACACATGTGCTCCTAGGGAAGGTGGAGCTAGTTGCGGGCCAGTAAGCCACTGGTGCAAATCTCACATCAGCCACGAAACCCATTAAATGGTCTTAGGCAAGCCACTATTTTTTTAACCACAGGCTCCCTCACCTGCAAATACAGCCTGCCTTTAGGGCTATTGTAGGCACTACTAAGAAGGTTTGCATGAGACACAGCTTGACCATTTCAAATCTACTATCTGCATTCTGTGCATTATTGGAGGTGTTTTGGGTTCCTGTACCTGTGTGTCCTGTGCAGGGGCAAATGCAGAGAGACACCCTCTTCTTTCTGTGCTTGCAGGGAATCCAGTTCCTGATAGAGAACGACCTCTTGAAGAACACCCGCGATGATATTGCCCAGTTCCTCTACAAAGGGGAAGGGCTCAACAAGACAGCCATTGGCGACTACTTGGGTGAAAGGTAATGGGAGAAGGGAGCTCTGGGGCTTGGTCTTCCTTTATAGCCACTACCATAATGGACTTTGGTTCCTATCTCTCATGGGCATTCAAGAAATGGGAAAAGAACTTGGGATCCCAAGAGATCTCTTGCCAGTGCTCCATTGTTTCGAGTTTCCCATGTGGACTGGCTGAACCGGAGTTCATAGTCAGGACCTTGTTAGCATCCTTGGCTAATTGGAGGGCTTCTGTACCCTGAACCAAGCTTTGCTTACCAAGTTGCGGGGGACAGCTGAGGAATGCCAACTGAAATTGTGAATATTTAAACTGTGTGGGACTTCAGGATCGTTCTCGCTGCAGCTGGCCAGTACTGGGTACTTCAGCACTGCATAACACCTAAAGCCTTGAAATAACTTGCCTGTGCTCTGAAGCTTCTTGGAAGACTTCTGGTAACTTCTTAAGAATAGACACCAGGCCATCTTAAAGGCCCAGAACTGACAGATTGAAAACTGAATATTTTGCATTCATGCAGAAGGTCCAGCTCCTGGCATCTCCAGGTATAATGATCCAGGATTGGGTAGCAATTAAAATGATGAGGGATTGGGTAGCAAGTCACGACAGAGAACCTTCTCTACATGTATTTCCCTGGAGAAAGACTGCCTGTCAGAATAGACCAGCGGTTCCCAAACTCTGGTGCATAGGCCACCAGAGGTCCACAAACTTCATCCAGGTGTGTCTGTGGATTTGTAGTTAAAGATGGGAGGTGGCAACTCCATGGCATCAAACATTCATAATTGATTTTTAATTGCATTTTTAGTGCTTCCTCTATTCCTTACATTGTGTTTCGATTTTAATTCTGTGGACACAATAAAATACAATATATAAGAAATGAAAGGAGTAATAAAATACAATTAAAAACCATACCGTGTCTAGCATGGCACATTGCAACAGCCAGAAAAATCATTAAGCGGTCTGCCCAGACCATCCAGTAGTCCATGCTGGGGTGGGGAAATGTGGGAACCACTGGAACAGACCATATTGGACTAGATGGCGAGAGAGTCCCACCTGGGATAAGGCAGCTTCCAGGCCAGGCCAAGAGGAGAGCCCAGTTCTTGGCAGCAGCAGTGGTTTGGCAGCTGTATGGGAATGGTGAGTTTGGTCGCTCTCACATGTTCCCCTATTCTTTTGCCTCCTCACAGAGATGATTTCAATATCCAGGTGTTGCACTCATTCGTGGAGCTGCATGAGTTTACAGACCTCAACCTTGTCCAGGCACTGCGGTGAGTGGCAGCAGGATGTTTGTGAGTGAATCAGAGGTGTGTCCTTTTTCTCTTTTCCTGCACAGAAAAGGCAAGAAGAGGACATGTGTGGGCTTTGGGGCTCCCTAGGAAAGAGCAGTGGTTTGCAGTCCACGCACACAGAGGGAAATATGTGACTTGGAAGTCTCTGGCACATCACACAGCCCTTCTACCAAGGAATGTTACTTCTCTGGCAGCTTTGCTCACAGTCCTACTCAGCTTAGCTGACTATGTGCTCGTTTTCCCCACAGGCAGTTCCTTTGGAGCTTCCGGTTGCCGGGCGAAGCACAAAAGATTGATCGGATGATGGAAGCCTTTGCACAACGGTACTGTCAATGCAACCCGGGTGTCTTCCAGTCAACAGGTACGCACGAATTGACATGCTGAACTCTGCAGGCAGCTAGGGTTTGGGATGCAGTTTTTCCTGGAGCATCCTCAGAGAGTTCACAGTTGGGTGCCTTCTGGCTCCCACTGCCAGATTTTCAGGCTTTGTTGCTTGGGAGTGGAGAAGGGCTGGCCATTGGGCCGCACAAAGTTCTGTCCCATAGTTAAAAGTGTGGATTTTGCTCCCACAAGATGGAGAAATGGCCACCAACTTGGGATGGCTTGGAAAGACCCAGTTCACGGGTATAAGGCTATCAGTGGCTACTAGCCGTGGTGGCTATGTTCTCTTTCCACTGTCAGAGGCAGAATGCCTCTGAAAAGTAGTTCCTGGGAATCACAAGTGGGGAGAGGGCTTTTGAGCTTGTGTTTTGCTTGTGGGCATTCTGTAGGCATTTGGTTGACTACTCTGAGAACAGGATGCTGGACTAGATGGGCCTTTGGTCTGATCCAACAGGGCTCCCTGCCGAGCCACCCACCCACCCCAAGATAGCAAACAACCCAACACAGAGCATGCATCCTGGGACTTGGTGACACTTCCTAGGCTACCCAATTGTCTGAGTTTGTGCCTTGGTAATGGATGGAGCCCAAAGGGCAGCCCATTCTGTGCTTGATCCATCCTTCACACCTTTCTCCACCCCAGATACCTGTTATGTGCTCTCGTTTGCCATCATCATGCTCAACACCAGTCTTCATAATCCCAACGTTAAGGACAAGCCGACAGTGGAGCGCTTCATTGCCATGAATCGTGGCATCAATGATGGCGGGGACCTGCCCGAGGAGCTACTTAGGGTGAGCTTTGTGGGAAGGGAGTGGAAGTAGTGTTTGGAAATCACAGGACTGCGATAAGGGACATGGGGGTGGCAGGTCATCGAAATATTGGAAGTTGCCTTTGTACCTGGTCGTATTTGTCCATCTAACCCACTATTGTCCTGTTGCGTCTTATCTGGTTGACAGAGACTCTCTCCTCGGCCTCAGGCAGAGATCTTTCACATTGCCTGCTACCCGTTACTTTTTTGCATGTTAGATGTGGAGGATTTCACCCGGCACCTTCTGCATGCAAACGCTGGTCCCTTCCCAGGTTGGCTATTCCTCCTGGGAAGCAGGAGTTGGACTTGCACAGGCCCCCAATGCGTTTCTCTTCCTCCTACCAGAATCTGTACGAGAGCATTAAAAACGAGCCCTTCAAAATTCCCGAGGATGATGGCAATGACCTGACGCACACTTTCTTCAACCCAGACCGTGAAGGCTGGCTTCTGAAGCTCGGTGAGTGCATCTGCGCAAGGTGCAAGGCCTCAGCCATGCGGAGCGGTGCAGCTGTCGCCATGGCATAGGCTGCAGGGAGCAGGGAGCTCGGCTGCAGTCTGGTGACTTCTTCGTTTTTGTTTTTTTTGCATGGGGCTCGGTGGCCACAATCCAGCACAACACATACCCATTGCCGAACTCAGGATGCTTTCCTAATCATCCATGCTTCAGCAGGATGTCCAGCAAGGGCAGTCTTGGTTGCAGTGCTCAGCGTCCCCTAATGGCTCTCTTAACTTGGGCACAGCCGTCTGGTTTCGGTGATTTGGTGGGTTGGGGTGCTTATGACAGTGAGGAAGACACATTGGTTTCCTGGGCCCCAGGAACAGCAGATAAACTTGGGCTTTCTCTCCCTGGCTCCAATATTCTTAACCACAGTGGACTAAGCATTAGCCCAAGACTTGTCTGTGGTTCTGTGCTTCTCACCTGACATTGGAGGCTAGTCTCTGGCATCACCTCCCACAACCCCGCTGTGTGCGCACCGGCAGTGCATGCATGGCACCTGCAAGGCATCCACCAGCCCACCAGCCTTTCCCTGCGCAGCCCTTGACCATCTTTCTCCTGCTCACTCAGAATGTTTCAGTTGTCTTGCCAGGTTATGGCTGGAGCAGCTCCCTGGCTGGTTGGTTTCTCCCATTTCTCTCCCCACCACCTTTAGGGCTGTTTAAATCTCTTGGAATCTGCAAATCAAATTTGAAAGCACAAATCCTCTGAATATTCAAATTTGCAATCACTGAATCTTTAATGAAATATGGCTAATGGAATTATTCATCTATGTTTGAATGTGTAACCATCCTCTTTTTGCTTGGAGCATTTTATGAAATAAAATGGAAACAGATGCTTTTGATTCCAAGGGATTGAGGGAGGATGCACACACTCGAGATATTCCTGGGGAATGATGTCTGAGCTGAGACTCAGTGCTGAGTCTGAACAACACACCTTTTAAATCGTGCCCTTTCTTTTCCTTTCAACCAAAGCCATGCAACAAAATGACAAAGGATTGATAGATATTGTTATTTAGAACACACGTTTTAATTATTTTAAAATAAGAGGTTGCATTGCATGGCAGTGGAGACAGCAATGAGGCTTGCTCACAAAGCAGACTTAAGGACAGGCTGCTAGGTGCACCGTTACGGACATGGATATAACTTGAGAATATTTTACAGTTTACCATTTTAGACCTGCACGTAAGCAGCAAATATATGGTTGCTTGAAAACACAGTTGTATATTACAGTTGTGATTGTAGCAAAACATAAATTTTGTTTGCTGTGAAGTTTCCATTCTTTGTTAGCTATGTTTAGAAAAGATACGTGATCCTGAAGTTCAGCCAGAAGAGGAAGCCTAAGAGATAGTTTCATTTCGGACTTGGGAAGGATGTTTTCTGGCAAAAACTCCACAATTTTCTTCCCTACAGCCATAACTTCTTCCCTAACTCCAGATCCACCCAATGGATAAACAAATGAAGACACAGAAAAGACACAGGACAAACACAGGATAACATACACCATAGCTGGCTTATAGTTAAATAAGCCTTGATTGAAACTCATGATCAAATCCTTTTTTCTATTTGTTTCAAACTCCAGCCCTCTTGTGTCTCAGTTCAGGAAGCATTCACCAGATCTATGTTGGTGTGTGTATCTGTGTCAGGTGCAAAGGTGGGGTGTGTGGGTTTGTTTGTTTTTAACACTGGATTTTAAAAATTGTGACTAAAAAACTGCAGGTACTAATGCAAAGAGTGCAGACATTGCAATGAGAACTCAGTTCAGCATGGCCTTTTCCAACTTTGGGAATTTCTCCTGTGGCTAGCTTTCTCAGAGGCAGTAGAAAGAACTGGCCTGAATCCTTTTCTTCGCAGATAAGTGAGCTTTTCTGCCTGAACGGGGATGTTTGAATTGGGAATTCTAGGCTGCAGCTATATCCAAATTTAGGCCCTCTGGTTCCCAATACTACCTGTCCCTGTCCCCCATTACATGGGAAGGAAGTCCCCTTGATCCCTGCGGGACCATGTTGCTGACTTTATCACAAAATGCTAAATCTGCTGAGTTAGGAGCAATCACTCAGACAGCATCCTGTGGTTTTACCCTTCCACTGAATGCCCAGGACTTGGTAGAGCTTTATTCTGGGATACAGTGCCACAGGGTGGCGGCAGAAAACAAAGACATGCCTAAAATCCTTGGAGAGTGAGATTAATTTGGCCCGTGAATGCGCCAAACTGCGTTGGTAATCACCAGAGGCGATTCCTCGTGTGTACACGATTTTGGGGGCAGGGGCCTTGGCTGTCTTCCAGCTGAATCCCAGCAGCAAATTGCTGATTGCTTCAGCCTGCGAATGATGCATGCCACCCCCACATGGAGGAGTCTGGGCTGCAGGCCACTTTAACAGCTGTCACCAGCCCTGGCACTAAAATTGCTAATTCTGTGACCAGGGAGCCGTTGCTGTGGCAAGCAAATTCCTGACGCTACCAGGATTTCCTAAGCTAGCAACAAGGACAAACCTATTTTTTTTTTGCCAGGAGTTCCTGGGGCTTTTGTGTCCTTGGCTTTGGCACCCTGATGACCTCGAGGTGGGCACTCTCCTTCTTGGTATTCTAGCGGAGAGGGAAACCTGCACCACAACAGGAGAAACGTGGGCCTGGTTTTGGGAAAACCCCTTCTGCCAACCCTCTTTTCCCTAATGCTCAACACCTTTCATTAGCTTGGGCAGCGCCCCCTGCTAGCAGCAACTGGGGTGTGCGCCAAGGGCAGATTTGATAAAGTCCTTTGTTTTTTAATTTTCTTTTCTCCCTCATTTTGTATGTTTCCATGATTTTGGCACTGCCTTTCCCTGCCCTCCAAACTCCAGGAGGTACGTACCCCCATATCCCCTCGCTAGCTTTGCCGGGGCCAGGGGTGTGCTGCCATGCTTCTTTATTTTTCTGTTCTTTCGTTCTTTTAAATTGCTGGTGATTATTACTAGTCTTATCGCTGCTATTGCCACCGTTGCTAACTGGCTGCACAGTCCATGGGGAACTGGGGGACAGGTGGGATGGTGAGTGGGATTGGGGGGGGGTGACGGGAAGGCAGAGTTTCCATGTCCTGTTTGGCCCATTCCTCAAAAAATTGCCCCAAAGAAGCTTCACAACATGGCCAGGTCTGAGCCTGGCAGTATCTCTCTCCCCAGCTTTGTCAGTACCCTGGATTTTTAGGAGTCAGAATCACACTGTAGGATACAGCGGTGAAGAACCAGCCTTTTGTCTGCCCCAAAGAGGCAGGGGGCAGGGAGGTCACTATGCCCCTCAAGAAGAGGCAGCTCCTCACGGCATGGACGTTGCTGTCCAGTAGGGCGCCTTTGCTTGAAAATGGCAGCGTGGCCACATCTCTCTGGGAACTGACACTGTGAATCTGGCCTGAGAAGGTGCATAGCCACTGAGCCTGGCTTGCTATTGCTGCTTAAGACTGGCTGCTTCCTGCTCCAGAAGGCCCAGCAGTGCAGCTACAGCGAGTGCACAGCTGCCATCATGAAACCATCCAGGCATTGGCGATGCCTTATTACCAGCCCTGCAGCAAGCAGCTGGCAAACCGCGGTTCCTTATCCCAGCAGGCACAGCTGTTCATGGTGGTGGGGTGTTCACGCATGGCTGCGCTGGTGCTACCTGCACTTACTGTACTTGCCCCATTATATTTCTGCAGGTCACATGACAAACCCCACCCCCTGCCTCCCAACATACCCGCAGAACTTTCTATGCCCCACTGAAAGCTCTTCCCCTTGGGTTTCCCCCCCTTCCCATTAAGCTGGAAAAGGGGAAAGCTAGTATTAAGAGAAATTCCTTTCATGCATTCCTTTCATGGAGACAATATCTCAATACATTTCTGTTAAAGATTTCTCAACCTCTCTTCATTTAAAATAATTTCCAAACCAAGAGATAAAGTTTAGAACTGCAAAAGCCTGGTTATTAACGTAGGACATTTGTCCTGAAGGGCCCTACGAATTCGCAGGCAGCAGAAAAAAGGGGAGGCCTCTTGTAACAAGGACTAATGAAGTATTAATTGTGCTAAGCTGATGCATGTTGGCAGCCGCATGGCATTGGAGTCCCAGTTGGTGGAGGCCCAGAGAGCTAGGGAGGCGCTGGCAGCAGTGAGCTGTTAAGATCTTGATTGGGTAACGCGTCATGGTTCTTACCAGTCCATTTATAACACTGTAAATCCTTTCCAATCCTTATCCCGCCTAACTCTGCAACAACCCTGTGGAGTAGGTCACTGCTTCCATTTTTAAGGGTAGGGAGGAGGAGGTGGAGACGGCGCCTTGGCCACCCAATGGTTCCATGGCTGATGAGTCTTTTGTGCCATCCTCTGGAGAACATCGACTCCCGCCATCATAAACAAAGGGAGAATGTTAATTTGTTTAATGTGATAGAATCACAGACTCGTAGACTTGGAAGGGATCGCTAGGGTCATCCAGTCTAACCCCCTGCAATGCAGGAATGTTTTGCTCAATGTGCGGTTCAGACCCACTACTCTGAGATTAAGAGTCTCTTCCTCTATCCCAGATGATTTAGCCTAAATTGTGGTTAGCTTTTTAAAGAGTTTCTTGGCAACTAGAATAACTTAAAACAAAGAATCAGCAGAAATTCTTGTGGCTTCTTTCTCTAGAAGTCTCCAGACCGCTAAAATATATATCCAAAGTATATATTGTATATTCCTGGCTTCTAAATTTAATACCATGTCGTGGCGGAGGAGGAAAAGCTGCATAACGAATGGGCAGGGTCTATTCCCTCAGCTTCTTAAAACTGACAGCAATTTGGAAAACCTCTCAAACAACGTTGCTTCATGAACATTTGGTAGCCGGCTTAAAAGATTTCAAAACTTTGTGGACTTGGCTTATAGCAGATGGGACACACTCATTGAACAGCAACCATGGCTAGAAACCACTGGTTAATATCCTGGTCTCATGAGCTTATTTATACTCGTCCTGAGGGAAAAATACTTTTGGTAATTCTAGCTGGTTATCTCTTATTAGCAGCTTCGCTTGGGGGCTCCTTAACAGGGTGCGTGGGGTAATGACACCACCCGCCCCCCGTTTTGTTCACAAGGCTGTTGTACCTCAGAAGCTGTTCTAGCATGAAAACAACTTTGTGAGTGAAATTCCAACTTGGGTTTTTGCCTCAGACCCTTAATACAACCTGTTTGGAACTTGCACACACTAAAAAGCATCTTTTGTCTGGTGCTCCCTAGAGATGTTTCACTGTGTACTCTTCCGATAGGACGGTAGCAACCCTTCCTAACACCAGGTCAAACCATTGGTCCATACAGTCCAGTATTGTTTACTCTAAAGGTGGGGAATTTCCAGCACATGAGCTAATCTCGGCCCACAAGGCCTTTCCCCACAAATCCTGGTCAGCTGAAGAGTGGAGTCTAAATCTTTCTGCTGGGAACAGGTGTGTATAGTCAAGGCAAGCAGAAAGTAGTGTTTTGCAAGCAAAGGCAGAGTGCTGGTGAAGTCCCCCTCCACTGGCTTTCCTTGCAAAACACACCTTTCTTTCTAGTGAGTGGATCCTCCTTTCAAGGAAGGGGAGTGGAAGCTGCTTCCATTTGCACTTTTCAGCCTTAAGACTGTGCTAAAGCACTTGCCTCTGAAAGTCTCCCCATCTTCTTATTGTAAACCCCCAACATAGGGTTTGAAGGGGAGTGACATGAAAGCTTGCAAAGCAATGCCTGTCTGCCATGTGACATTGTGTGATGGGTGGATCAGTAGCCCGGTCCACCTGTCAGACTTGTCCCATGAGGCCAATCTCATGGGCCTCTGTTTCCTCACCCTGGTCTACTCTTGACCGGCAGCAGTTCTCCAGTGTTTGGGGCTGAGAAGGGCCTTAAGATTCCTGGCATTCCTCGTAAAAGGCGTGTGCCCCACCACCAGAGAGTGAGGATCCCTGCAGTGGCTCTTCTGAGAAGGTTGGCAGTGGGCCACCCCATGATGCCAGGGGCTCCCAACAGGTGGGGTTTTCTGTGTTCCCTGGGGACTGTGGCAGGCACTATCTGGAGCAGTTGGCTTGTTTTGTCTTTTTTTCCCCTTTTCTTTCCCTTCTTGTGTTGCTGAATGAGGTCTCATTGTTGTATGTGCTGGTCTGTGGCTGTCAGGGCCTCCTTAGGAGGGGTCTCTAGTGTTCTGCACCTTTTAAATCTTGTTGACTCATCTCCACCACCATGGGCTTGAGAGAGCAGCCAATGCTGACAGAAAATACCCAAAGTTGTTGCCCTCTCCACCACTGAGATCTTTCCATCTTTGCCTCCCTGTCCTGCATTCCCCACCTCTCTTGGACGTGCTGTTGTTTGCAGCCTCTGACTGGGGAGGCCAAGCAAGGAGGGCCTGCAGCTACAGCATTCTGTCGTTTTCACAAGTGAGGTGCAAGGTGGCTTTTGCTGGAGGTGGTCCTGGGGGTCTCTTGGTGTTCAAAACGACCCCCGCTGTATTGACTGGTGGTCGCAAGGTCTCTGACCCTGTACTTGGGATCTGAGCTGTCTGGTATGGATTCTTTTTATTATCATTATTTTGGTGATGGCTTGTGCAAAAACTTTTCCCAAGACCCTGGATTTGGATCCTGGACACTTGAGCTTCAGTGTCAATTTGGGAAGGGCCACTGGAGTCTCCTGTGTTTACTGATGGGATGGTGGGTGGGGGCATCTTTCTGAATGGGTTCCAGTTCTAAGCCAATCCCCCTCCCTCCCTCTCACCTCACCCTGACTAAAAGTCACCAGAGCGGGATTCCATTGAACTTTTATTCTGAGATGGGCTTATACAGAAAAGACTTTCAGGTCATGTTTGTATTTCAGGCCCCGCCCCACACCCCGCCTTTTGGGTGGAGCTCTGGAGGCCCAACTTAAAAGCCACACTGGGGCAGGAAAGGGAATAGCTGATTCCTGTAGTTTCAATACTCATCCCTTTTTAATCCTGAAGCTGTTGTTAAGCTCTGCTTCTTGCCTGGAACTGTATGTACCCGGGCAGGCAAGTCTCAGGGACAAGAACCCATAGCTGAGAAAGACTGTGTAGCCATGGGTTGTCTGTTGGTGTGTCTTTCTTTTTAAATTAGTTGGAGCTGGCTATGAGGCAGGATGCCTGGGTAGCCTCAGGGCAAACAGAATCCCATGGAGCTCAGACTCTGACTAAGCTATGAGCTTTGTCCATAAAGAGCCTAAGTAGGTAGATCCCAACACTAGCAGGACACTGATGCCTCTTCCTTCCTCAGCATGTCGGCAGATCCATGTCTGCTCCATAGTATACGCAGCAGGGCACTTCTCTTGATGACCACCACCTCTGCCTTCCGCCTGCCCCCTTCAGCTGCTATGCTCGCCATGTAGCCACTGGCTGCTGCTGCTGTGGTGTGTGGCTGGCTCTGCTTGCACTGCTGACGCCACTTGCTCTCTTACACCGCCTACTTGTGCCTGTAGGCTCTTAGCTCTGCCTTTGCCTTAGCTGCTCTTGTGCCCAGCACCCTCCTTTCGGCCTGGGCATGCATTGTCAAGCTTGCTTCTTCTCTGCGCAGGTGGCCGGGTGAAGACGTGGAAACGGCGCTGGTTCATCTTGACGGACAACTGCCTTTACTACTTTGAGTACACCACGGTGAGTGGCACAGGGTGCTCTCGTAAGCGTCCACGGACATGATCTCATGACGGGATTGCTAATGTGCAGTTTTGAAAGATGGACTATGGTATGTAGTCTTAGGCTCGTGTAAGAGTCCAGGACATGGGTTATCTGGAGTCAACTGCATAGCTGAGTTCTTACTGACTGGCGTGGGAATGGTGTAGAGCAGGCTTCCTCAGCCTCGGCCTTCCAGATGTTTTGAGACTACTATTCCCATCATCCCTCACCACTGGTCCTGCTAGCTAGGGATCATGGGAGTTGTAGGCCAAAAGCATCTGTAGGGCCAAGGTTGAGGAAGCCTGGTGTAGAGGTACTGCAGACTTGGCTTTAATTATTTCATATAGACACACATACCACCTTTTCCCCCTGACAAGAATTCAAGGTGGCTTACACATTACAATAAGAACAGCTAAAAACATAGGAAGAAAAACTCTTAATTATTAAAAAGCAGTTAGTTAAACAAACCTTTATAGTTTTAAAACTATCTAAACTAACTATATATTATTAGAAAGGTGCAGATAATTATGTTGAAAAAAGCATGGCACCAGCCCTTTGATTAAAAGCAAGTCAGTTGCCCAAAGCCTGTTGTAACAAGAAAGTCTTCAGCTGCTGGCGGAAGGACAGCAAGGAAGGAGCCAGTCAAACTAGGGAAGGAGTTCCAGAGTCCGAGAGCAGCCACCACAAGGTCCTATCCCACATCCCAAAGGTGCCTGTGAGGGTGGCAGGACTGAGAGAAGGGCCTCCCCCAAAGATCTCAGATCCTGGGCAGGTTTGTATGAGGGATTGTGGTCTTTCAGATAGCTAGGACCTAAACTGTATTGCGCTTTATAGGTTATATAACCAGCACTCTGAATTGTGCCTAGAAACAGACTGGTAGCCAGTAGAGCTGTTGTAACAAGGGGCTCTCTATAACCAGCCCCAGTCTACAATCTGGCTGCAGTTCTTCGAGTCAGATGAAGTTTCTGGACACTTTTCAAAGGTAGCCCCATGTAGAGTGTGTTATAGTAATCAAAACGGGATTCAACTGAGGCATGTGCCACTGTGGCCAAATCAGACATCTCAAGGGTATATATTGGGTGCAGCGCATTTTGTTGTGGACCCATGAAAGTGAATGCCCTAATAAAACAGTTAAGTCGGTCAGATGCCATGGTTGTGTTTGCAACAGTAGGCTACTCCTTTCAAATGAGCATTAAGGAGGAATCTGTCTGAGAGCAGTGTTCTTCCTGTTCAATGTTGGGATGGAAGAACCTGTAATATTTTGTCAGAATGAACCAGCCTGGATGTGTCTGAATTAACAAATTGTTGTCTTGCAGGACAAGGAGCCACGAGGCATCATTCCCTTGGAGAATTTGAGTATCCGTGAGGTTGAAGATTCCAAGAAGCCTGTGAGTAAATGCCAGTGCTGGAGAGTAGGAAGTGCTCTCCACTTCCTACCTGGGGGGAGCCTAGGCTGCGGATACTGTGTGCATGTAAAAAGAAAGAAAAGGATGATACCAAGAAAAACTGAATTATGCAAATCATTAACTAAGCTTGCCTACTTTTGTAGAGTCGATTCTGATTCTGCCATGGGGGAAGAGGCAAAGCTATGCAAGGACACCCAGCTGGCTACAGAAAAATCCTGCGCAGGGATAAGCCAGGCTTTTGAAACTTGACTCATCTTTTCTGCCCTAAGAGCAAAATGCTCGATGTGTTTAAGTGGATGTTGATGTTTGCAAGGTGATGTTAAACCTGCACACAGAGTACTATTTTCTGTGCTTTTGCAGTGCAGGATATGCACTGTCTTTTGGAGGTCTCCAAGGTGTTAAAGGACCCTGCAGCATCTGAGCTGTTAGTGACTACACTTGGATAATGCTATCAGAGCTTAAATAGCCAAGATAGGAAAAAGCCCCATTCCTGTTCACAGCTAGTTCGCTCCTTCCTCTGCTTTGTGATCAATCCAACCAAAAAGTCTTCACCCATAGTTTCCTTGTTTGGATGAAATGGGGAAACTGTGGTTAATCAGTGATATTTCTAGTTTGCTTTCTTGAGGAGCAATGGGGCTGCATGTGTGGGTAAAAGGCTTATTCATAATTACGTCTTGCCAGTGATTTTTATCAAGTCGTTCTGGTGATAACTGCAGTGGGCCAGGAATGCTGGCTCGGCTAGTGGAATTGTAGGCCCTTGGTGAGAGTTGCTTTCCCAGAGTGTTGTATTGCTGCCAAGAAGTCATACCAGAGAACTGGTTACTTGCTGTCGAAAATCCTGTAATTCCTGCTCTTGAAGGATGTCTGGGAAATCCCTGGAATATGCAGAAATTTTGAGCTGGTGTTGGCCACAAATCAATTCTGTTTATCCTTCTCTTCTTGCAGAACTGCTTTGAGCTGTATATCCCTGACAACAAAGACCAGGTGATCAAGGCTTGCAAGACTGAGGCAGACGGGCGTGTGGTGGAAGGGAATCACACTGTGTACCGCATCTCTGCACCCACCCCAGAGGAGAAGGAAGAGTGGATGAAATGCATCAAGTGAGGAGGGGCAGGAATGATGTGAAGGGATCTGGGTAGTTTGCTTGAGCAATGTGTCATTCATTCATTCGTTCATTCATTCATTTGCATGTTGCTTTTCTGCACACACACAAATGCCCAAAGTGGCTTACGACAAAGAAAAAAGGGTGCATTTCAAACAAATACTACAAAACAATTTCATAACAACAAACCCAAAAAACCCCACATTTCAGCGCTATAAATATAACAAAGATTACTTAAAAATGTAGCATCCAATAGCCAAAATTAACAAGGGAGCTTCAGTTTCAGGCTTAGCCCTAGAAATATGCCTCCCATGAAGTAGCTCACAGTCCCTCTCCTGCAGCAGCTTCTTATAAGGCTTACATGGGCAAAGGGTGGAGTAGCTGTAAACACCCCTCCTATGAAAAGAATTATTTCTCATTCCTCCAGATTTCCTCACTGTGAGGGAGGTGGGGGCGCAAATCTGTGGTTAGGTGGGCATCTGGAATTTTGGGGAGGAGATGTAGCATCTGAGAATGGGGCCTCTCTATAGCTCCCTGGTTGAGATTTGCCAGTGGGTTGTGGGTTATGAGGGGGAAATAGGGCAGCCCTTAATGAAGTACAGTCCCCTGATCTTCCTGCTCCCTCTTCAAGCTAAATCATGCTTCCTTCCAGAAACAGTAGCTAAGGGGGTGGACTGATCCTATAATTATGTGCTGGGTGGCATCTCCAATCAGTTGGGGATTTCCCTTAACACTTTGTGGGTTTTTTTACTCTCTCTCTCTCCCCCCCCCCCCCGCCTCCCACTTGTCTCTCTTCAGAGCTGCAATTAGCCGGGATCCATTCTACGAGATGCTTGCTGCACGCAAGAAGAAGGTCTCCTCCACCAAGAGACATTAGCCACATGGCTTTGTTGAGTAGCAGTGACATTGGCAGCTGTTGCCTCTCCGTCTCCTGGCAGAGAGGAAGAGGAGCGAGACGACACAGACCCGCCTGCTCTGCATTATGACCCCAAGGGGGGACTAGCTTCAGCTTTTGCTATTCTTTTCTGGTTTGGGGGCAGGAAGAGTTGCGGGGGTAGGCTATGTTGATGGCAACCACCAGCTCTCACTGACTTATTTAATTTGCAAGAATGCCACCTCCCTGCCAGCCCCTCAGCTGGGCAGCTTGAAGCCAAACCGTGTCACTGGTAGCCCAAGTGGCAGGAAGAGAAGAATTGTTGGGGTCTTTTCTGCTACCGTGGCTGACTTGCTCCTTGCCTGTGCCGATGGTGAGGCAGACCTATTCAAGCTGCCAGCGAGAAGTGTCGGCTGTACCAGGCTTTAGGCCTAATACTCTCCGAGACCCTGAATCAGGAATGGACCACAAACTGCCAAAGGCATAGATCAGTCTGCAGCAGAGGTTGGGGGCATGGCTCTCTAGCACTGAAGCAGAGAGATCCCTGTGGCCCTCTGCATCGCCATGTTGCTCCCTGTTCTTTGGTCAGGTAAGCCCAACGGCTTCTTTCCCCCAAAGCAATTGAGCTGTATGCTCTTTCATGTTTAATTTCCGGGGTTCTCTGTCGCAAGGAGTTTTGTTAACCACGTTGAGTAATAAGCAACCAAGAATGTCAGTCCCAACAGCTGGCATGATGAATGGCAAGGCTGCCACCTCCAGGATTTCCCCTGCCCTCGTTCTAGAGGGCACTGACTTAGGCTGCCTCGTATGTGAAGCCGGAATGAGGCCAGCAGAGGGCTCACTCAAGCAACCTTGCCCAGATGAGAAGGTGGTGCTCTTGTGAGCTAGCGGCATGCATGTGGTTGTGGGTGGGCAGGTAGTGTAACCCTCATGGATGCTTTACAGGGAGGCTTTTCACCCCTTTGCCAGTGGCTGCTGGGAACCATCTCACCCAACAACTGGGCACAAAAAATTTATCCCTGCAGCCAGAGCTTCCTCCGTTTTTGTTTGTTTAACATTGCAATCGGGCGCAGACAGAGCTGAAGAAAAAAGACCTGCACCATTCCCTGTACCCTGAAGAAAGAAGTTGAAACAGGCTGGCTCTGGATTCTTTGACATAGGCTATCTTCTTACAGTTGCACTTTTCAGTAGAGGGAGTGGATGGATTGGGATGAAGGCTGTCCTGGACCAGTGGGGGCACTTCTTGGCTCTGAAGCACAAGCAGATGATTGGTTGCTGGGGAACCATTGGAAGCCCAGGGTGGGTGGGGTATGAGATGATGGCTTATGCCTGGAGCACTGAGCTGGGGTAGGCCGTAAGAAGACGGTTTCCCCCGACTGTTGATTTCATTATGCGCCTTGGAAAAGCTCCAGTTTTCCCCAGCTCAGTATTAATCTATTTATCGGAGATATACATACTCTCTGTGTAGATTTTTCTCCTTTTAGATTATTTTGTATTTGTTTTTAAATAAGAGGATTGTTTTCTGTGAAACATAGCAGAATTCTAAAAAATTGCTGTGGCACAAGGGGGGGTGGGAAGCAAGGGGGTTGCGGGAGGAAGGTGGAAGTTACTCCTGGTCAAAAAGTTTGGTTACAGTTTTTTGTGTTGAATCCTTTTCCACCCCATTGTTGGGTTTTTGTTGCCACAACCTTGTGAACTAGCACAGAGCAACTGCAGCAAATAAATGTTGATCTCACACTTGGCTCTATGCCCTTCTTTGGCTGCCTCTGTCTCTGTGATCTACATTTATGTGGTTTTCCTATTTGAGGTTAGTAGCATTGCATCAAGTGATTCAGGGGCCTTGCCAGTTGGGGCTGGTAAATTGGGCCAGCCTCTTTAGATCTGTGAGACTGGGGACATTTCTGTAGCCATACTGAGGAAGGGTTTCATTGTGGTTTCCCTCCCCAGCTTTAATTTTTCTCTATCTGCCAGGGGAAGCTGCTGGTAAGATTGGTTTAAGTTAAGGGACCAGAATGTAAAGCATTCATCTGGCTTCCCAGCATTGACACTGGTTACTGATAGCTAGCTGCTATCAGTAGCCAGATGCAAAGAGGTTATAAAGCATACATTAGGAAATGAGGTTACAGTGGGTTGTATTCAAGCTTGCACTAAGGCGAACAGTCAGGGCAACGAATTCTCCTTGCTCAACAGAATGTTCTTTCCCTAAACATGTTCTGGAAGATCCCCTAACCCTCTGGAGCAGAGCTGGGGATTGTGTGTTTGGGAGTGGAAGTCCCATTGTGCTAGCAGAAATCCTTGCACAGGTACAATTATTTAACTGGATACTGCCCAGGGTGTTGTTTTTTGAGTGGGGCTTAGAGAAGACCCTGGTGGATTTGGGGTAAGACAGCAGGCTACAGTAGGGCCCCTAGTCCCACTGGGTTTGCATCTCCACAGTACAGTAGTTTACACAAGCTGGGGAACCTGCAAGATGTTATGTTTAGGGAACAGCAAGAGCAACCCACTTGTTGGTAAAATGTAAACATGCCTACACTGAACCCACCTCGTCACAAACCAGCATAATGTTATGATACTGTTATGTCTTTTCCCTGCATGGCTTTGCAAAATGCAATTTTTGTTTCATCAGATTCTGGATTTTTAAAGCTGTCTCAGGGGATGTGCCTAGATGGGGTTTACATGCCAGTAGACCTCTATCCATTATAAAGCCTTTAAAATCTTAGTAGCACTGTATACTTACAGAATAACAGGATTACCTCCAAAAATAGGCAACAATTGCTTTGTCTAAATAACATCCAGCAAAACTTGGGTGTTCACCTCCAGTGTGTCTCAGATTCTACATAAGTGAATTAATCTGAGTCAGAGAATTGTATTCAAAATACACATTAGAAGAACAGAGGTGGTGTATCTAATGCAGACTTTCTTGACCACCACAGCTCTTCCTGATAATGGAGCAAGTGGGGTTGAACTTTGGCTAATTTCCTACATGGGTTCTTAGTAAGAACTTCAAAAGAAAAATTGTGGACCCGAGCAGAATTTTGAAGATCCCGCTCTTGCTAAAATTGGTTCAACTTTTCAAACTCATGCAGCCTGAGCAGCAACCAGCAGATGGCACCAAGGTATCACATTTGGGTTTGTAGGGGGAAAAAGAATGCTTATCTCCAGAAATTACCTTATCTTAAATAATCTCTTAACACTCTAGGCTGCTTTTTCTTAAGGAATGTGAGTTTATAGCAGCCTTGCAAAATGGTTTTCAGTGCCCACAAAATGTAAATAAGAATCAATGTGCTAGCCGTGGTGGTAGTGGGTAAGCTGGTTTGATAGGTGGGATGAATATGTTAGCAATGCTCATGCTTCTCATGATCTTCCACCCCTTTCTCTGATATCCAAAGCAAGGGGTGGTCCCTTGCTTTGGATATGTGGTCCCTGCCTGGCCTCTATGGGCGGGAAAGAGGATTCTCCTCATTTCCTTTTATGGCAGTGGTAGCAGTAAGTGGAGGAAGGGCTCTTTCTAGATGCTCTCAGTACCACATCAGGACTGAAAGAGCAGTGGTGCTTGGGCCTTCTGGCACTGTAGTATGGGGAGGGCATCTTCCAATGCTGCCATTTCAGCTTTTAGGGGAGTAAGGAGGAAGGGTGGATGCTTTGGGGTCAGGGGGAGGTGCAGATTAAAGGAAACAATGAACCCTCTGTCCCAGATAATTTATTTTAGCCAGAGAAGTCTTTAAGGGTGCCTTAATAACTTGTCCCCTCCTTTTGCAGTGCCCCCTTAAGAACACTGGGAGTTTGCTTCCAAGCTAAGCCATGCTTTAGGCCGATATACATGGCATCACTGTTGCTTCTGAAAATACTGTAGAATGAGTCCCTAGTTGTTCTCCACTACCATTTCCACTTCTGCTCTTATCTAGTCCTCTTTCAGGGCTCCTGATTAGCATCCTTCTCCAGCTTGTGACATCATATCCCCACCACCAAACCAATTTAGTTTGTCTAACAGCGAGACCTGTACACTCTCTCCACACAAGGTTCTTTCTCTGCCAACCTGGTCCTGTGTATGGTCTTCTCAGTGCCTCTTATTCTTCCATCATGGATGATTTCAGCAGCAGGAGCCACAGTATCCCTTGTTGGTTTCAAACCAGCTTCCTATGGCATTCCTCTCCGTTGCAGTCTGCACAGAAAAATGTGTCTGGGAGGATCTGTACCTCTGGGGTGAATATGTAGTTATTGTGCCCAGGGGTCCCAGGAAGGTGACCTGGAAAAGAAATTGCAATTAGTCTTACAAAGAGTGAAAAATGGGCAGCACGAAGATATCCAAGCAACAATGATTGCATTTTTCAGTAGTGGTGCCTAATGGCAGAATACTTTATGCAGTTATGCGCCTCTTAATGCTATATTATTTTTAGGAAGCTGTTATTTTTCATTACCGCTCCCTCAAAAGGACATTAGATTGAGCTAGTCTGAAAACAAGAAAAATATTTGATGCCTTTTATTGCACCAGGTTTTGCCCTAAATTGTCTAGATATCTGATGGAAGGCCTGAAAATGTCTTAGATTGGAAATTACCGTATTTTTTGCTCTATAAGACTCACTTTTTCCCTCCTAAAAAGTAAGGGGGGGATCTGTCGTGTCTTATGGAGCGAATGCAGGCTGCGCAGCTATCCCAGAAGTCAGAACAGCAAGAGGGATTGCTGCTTTCACTGTGTAGTGATCTCTCTTGCTGTTCTGGCTTCTGAGATTCAGAATATTTCCCCCCCTGTTTTTCTCCTCCAAAAACTAGGTGCATCTTGTGGTCTGGTGCATCTTATAGAGCGAAAAATACGGTACATGGTGATTTGAAAGTATTTCACATGCATTTCCAACCTCCCTGGAGATGCTGGTGATTGAATTTAGGAGCTTCTGCATGCAAAGCTGATGCTCTACCAGTGAACTACAGTTTTTCCCCAATCTACATCACTCCCAGTGCCAGGTTCTCCATAATTTTTAAAATTTATATATGTGGGGTTTGTTAAGCACCTCTCTAAGCCAGTCCCCCAGGAAGCTGACTTGACTTCAAAGAACAAAGGCAGAATCATTAATACCCTGATGAAAGGTCAGATATTCAGTCAGACATGGAAAGGGGTGGAGTTCCTCCTCCAGCTGTGTGTTACTTAGCAGAATTGAGAGGGGGAGATTGCCAGAGAAACAGGGGTGCAATGTCACCACAGAGGTTTGGGGAACAGGGTTTTCTGGGAAGGAGGAGCTCTAAGTGCGCTGGCTGGAAAAGGCTGCACCGAGAAGCATGACTGGCTGCTGATTTGGACCCAAGCTGCTGACAAGAGGAGCAATGAGAGATAGTCTTGGGATGTGATGTTCTGCACCTCCACCACTGAAGGCTTCAGCTGTAAACATGTATAAAATAAACCGTATTTCTTAAAGACACTAGTCTCTATTGTGCCTCATTCCAAAGGAACACAAACCCAGGAATCTCTTGCTACTGCTTGACAGAGATTGGGGTGGCCTGTAACAATATAATTCCTGTATTTTCAGTGCCCAATCCACCCCGATTTTGCTGTGTGTGAAATAGTCTCAGTGGAGCAAGGGGTTTTACCTCCATAAAGAAGCCTTTCCATCTTTCTGACAGTTTGTCCACTTCCACTTTATAAATTCCTGCTTCCTGCAAAGGGGAGTGCACAGCTAACTTGCTCTGCTTCTAAACTCAAGATTATGATTATTTCTAGAAGGTTTAATAGTATGAACTAGTGTGACTTGCAGCAAAATCTTGAACTATGATATGCTCCTATTGAATGTTCCAGCCATACCTTCTTTCGGGACACTCCCTTGCAAGCTCAAGGGGCTGGGGCTGGTTGAGGAGGCTCCAATGGGAATAGTATTGGAAGTGGGGCTCCCCTCCTCCCAAGCAGTTGCCTCATTCTGTCTAATAATAGGACCAGCCATGGATCTGGAAAAGTAGAGCTGGGAGGGAAGCTTATACAGAGAGACATAGTGGTTAAGAGCGGTAGATTCGTAATCTGGGGAACTGGGTTCGCGTCTCCACTCGCTCCTCCACATGCAGCTGCTGGGTGACCTTGGGTGGCTAGTCACACTTCTCTGAAGTCTCTCAGCCCCACTCACCTCACAGAGTGTTTGTTGTGGGAGAGGAAGGGAAAGGAGATTGTTAGCCGCTTTGAGACTCCTTCAGGTAGTGATAAAGTGGGATACCAAATCCAAACTCCTCTTCTTCTATTGCCAAGACCTGATTTCCATTCCTACTACTTGCACCATCTCCACCATCTTGCCCTAAGCAGGCCCTTCCCGACACTGCCTGCAAATTTAGGAGCACTTTTGCAGGGGGCGAATCTTGCAAATGCAAGCAGTAACCATCTCATGGGGCAGCCTTAGGTTTAGAGAATGCCCCCACTGTGGATAGCAGTGCAGAATGAATGTGTAGCCCCAATTTCTTGCCTCACACAATTTGACATAAAACAGCCGAATAGAGATGTTCCTTCTCCTGATATCTTGACTAGGTCCTCCATCTGCCCTTCTGCTCATCCATGACAGAGAAGCAGCAATACAGTGGTGCCTCGCAAGACGAAATTAATTCGTTCCGCGAGTTTTTTCGTCTAGCGAATTTTTCGTCTTGCGAATCACGAATTCCCATAGGAATGCATTGAAAATCAATTAATGCGTTCCTATGGTCAAAAAAAGTCCAAACAAAGCCAAATTTGGTATAACAACCTCCCCAACTGTTGCAAACCCCTCCCCAACTGTTCCCCCAGTCACCCAGCACACAGAAATTCAAATCCAGAATTTTTTTTAAAAAAACAGCAGAGTGGCCCAATGGTCACAGAAAATCACAAAAATGCAGAAAAAACACACAAGCTTCCAGATTCCTGCAAACCCCTCCCCAACTGTTCCCCCAGCCACCCAGCACACAGAAATTCAAATCCAGAATTTTTTTAAAAAAACAGCAGAGTGGCCCAATGGTCACAGAAAATCATAAAAATGCAGGAAAAAAACCACACAAGCTTCCAGATTCTTGCAAACCCCTCCCCAACTGTTCCCCCAGCCACCCAGCACACACAAATTCAAATCCAGATTTTTTTTAAAAAAACAGCAGAGTGGCCCAATGGTCACAGAAAATCATAAAATGCAGGAAAAAACCACACAAGCTTCCAGATTCTTGCAAACCCCTCCCCAACTGTTCCCCCCAGCCACCCAGCACACAGAAATTCAAATCCAGAATTTTTTTAAAAAAACAGCAGAGTGGCCCAATGGTCACAGAAAATCATAAAAATGCAGGAAAAAACCACACAAGCTTCCAGATTCTTGCAAACCCCTCCCCAACTGTTCCCCCAGCCACCCAGCACACACAAATTCAAATCCAGATTTTTTTTAAAAAAACAGCAGAGTGGCCCAATGGTCACAGAAAATCATAAAAATGCAGGAAAAAACCACACAAGCTTCCTGATTCTTGCAAACCCCTCCCCAACTGTTCCCCCAGCCACCCAGCACACAGAAATTCAAATCCAGAATTTTTTTTAAAACAGCAGAGTGGCCCAATGGTCACAGAAAATCATAAAAAATGCAGAAAAAAGACACACAAGCTTCCAGATTCTTGCAAACCCCTCCCCAACACCAAGTCCTTGAATTCCAAACACCCCAACCCAAAATCCAAAAGCCCAGCAAAAATTTTTAAATGCTTAACTTGGCTGCAAAATAAGTTTTGGAAAAGCTTCAAAAATCACCAACGTCTTTAACAACCTCAAAATAGGCTACTATGTACACTGCGTTATATGAGTTGCTCCTTGAAGTCAAGTCGCAACTGTATTAACAGTGTAAAGAAAAACCAAACAAACTTGCAAGACGTTTCGTCTTGCGAAGCAAGCCCATAGGGAAATTCGTCTTGCGAAGCAGCTCAAAAACGGAAAACCCTTTCGTCTAGCGAGTTTTCCGTCTTGCGAGGCATTCGTCTTGCGGGGCACCACTGTATGCTCCTCTGACCCTACTCTTCACTTCACAAAAAGTAACGAGTGGTTGGTTGACACTGTTAGGCCACACAGCAATCTTAACAGCAAATGAGCATGGTACCTGCGGGAAGAAATGTATTTTGCAGGCTGACTGCTGGGTCAATCCAGTGTTTCTACAACAGAAGCACAGCTCGGAGGAAAATGTAGCAAGTGTGAGAAAAATTAACACGTACCGCTTGTGCAGAAACAGCTTTGACTTCCTCCGCAGTGTGAAGAATGCTCTAAAATCTCCAGTCCACTTACCACTTTCTCAAGTGGCAACCATAGTATAAGACCCACTATCCCACCAGGGGCCAGCTGAATTAACCTGAAGTCTCACCTGAGAATGGAAACAGAAAGATGTGACTTAGTAATCATTGAGGAAACTGCTTGTTTAAAAACAAGTACCTTCAATTACTCAAAATTGCTGAAATAATCCTCCCCTGTAGAGCTCAAAGTGGTAGCAACATAATGTTTGGTACAGAAGGGCTCTTGATCTGTGAAGAAGTAAATGATGCCTGTGGTATTTTCTAGAAAGAGATAGATGGTGCAGAAAAATCGTGTCCTTAAAACCATCTTCCATATACCACTGTATCCCCAAGACAAAAAAGGGAGAAAGCAGAAATACCAGGGCGACCCACACACTTCTAAACCATGAGGAGATAAAGGTGATAAATGCCTGGTTTATAATGTAAACGGGCTAAACCTGTAAGATGAACAGTAACTGGTTGCCCTACTTGGTTACTATTATACAACCTTTAGCCAGATATCCACATTAGAACCACTCCCCAGAAGGTTCCCCTGCATGCTCAGTGCCGATATTTTCCTCAACTTTTGCCTTTAGGAACCACTAGATGGCAACCACATAAAAGTATCTTACACAAATGGCCCCGCTTAAAGGGGCTCTGGTCACTCCCAGCACTGGGTGGGCTATGGGAGCAGAAAAAAGCTGTGGGGGAAGCAAACCCACACAATTCCCCCCCCCCAATAACCTCAAAGTTCACAGAGCTGATGCAGAAAGAAACTGCAAGACATATGTGAAGGGGTATAAAATAAATTTAAAATGTGAGGGGTCGATTAAGCTGCAAAAGGCTGCCCACAGACATTGCCAAGAGCACTGTGGACCAGGCCGAAGCCTCCATTGCACTGAAAAATAAAGGCCCGCAGCAGGGCAGAAAGAGCAAATGCTCCCTCTGCTGGCTTAGTCAGACCTGAGCAGAGAGACAGGCTGGAGATTGTGTCTCCTCAGCTCAGCTGGCCCCAGATATCATCTCAAGGTCAATTATGCAAAAGTCTCTCCCACTAGCTGTTACCTAGGCATGGCAAAGCATTTGTTCAATTCTGCACGCTGAGTGATTCTGCTGGACAGGACAAGGATCAATAGTATACTAAAAGTGAGATACAAATATTCTTCTTGGGAGAGGGAGGGGGAAACAATACAATTTATAGAACCACTGGCTTGAGGGCCTGTAAAAATAATGCCTGTTTGGAAAGCCAAGGCACTTGCTTACTTAGCTCTGTTATTGGAAGTTGGTGGTCGGTGTGTCAAAAGCGAGATTCATATTTTTAATTTGGTAAAGCAACAAGTAATGTTGTCTTACAGGGCAAGTGCTTGAGGGCATATGCTAGCACATTGTTCTCTGTGCATAGCATTAAAGCAAAGGAAAATAATGCATTTGAAGGATATTTAAATAATTAAGCTTGAAAAGGCACAGCTTTGTAATAAAAGTAGGGCATATTTTCTGCCTAGGGAGTTTCCAAAGCACAGAGTTCTCAAATAACAAATTGTAATCATCATCGCTGAGAGCAATTTAGCTCAAAGATGTGTATAAATCAGAGCTTTTTAATATGAATGTTTAAAAATTCCACATATATTAAAAAGCTCTGCACTTTTTTGATCTACACACATCTTTGAACTCATTGCTCTCAGAACCAACAATTACAATTTGATGAGTCACTAGAGAGGCACAAGCAACACAACATTTAAGAGAGCGCAGGAACAGACATCCTGATAAGGTGCATGCTGGGATTGTTTGAACAGGGAACAGGTGAGAGCCTGGGGCTCCAAATGTAAGAAGATGGGGAACAGCTTACGGCAACTCCCAGTTTCTCTCTAAGGTAACTTCATGATTTGGCTTCTGTATTTTAATTCTAGTATTAAACCACTTTTGTGAAAGCCATGTCCACTTCTTCACGGACCATGAAATTTAGATGTTGTTATAAAGCATGGTTTTCAAACAAACTCCAGATTACCACTAGATTTTGACGTGAGAAAGTAAACACTTTCCTCATCAGAGTGTATTAGAAGAAGAGAATTTGTCAAGATCCAGACATGGAAAAGATTCAAGGGTATTCACATGGTAGGTGATTGACTAGTTTGGAATTTGCCTCAAAAGAGCTACACAACTTCAGAGACAAAGTAAAGTAAAGGTACTTAAGTCATTAGTATCAGTTCTGCAAAGGCTATGAAAGTAATTCATGCTTCTTGAAAAAGAATATCAGCATAAATACCTGTACTTATAAAGGTCACTGAGCATGGAAGGCACTGAACCACATGGTCCGGGCAGCCCTTAGGCAGATGGAAATGTGCCAGTTGTTCTTCAGTGGCCAAAGCATCCTCCC